CAATTTAATTTCTGAAAACGACAAACAAGCAATGCGTCTGAGTTGGGGTTGATTTCCGAGCATGAAAGTGACGCAATTCCGCCATAAAGCATCTCAACTTATGAGTTGGTTTTGCCAAGGTCACAGGAGCGGAGTTTACATTTCCACTAGAGCTGAACAGACTAATGAAGTTCATAAATGATTACTTTGTCCTGAATATTTTCGTAGTTGACACCCATTCGCGCCATCTATGGTTACACACACACATATCTGCAACACTCATGCTTTATGCATTTATAGACGCGCAGAAAGGTTTGTACAACCATAAATCCAGCGGATGTGCGTTCCGACAGCTAGCAGCCTCAAATTTCCCCACTCCTTGACTACAAAAGCCCGTTTCGATTTTTTTTCAACAAACTGTACATTTAATTTTCACGTCCTTGCGACGAATGACAACTTTTATATTTTCTCGACGTTTTGTCACTCGGAGAAGATGAAAAAATACGTTTCCCGTTTCCGTTTCACTTCTATCAATGTAAAACAAATCCCCAATTACTAAAACAACCAAATAAGCATCGAAATTGCGTCAAAATAAAATCGAAAACCATAACTGACAAAGCGCCACGTAAATTACACTATAAATGTCTCTACTTTCATAATGATATAATTACGCAGCTTTTAAAGCTTCATAAATCTTCCAGATACACATGCTACAGACGTAAGTACAGTGTACTGAACGGTTCCCGACGCAACACACCGGTGAAATAATTATAAACTAATCCAAACAACAACACACCGTCTGACTTAATTGGGCCCTTTGGGCCTTCACCTGCTGCGTGAGGTGGTATAGACTAGGATAACGAGCGCGAAAAGTTTTTACAAGACGAAATAAAAATCGAGATTTGCAAACAATTCCTCCCTTTTTCTGAAATTGTACCTCTACAAAGTTTCTAAATTGAATCGACAACACTGTATTGATTACACTGTTGCTCTAGACACTTTAAAATTTTGTGTGATGATTTATGCATATGACCTAAATGGACAAATGTGGTTTTGTAAACGGGACACCACACAAGATTGACTTTTGTGTCTATAAATGTCACGCATTTCGACGCTGTGGAGGGATTAAATAAAACGGTAATTTTTATAATAATTAGGTTAAATCAGGGAGATTAAGCTTCGTTGTATGCTTATTAGTGGCGCGCATTTTAAACCGGGTTTTGGGAGATTACCAACTTATAAAAAGTACGGATAAAGGGTTAAAGAGCTACTAAAACATTAATATTTAAATTAACCCGAATAAAAGTGCGCAGTAAGGGCGGAGTTAAGTGGCTGTGAAGTGAAAACTTTGATTATTATTAAAAATGTATAGAACGCACACAAGGTAAGTATTTAAATTGAAATTGATTATAGTCAAACCAGCGCTGGATTATATATGAGGCGCATGAGGCGCGCGCCTCAGGGCCCGGGGAGACAAGGGCCCGACAGCAAGCGAACAAGTCTTAACTTAAGTTCAAATTAATGCTTAATAATTTAGGTTCGCTAATTTATTATTTTAGGTTGTTTTTGGTTTTTGTTGAGAGTTTTATGTTTATTTTATATTACAGGAAAGACAGGAAATATTTTTTTGTTGTTTTTATGAAAAATATATTTTATTCTGATATTATATTTAGTTTCTTGTTTTTTACACGTAAGTCATGTTAAAAAAATTGACAACAATCGACCCAGTAGTTTCAGAGATTATCTGTCTAATAAAAATCGGTGACGGCAGATAGACAGACAGACAGACGAAAAAGAGAGACCTATTTCTTCGTATTCTAGGGGTTATGAAAGATCGAGAAAACGTAAGAGTAGAGAGTCGATCGACGGACAATACTTCTTTCGCTTACGCTCGGAAAGTAAAAATTAAAACTAATAATGTCAAGATGAAAGGGGCCAGGGGCCCAGTATTTTTGCGCCTCAGGCCCGAAGATTCTTTGATCCGGCCCTGAGTCAAACTCACACGCAATGTCGGATCCTGTTCTCAGCTGTAACTTACATATGATCACTGATAATTTCGCTGATAAATTCGTGGAACGAGCGAGACTTGATAAGCGTGAAATTACATGTGATACTCAGACTTATTTTCTCGCTATCTGAGGTCAGCCCCGCTGCAAGAACCTTTTCGACAAGTTGAATAATTCATTCAGTAATTACAAAATTTTCCTCAAAAAATAATTACGGCTTAAATAAAGAGCTACGAAAGTAATTGCGAGTAGATAAATAAATAATCAAACACTAGCAGAAACTTGGGCGGAAGGAAATTTGCGGAGTAATAATTCACAAAGCTGAACTGTTAGAATTTAAAAGAGTTTTTTCTAACTCATGTTTTTAAATTGTGCCTGTTTGCCCGTGCCGCGTTCCTGACACTTGAAGAACGCATTCACATGTTTATTTCTTGTTCGTGTAAATACTTCAAAATGTACGTTAGTGCTGAATTTTTCATAAATCTGTACGCGCAAAAGTACACAATAAAAACTCTGCTTGCAAATTAAATTTAAGGAGATGTCAGCGCGACGCCACCTAGCGGCGAGTGTCCGACTTTCAGCTAGAAAACTGCTTGTCCACTGGACGCGACTCGGACGCGAAATGTTTCTACACACTTGAATCGATCTTTCTAAAAAAGTCGCGCAGATGTTCGAAATTTTCTCAACAGATAATCGCCACTAAGACTCACCATTTTCTCGGTCCATCAATTATTAACTCAGACAGAAAACACACAAACGTATGAAATATGTAAGCAGATGTTAACGGTGGGAAAATAAATTACATAATGGAAAAGTAAACATAAAAGAGCTGCAAGACGCTGTTTGGGTTTTTATTCCCGTCTGCTCCATTATAATTCCGTTCACAAGCTCCCAGCCCCTTTTCTTTATACCTTTTATAGATATTTCTTCAGACTCATATTTCGTTTTTAATTATTCACAAATCGATACAACTTTAAAACGGTTCTTTCAATTACTCTTTATAAATTATGGTAAATTTTAGTGCTGTTTATTTCAGTGACCAGTGTATAACTCTTTCAGTGTCTGGTTTCTATTCCACTCGATATTATATCAGTGAATTACCTCTGAAAGAAATAGGAGCTCAGAGTATCTACTTATTACTTGAGGGACCATCCGAGGATGTGTTGGGTTTGCCGAATGACACTCTTCCACTCTCTATAAATTGTTAAAGCAAGAAGTCAGTAGTGAATTACTGATGTTAGAGAGCTTCGTTTTTATTACCAATCATTTGTCTAATTGGCCTGACACGGAACCCAAGATCCTACAACCGCAATCCTCTTTGATGCATCTAACTCAATTTTTAGTTCTCGAGGGACTACCTGGAACTAATTTTATAACTCATCTAAGAAACTATAGATTTGTTTTTTTTTTAGACCAATTCGTAGTTCTCTCAGACGAATATATCTGCTTCTAGATTAAAAAAAAAGTGTTTTGACGGCCATTTTGTCAATAATGGCGACATTTTTTTCTTGTCGACATTTTGGTAAAAAATTATTTCCTGGTGTTTTAAGACTTCCGTAGTGGGAGTGTGTTCAGTTACGACGTTTTTTCTCGGTTAACTCGTGTCTCCGGTTTGAAGGAGAGGAACAAAAACCCTTGTCTCCGCATACGCTTATATGTATGGGCTCTTCACAAATAGATAATTAGTCGGCGTACAAAGACAGAGAATGTTTCGCATCACACAGAAGTACCTGTATGAGAAATTAGATCTTACAAAGTTCGCGGCGAAACCACTATGTCTACTTGAAGAATCTCATGTTGTGTTTGAATAGCAGACTCAAGTAGATGAAATGCAAATATCAAATGTTTGAAGTAACTAGCTAACAATATAAATTAGTTGTGACAAAGGTAGTAAAGTACGCATCGATTTTTGGGCGCCAGAAGGCCTGCGGGCGCTCCTATTCACTAGATCGATGTATTTCTTGTTTTTCTTTTCTCCTTGCATCATATTTCGCGTCCCGCTTTGTAGCAGAAGTAAGATAATTACTTGTACCGTCGCGCTGTATTTGGGTGAAGTCCACGTTCGGAGAAGGTCGGTGCTCCTGCTGCGAGAAGGGTGGCAGTAAGGCGTTGAGGGTCGTAGAGAAGAAGTGCCCAGGAGTGTGGCCACTAACCAGATTAAAAAGGTGCATTTCGAAGGGTAAAGAACTTGCGGTTTCAGTAATCAATTTAATTTCCTTCTTTCGGGTCGATTATCGAACGGTTTTCCAGGTCGCACATGCGCGCCTTCCCGCACCCAGTACAGTCCTTAGTGAAGTGCTGAAAGTAGCGTAATCCCCATGTCGCGGGCCCACACATATCACCTGATAATCAGCCACCACCATTATGACTGATTCGCATGAGGTCCTGGCAGGTGTGAAGCAACGGGTGACAAAGTTCAGTGCAACCGGACACTTCGCGGCAAGCTCGTGCTCCCAACAGGCTTCATCCTGGCTCCTGAAGTGCCCAGTAGTTTTCAGACCACATCCCGAGGTGCTCTGCTCTCACGGTCCGACAGCGGCGAGGATAAGCAAACCCGCTCCGAAATTCACTCCTCACTCGATACCATTCACCTCCGATCCCGGCCTGCGTCGCTGGTGGAAGAAGGGATCTACTTCAGCAGCTATGGCAAAAAGAGCACCTTCCGCAAGGAGTCCATCGAAGAAGTTAAGAGTTACGATTCCTATTCCTCAAGGCACTACTCCGCGCAGCTCGACCAACGCTCGTGGAGATACAAACACCAAATTCCGTCCGAACACTATCCAGCTCCAAATAGAGACTTCGGGGACAGTGATTTTTCCAGAACTCGATACCACTTTCGTGAACCTGAAACGAATCGCCTTGACTACCTCTCGTTGTCTTTGTCCCCGCCGACCCGACGCAAAGAATCTTCTTTCTATGCTCACGAATCCTTGTCTTTGTAAGTTGCTTACTTACAGTTTACAGCCGATGTGACGTAAACACCTACCCGATGGCTATATTAAGCGCCCGGTAAACAATACCATAAAAAACGCGATCGATTATCTACATGTATTATTTGCATGCACATTATCAAAGCCACCGCATGCTAGCACTGCCATCGCAACCTAATCCCTCACAACAGTTTGATTGCCCAAGTTTCTAGAGCCATCTTATAAACCTACAACATAATTAACTTACAACTAATATCCAACTAACCAAGACTACTCTTGAAACTTTACACTCCCAAAGGTCAATCGTACTTCACCCAAAAGAAATGATAAGGTCATTGTTTCAGCAGCACTTATTTACTTCTGTTGTAGTCATGTTTGTACCTAATCCTACCAGCTACGCCAAAATCGAACGGACCCTCACTACGGACTTTTGTGGTGATGTTTCCCCACAATCTACATCCAACTACTAGAAACAACACTACAGAGTTCAACTTTGGCTTTGACTTTTATTAAGTTGGTTTGTTTACAAAAAAGTAAGGCTACCGGAACGTTCGTAGGAAAAATCTACACACGTCAAAACGTCTACGACTGTGGAACCTTTGTCACAAACTCGGTACTCAAACGAAATTCATTTGATTTTAGATATAATTCGGAACAGTACTTACGGCACGTGTTTAAAAATTTAATTGTTTAGAACATTTTAAGCTTTACTATTGAAAGAAATCACATATTTATCAGTTTTTAGAAGTACTTGCATCACACAGGTGTAGCAAGTTCTAAATTATTGAAAAACGAACGTCATGACATTGACATTTGTCACACGTGTACAGAAATTCAATTATTTTAACCATTTATGAGATTAAAAACTTTTACTATAAATAAAGGTCACGTGGTTTGTCAATTTTTGAAAGTACGAAGCGTATTTTAGTCACACAGGTAGAAAATGAACTGCATATTCTTCACATTTGTCACGATTTTTTTTAAAGTACTTAACCAAATTGTCAAAAATTAACGTCATACTTTTGACATTTATAGCACGTGTTCAAAAATTAATATTTCTGTCATTTTAAAACTTGTCAAGGACGAAGCGTACGTCTTCAAAAATTTGATTATTTTAAATGTTTATTGCATTTTAAAACTTTTGTCAATTTTTTAAAATCCGAAGAGTAGGTACTACAAATTATCAAAAAATTAACTTCATACTTTTGAGATTTGTCATACGTGTCCAAAAATGGTTTTATTTTAAATCGTTTAATATTGCCAACAAATAGACTTGTCATTTCGCTTTCATGGATGTCTAGATTATAAATTTTTGTCACGGTGACAATTTCTTTTGGAAAATTGTACAAATTGTGGGTCACGTGTTTACAAAAACATTGCCAGAACGTGGAAAAGGGTGTTGATACGCGAAAAACGCCATTCGGACATGGCGCCGTAATAAAATTTCGTGCTTACTATGCAGTTGTCAAAACAGTACCTGAAATTAGAATAGTTGTTTTATTTTAGTCTAATTATAACACAATGATGTACAGCGTACACAAAATGAGATTTTTTTGTTAATTTTAGCCCTCCCAGATGTCGTTTTCCTGTTGACATTTTTGCATTTTTCTAATTCAAAAAAAAAACATAATGAACAAAGTCAAAAAACACGTGTGCGTAAGTATAAAAACGTAAAAAGGCCTTCACAAATTAAATAAAACGTTAATACCTCTTTCAGAAATTGGGAAGGTTTCAAGTATTTTTATGTGACCCGTTCGGTTGTTTGTGCGAGTTTGGTTCCGCACTACAATAAAAGCACTCCAAAAATCGGATTAAAAAAAGTCAAATTGCATCAAAGTGACAACTGCTTGATACTGTCGGTGACAAAAAATAATCGATTTAATTAAAGCCCAAGTGACAGTTGTGATAATCGAAAATTAGTGCAGAGTTTGTGACATATTCGCGGCTTAAATTATTCAACTGCCAAATATATTAACTAAAAATAAAACTCAGATCGGTACAATTTTAATTTTGTGCCTTTGCCAAACAGTAGTGACGTAATCGGTTCAAGTTGGAAGAAATAAAGTTGATATCCCTACAACTGCCCGGGAACTTCGGATTTCGATGGATGTCGAAACACGAGACATCTGCTTTGCTAACGAAACTATCAAACCCGACTTAAGTTACGAACATGACTTAGCCATACAAGAATTCTTAAGCACGCTTTGCGTAACCATATTAAACAATATTTTGTTACCGTTCGTGTATTTTGTCTGCTACAACTTGATTCTTATCATCAATGACGATGACTACGAGGCTTGTAAAAGGGAAGAAACGGAAAAAGAATCACCTATGCCTTTGCACAGAAAATACATATCCAAATCGTGTTCGCCCTTTTACTAGTAATCGATATACCTGTCTCGGTCTTGTCAAAACTTCACCGTTTTGTTTGCAGCACGCCATCGAAAAATGTAGAAGAAATGAATGAAGACGACTTACACCGAATTGTCGAAAGCGAAAATAACTGTACTTCGTCCCAAGAAGACCCCAAAAGTTACGATGTAGGTGGCTACATGCCTATCTCAGAACGAGATATTTTAGGTGATAAATACGAAGTTTGTCGAAAATTAGGATACGGACAATTTTCTACCGTTTGGCTTTGCCAAAATAAAATGTAAGTATGAGGAAGAATACAACTTCGAGTAAAGTATTTGTTCTAGAACCACTGACTACGTCGCAATTAAAGTGTCTAAGTCTCAGTCAAAACTAAGTGCGTTAGCCAAAGACGAAATAAAATTGTTAGAAAGTACGAATTCAACAAATCGTGATCACTCCGGTTTTAGGAACATAGTACAAATGTTTGACTATTTTTGTTGTCAAAGTATTAATGGCAATCACACTGCCATTGTTCTAGAAGTAATGGGACCATCATTACTACATTTAATTAAGCAGAGCGAATACAGGGGCATACAAATCCCCGGCGTCCGAAGAATAATAAAACAGGTAGTTGATCGAACCCACTGGATTGAGAAAACTGGCACAAGAAAACTATATAAATCCTTCTAGGTTCTTCAAGGTCTAGAGTACCTTCACGACGAATGCGGTATTATCCACACTGACTTGAAACCCGAGAACATTCTAATTAAGGCTAAGGAACCCTACATTCGCCAGATGGTTAACACCGCAAAAAAGTTCAATGAACTAGGAATCGCCCTCCCTAAAACTTACGGTACGTGAAGGACTCCAGCAACCCCTTTCACATTTCGTGATTCCAGTGACGTCAGATCGTTGGAACAACTTGCAAAGTTACGGGAAAGACGACGACTCGTACGAGGAAGTCCAACTTTTCCGGACAAAGTCCTATCCTGAGGATCCCTTTCTGTCGGAACTCGTTAGTTTTCGGAAGAAACATTCTGAGCCTAAGTTGAAGGGACCAATGTGGATCGATGCCAATATTGAAGTTAAGATCGGAGATATGGGGAACGCTACCTGGGTTGTAAGTTTTCGGCACAATACCGTCAAGATAGTGGTGTTTTTTTCTAGAATAACAAATACAATTCGACTATTCAAACTCGGCAATATCGTGCGTTGGAGGTGATCTTGGACGCTGGGTATGATTGCCCTGCTGATATCTGGTCGGTTGGGTGTTTAGCGTTTGAGTTGGCTACCGGCGAATTCCTGTTTTACCCGAAATTGTACGGCAATTTCTCTCTGGACGTGGACCACATTACTTTAATATGGGAAGTCCTAGGAGGGATCCCCAAGTATATAACGAAGAGGGGGTCAAAAGCTGATCTCTTTTTTTCTAACGGTAAATTGAGACATATAGAAGAAAAGCAGCTTAGGATTTGGAAGATTGAAGATGTTCTTGTTGATAAATACAAGTGGAAGCGTCTAGATGCCATACCATTTGCTGGCTTTATAGAATATTTAATCGAACCTGACCCAAGTTTGAGATATACTGCTTCAGCGGCACTCAGCTCCGAATGGATTAATGAATAAAGAATTATTCCAATCATGTATCTTTACTGTTAGAAGACTGATCATTTTCGTTCAAATTGTGTTTCCAATTTTGTTGTAATCTGTGATTTCTAATAAAAAACATAAAACCACTTTGTTGTGTTTTGGGTAATAATGGGGGGTCCTGCTTTACCATTCAAACACAGCGTTTTCTTATATATGTAATATCATAGATACAAACATTTTCCATATTTAAGAAACATACATATTTTCATTTATACATTAATCTATCACAAATAGAATTTTTATGTAAATGTAAACGAGGGTGTTAAACGATAAAATTACTTTTTAAAACAATCAACTATGAACGATGTATACAGTGAAGTCTCGCTAATCGCTTTCACAGTTTAATAAACCACACTTCTACTCCGCCTGGTCTGGTCCCTTGCGCTTGATTATCGAAAGCCCACTATATACGCTACAAAATAAATATAAAAACATTGGATAAAACAATACTCTAAATTGTTTGTCATAGAGTCTAAAGATTTGTACATCAGAGGGTAATGATAGTAGAAATGGATATGTGAAAAATTCGTAAAAATATACAAGAGTATAGGAACTAAAAATAAACACACAGAAAATTAAAACTTACACGATAAAAAATACTGAAATGGATGCTTACAACTACGAATAACAAAATAGTTGATCAAGTCTTCCTTTGGAAATAAAGTGAACACAAAATGCGTAACAATAAAATACGTAGCTTACAATAGAGAGATATAGTAATGATCACGGTTAAATGCACGAGAAAATAAGTTAACTTAAAGAAAATAGAATTAATTTTTGGTGTTGTCATACAATAAGAGAAATTAAAACTAATTACCAATAATACTAACTGCGACTTGTAGATTTTATTGTACATTATCTAAACATTCATTTTTGTGCAACTTATAAGTAACTGCTTTGTACAGATCGTTTTCACATATCCTTCGATACAAAACAACATGTAGAATTTTTACGATTCAAAGAGAGAAAAACAGTCATTAAAATATTTCAATAAAACATCAGTTTGAGATAAACTCTCCTACTTAAAAAAATATTCGTTTTCTAAGAATTTATTTATGAATAGATGACCCTTCAGAATGCAAATGCTTGTGGGGTTTTATACCACGTTGCTTGCTAAATGGCGGACGCCCCAAAGAGGTGGTGCTCCCCCCCTCTAGATCTCTCGCGATCTCTTTCTCAGTGGGCGAACCCAGAGTAAGACTCGAGAGACTAGAGGACAGGTTCATATTTGAACTAACACTTAACATTGAAGGATATTGCTGCATTTCACCATTCTCTCCTTCAGATTCTTCAATAGGAAGACAAGTTTCGACCATCGCTTCGAGACAGTTCACGAACAGTTCGCTACTTTCAGCCGTGTTGTTATACTAGAAAATAAAATAAACGATTGTGACGTCACGGTGTGTGATGTCATACCTTGTTGAACGGTCCGGCGAAACGCCAAAGCCCCCCAAAACCGCAGCTTTGCAAATAGTGAAGTTGTTGTTGACTGGTATCCTCGCAAGCTATCATATTCTGGATAATACTTCTGACAGCGCTTAAAATAACTTGGTCGTGACAGGTGGTTAAAACATTATTAATTTTCATATCCAACAAGTTATAACTGAAAACACCGTTTGAATGCGTTGCAAAAAACAAAAACTCAACTCACATAACGGGGAATACTTTTGGAAAAACTACTGCACCTTCGGCGAGGTACTGATACAGTATTCTAGTTTCTGCTTCGTCAGTACTGTATTTAACGAGAGTTGCTAAGACGGTTAAAACTAAGGCCTGAGTTGAAAAGTCTGTTAGAACTTCAGGATCAAGAAGGACGTTATTTTCGTTGCTTACTGAAACCCTGGTACTGCGGTTCTACAAAAACGGAAATGGGTAAAATATGTTACTGATAAATAGAAGTAAACACACCAAATCAAGATGCCGTAACGACGAATTGACAGCCATTCAGCATGCAGTGCAGTTAAACTAAAAAGTTTAACTTATAGATTTATCAAATACTTAAATACTCACAACTGTTTAGTGGTTGGCATTGATAAACCTATAAATGCAGATGGCGCTGGGGAGGATTCCAAATGCTTCATTTGAGCAATTTCATAAAGTTTTTAACAGTCGAAAACTAGCTAAACACCCTTCTATCATCTACTCAGATTCTTCAACTCGTTCGAGTTGAAGATCCTTGCAGCAACTACGTTTTGAGATTCAAAAATCGAACCTACCGTTTTCCGTGGCGACTAGGTTAAAAGCTTTGGAAAATTGCTAAAATGGAGATGTTCAATCCGCTCCATTACCACGAGTGTAAGGTAAGGGCTGGGTAGAAAACAAAAGCTACGATAGTTGATTTGGTGAGAAAAAGCAGTGTAGTGGATTGTTGATAGTAGAATATTACCTTATCATCAGACTCATCGAGAAGTTTTTGCTCTTTGGCGGTTGGCACCGAGAATGAACGTTGTGTTTTGAAGAGGGCACGTGCACTCTGAATGGTGGCCACCCCCAGAGAAGGCATACAGGCAAGATAAGCAGCAAGGATTAGTATGCATTATGCGGCACAAATATTCCGTAACTTGGTACATGTGCAAAATAGAGGGTTTTCCAGGCATTAAACGATACTTATCTCTCTATACTCAAGGGGAAAGTACAGTGGCAACAACAAGGACGAAACAAAGCACCATCAGGGCTACCACATGTCAAGCGAAGTACTGACGGTGAGTCCAGTCAACCGGACTGACTCCAACGAACACCGAAAAAACACGCCGGCAACCCCAAACCCGACCAAACACAAACACTGGTCGTTTAACCAGTCTTAACTTAAGTTACTCTGACGATGCGAAGCTTAGTGTCTTTACTATGTGTTCATGAAGTAATCGAGAAGATCTAGACTTCGATGGAATCAATTCCGACATGTACGAAACTGTTCTAACCTAATTTTGCCCTTTACGCCAACGACAGTTTCGTGAAGGTCGAAATGGGTCCCAAATCCGGTCGGTTTTTGACTACTTCGCCTGAACTCCGATGTGGGAACCCCGCAAACGCTAAATTACGAGAAAAATGATGTTCGCAATGAAAGATTTGCAAAAAGTAGTGACAATGCTGCGTAAGGCAGGCAAGTCTTACTTTAATGGGAGGCACGGGCTGGCTATGTGTCTCACTGTTTAATGCATTGGGTGTTGGGTTCTGCTGAACGGGTACTGAACTAGAACGCTGGGTGCGATACAGAGGCCGGGTCAGGCCCCCATTTGCCTGAGGTCCCGGGCTCTGGGATAAGTCTAGACTCCGCCAGCCTTTACTGGCTGCCGAATTTTCAACCTGGTCAGTTATGGCACGCCAATTACTATCAATTCATTCCCCAATTCACAACAATACAACTACCGATTTACCCACTCGATTTCAGATTTTCATTAAAACACATAAAGCTAACCCCAAAGCTCACGCCAGAAAGAATTCGCACACTTTCACTCATCGACAACAACAATACAACAACGACAAGCAGCAGTTGCCAAATTCCACCTCATAGATCTCCGTAAAACGAGCAAAAACGTCACACTTGTCTTCTACAGCCAATTTGTCATAACACAGCTTCGATCCTGTTTTTATTAACGATATTTTCGTAAAAGTGACCCGAAAATGGCGCAGTCGCGGTAGGATGAAAATCACTATTTCCTTTCTGAGACGAAGTGGCACTGTTTTTGCAAGTTAAGCGCTGAAAGCAAACGACGAGTTTGACTTTGACGAAAAATAGTTGCTTTCGTTGTCACACTACACACAGTAGGTTTTTAGGTTGAGTGACTCGGAAATTTGAAACAACAGTAAGCCCACTATGTGCGAAAGCGACGCATACACTCGTTTTGACACTCACTACACAAAAAAGTTTGACAATTATAAAAAAATGTAACCTCAATGCAGACAAACGGAGTTTGCTCCTGTGACAAGTTTGAAAAAATCACAATATGCTCCCATTCAAAACAACAAAAAAAGATTGAATCATGCTTCGCATTGGAGATTATCAAACCGGCAAAAACTGATGAATGGAACGATCGTGAACATAAATTCACATCAATATCAAATCGAAACAACAACGAACATACAACGACGTGAAATTGAACTGAAAAATGGTGTGAACTCATTTTCGATAATTTCCAGAAACATATACGAAAGAAACGTTACTCGTGCAGTTGATTAATTGACCAAAAAATCAATACTACTACTACTGTAACAACCCTTGATAAAAATAAAATGTGTCCATTAAACATACTAACATACTTTTACAGTTAGGAACAAAGTTGTTATTAGTAGCAACAATTTGACTACTCCATTACAAGTATTTAAATGTGGAAGTCCTACCTGGTGTTGTGGTGGCTGTTTATGTTGCCTGGCTTGAGCAATGGCCGATTGATCTAAAAGATCCCAAGATTTTTGGCGGCGATTAACGCCGCTACCCGTATTGGAAACATTTCCTGAGTGATTACTTTGGTGGCTCATATTTGTCATGTTCTCGTTCATGAAATTCTCTTGCGAGATCGAATCCGACATGTTCCGTGAAAGAGAATGTTTAATATGGCAGCGACTTCGGACTTCTTCGGATACACCAACCAAAGCTGAAATCAATCAGTGAGTGTGAATAGAACGCGCTTCTCGTGATGGTTTACCAGTGAGGTAGGCTACACTATCGGGTGTCACTTCGAACTTATCCCGCCGCTGCGGTTTGGCAACAATAGCAAGCAACATGGTTAAAACCCGTGATGTCCGTGAAACTGTAGTTGGTGTGGGATGGCGGTATCCCTTGAGCAAATGTCCTACTAAAGCAAAATGAAAGTTCGCCTTAAAGCTAAGCCCCACAGCGTGATCGAGTTGCTTAAAATGCCACTCTAGCGGTTCCCTTGTCGACATCATTACGTTCTCAAGCGTCTACAACCAGCACGTTACACAAGAAAAACTCAGACCCTTACAATTACCCTGTCTTCAAAAATTCCCTGAGAATCCAAAGTATGCAAATTCTGTTCAAGCAAAGCCAACCCAGAAGCGTACAGGGAGACCTCGTCCAGCTGTAGAACGGACGTGGCGACCCAAAACAAGGCTTTATGGATGGGAGACTCTGGCCTTAGCAAGGGCTGCAGCCGCGTCAAACACATCACTAACGCCTCAATGAGAACGATGTCGCTGAAACTTTCCAACGCCTTAACCAGAATCCGCAAAAGCTGTTTCATGTCGTGATCAGTAATACTCTTACTGATGCACCCGAACACGATGAGGGCCCTCGGTTGTAAAGCGGGATTAAAACAGAAGGCGAAACTTTTGGCGAGCGACGTCCAACTGTTGAGCCAATCACAGTCGGGGATATCGTGCATGCAAGCTTCCATTATTTCTAATAAAGCATCAGTTATGACTTCGAGGGAAGTCAGCGAGAGTCTTTCTCTGTCTTGCGAAGCGCCAGAGAAACTTCGTTCGGTCCCAAACCAGCGCTCGTTCGGGTGTCGATAACTAGATCTGAAGGCTGTCACAGCAGCTGACTTAACTTTACTAATACCGAACAACAAATAGAATTTTGGTAGAGAAAATTCATCTAAAGATAAGCGTAAAACTCTTTGGGTTTCTTCCGAGAAAGAAGGTTTCGTACAGGTACACAGAGAATGAATTATATTAATAACGAGCCCGTGAGTCGAGGCTCGCATGCTTAGAGATCCAGAGCACACCAAGAAAGTTACTGTATGGAACAAGTACGGTAAATGACGAGCAACATCTAGACAATTGTTAAAAGACAACATCAACAAATATCGCGCCAAAATTGCAATATCGTCCCACATCATGTGCTGTTCTAAGAGCGGAGTTGGCGATTGACACGTTTTATCGACAACTCTACAGAGCCTACCAATAACTTTCTTAGCTACCAACTGCACATTCGCCGACGCTAGCGCAACAGCAGTATCCGCCATTATCTCCACCATCGGAGACCCTAACCCCGAATTAACCGACCTATGTATAAAATTATCCAAAACCATATCTATTAACTCAGGAACTTGACCTATGGACCCCCAAATCTTCGCCTGAATTGAAGGATACATTTCCACCTCTTCGATCGTCAACAAAATAAGCTTTTCCAAAATCTGCGCCACTTGCTTCTGCCTCTTATTCTCCTCCGACGGCTTACAAAACTTCACCAAATTCGCCAGCCACGGCGTCATGTACTCCAAACACAAGTGCTTCAACTCGATGCTCGAAACCCGGAATCCCTGGATGCATTCCTCGAGGAATTCCAGAGTCAAATGTGGCTCGTTCGTCGCCAGCTTTTCGGACACCGACTTGATGAAAATCGTGTTGTTGGAAGGAATGCACAGCCCTTGGGTTTCGAGCAGCTGACCTTCGATCTTCAGGTCGAAGGTCGCCGTCAACGCACACAGCTGATTGTACGCAGCCGTGCGGAGATTCGGGTCGGAAGAACCCAAATTCAGCAGAGCCATGTTCAGGAGGGTCCCCGGAACGTCCTTCGGCCGGATCTTCTGATGGACCGTCACAGAATCCTACAAAATAATAACATGACCACCGCGAACCAACAGCGAAACGTGGAGGTCTCACGGAAGGACGACCCCTACCCCGTCTTTCAGAAAGATGAAACACCGTCGAGGAGAGTCGAAGGATTGCTAGTGCGTCTTTCGGAATGATGGAACCAGGTGAAATCCAGCAGAAACCTATCGAGAAAGGTCAAAGAACCGCTGCTGCGTCTTTAGGAAAGAGTGAAAAGGCTAAGGTCTGAGAAAAACTGTCGAGAAAGGTCGAAGGACTGCTACCGCGTCTTTAGGAAGCATGGAACGGGGTGAGGTCCAGGCAAAAACCGCCAAAAAAGGTCTCACGGAAGAAGGACCCCTACCCCGTCTTTCAAAAAGGTGAAACACCGTCGAGGAGAGTCGAAGGATCGCTAGTGCGTCTTTCGGAATGATGGAACCAGGTGAAATCCGGCAGAAACCTATCGAGAAAGGTCAAAGAACCGCTGCTGCGTCTTTAGGAAAGAGTGAAAAGGCCAAAGTTTGAGAAAAACTGTCGAGAAAGTTCGAAGGACTGCTACCGCGTCTTTAGGAAGGATGGAACGGGGTGAGGTCCAGGCAAAAACCGCCAAAAAAGGTCTCACGGAAGAAGGACCCCTACCCCGTCTTTCAAAAAGGTGAAACACCGTCGAGGAGAGTCGAAGGATCGCTAGTGCGTCTTTCGGAATGATGGAACCAGGTGAAATCCGGCAGAAACCTATCGAGAAAGGTCAAAGAACCGCTGCTGCGTCTTTAGGAAAGAGTGAAAAGGCCAAGGTCTGAGAAAAACTGTCGAGAAAGGTCGAAGGACTGCTACCGCGTCTTTAGGAAGAATGGAACGGGGTGAGGTCCAGGCAAAAACCGCCAAAAAAGGTCTCACGGAAGAAGGACCCCTACCCCGTCTTTCAAAAAGGTGAAACACCGTCGAGGAGGGTCGAAGGATCGCTACTGCGTCTTTCGAATGATGGAACCAGGTGAAATCCGGCAGAAACCTATCGATAAAGGTCAAAACACCGCTGTTGCGTCTTTAAGGATAGGCGAAAAGGCTAAGGTCTGAGAAAAAGTGTCGAGAAAGGTCGAAGAACTGCTACCGCGTCTTTAGGAAAGATGAAACGAGGCAAAAACCGCCAAAAAAGGTTAAACAATCGCTATCGCGTCTCTCGGAAGGGTGAAACGAGGCGGACAAAAGCTATTGTGTTTTCGAAAAGGGTAAAAAAGAGATAGGTCCAGGCGGAAACTATTGAGGCGTCTTTCGGGAAGGTGGGACGGGACGAAACCCGGTCAAAAACCATCGAGGACGGTCGAAGGTCCACTAATCTTTGATAAAAAGTGGAAGAAGGCGAGATCCGGACAAAAACCCTCAAGGATCATCGAAGGATCGCTTTCGACAAACCGTCTTCGGAAGAGGCAGAAAGCGGCGCGATACTAATAAAAACCGGAGAAGTCGGGGCAAAAACCGTCGAGGACGTCGCAGGAGCGCCGGGACGTCCTCTAAGGGGGGTGGAAGACGGCGAGATCCCTCCTTTCGTGTGACCTCCACGGCATGCAATGGACTCACCGGCTGGCTGAGCTCCCAGCGGTTCCGTATATGTATAACCGCTTGTACAATGCTATCACAATCGTTATGAATAAAACTAAGAGGACCGCTTTCGTTCGCGATCGTCAGAGTAAACTGGTTGTCGTCCACCAAGCACACCTCTTCGATTTCGGACGCGTAGTAAACGTCGTTCAGGAGCACTGAGTGGGACAAGACTTTGGTTTTCTCTGACGAGGTTATCTGAATCGCAGTTGGTCCTACTTTTATTGCAACTTTGGTGTCCTTATGTGATAATTTAAGTGCGTTGTTAAAAACTTTTAAATCTTCATCTAAACTTAGAGTAGCACCAGGCAATTTTTGCTGATCGAGTTCGATGAATTCCGTCAGTTTGTTAGGGGCATCAATAAAGATCAACTTCCGATTTCCCTACGACACGATTGTGAGAGTACCGGGCGGTGATTTGGTACGTACTTACTTACCTTGAGAGGGGCCAAAATGCGATCATGAAATTTGGTGTATTCACGAACCCAGCTATTACAATTATAAATATACGCTGCATGAATATTTTCATAGGCAACTTCAGGCAAAACGTAGAACCACTTTTGTAAAAATTCAGTCCTAAACCTATTATCTGAGCAAGTGTGCGTAAAGTCAACTACTAATTCGAACGGAGAATGACAGAAAGGCTTTAAAGTTAGAATCACATGATAAATCAACATGTCGCCGTTAGTTTCCCCGATTCTGTAAGTAAAGGTCACTTATTGTGACTTAAGTCTCCGGGTACTTACTTGTATCTCCTGGCGATGTAGTAGAAAACCGGAAATCCAGCCTTACTAGTTCCCGCTTGGTAGAAGATATTCAAGGATTTAATCGACTTGAATTCTTCTTTCTCGTGCATGTTGTGTTTCACCATCAACTCCTCAAACTTCGTCGAAGACATATCGATAGAACTCCAGCGTGCGTACGAGGAGAACAAAAGACTAAAAGTGAACATGTAAACACGATTTTCTCGTTTCGGACTTTGACAACTCACTGCGAATCGACAGGTTTGTGTTCCGGTGGACCCAAATAAGCTAACAATGTCGCCATTTTATCAAAAGGTCTCCGACCAACAGCTTTGTGATCTCTGCTACTAGACAAATAATCACCAATTTTCTCCTGGTGGTTCCACAACAGTCTATGCAAAGCTAGCACATTAGCGTCACTTATGAACGACATTGAATGAGACGTCTGATCAACAGTCTCACAATCGGACGCAATTTGTATAAAAAATCTACAAAATTACTCATCATAACCGCTCGAACTTATTATTATTCATTATACCGTCTCCCGATTTCAAAATGGGCTCTCAGGAAATCATTGAATGGCAACATGTGCTGTTCCTTACTAAATTCGACATGGTTAGCTATATTTTGGAGAATTTTCGACATCAACATGAGCCCCCTTTTCACAGACGTCGGGACCTGCTTAGTCACAATACCCATCTCTTGCGGCGAAACGATAGCGGGATTAATAAATCGCAGAAATATGACAGTACCAACAGCACCGATATTATGTTGCGGCACTTGCGGAAAGCGTTTGCTCAACACCTGGTAAAGACAATGGCACATCGACCTCAACTGCGGCGGAAACTTATCCGCACTACTAACAATCGCGTCGAACACTTTCTGCGTCAAAGCGATCAAATTCTGCCTGTTTTCTGCGATATCTTCGTTAGGCTCTAACCTGCAAGCGACAACCGCACCACGCATCAGTAACACGAAACTCGATTTCCAATTGATACGAAAATGTGAAGCAAAGCATGAGCGTTGCAAACTTTTGCGCAGTGACGCAATTCCTTCTGCAACCAGCGGATCAAGCAGAAAGCCGCAATTCCTCGCCACCCGTGAAGAAAAAAAACTGCTCCAAGCGATGCCTTTATCCCCGCAGATTTCGTGAAGTAGCGCAATGCCACATATATAACGCTGACCAACGGAGGATTAGCTCTATTTTAAACTATATAATACAGCAAAAGTTTGTAACGCTCACTCGTATTTCAAACCAACCCTCAGTCCGACTCACCTGGCCGGATCCACCTCGAAACTACAACACGGATCGTCCAACAGCGGACGAATTAACGGCTCCAACAAACATTGTAAATAACTAGCACCATAAATTTTAAAACAGAACGCCATTATTTTACTCCCTAGAGAATTCCCGCGGAACAAAGTTTGCATACAATCGGAAACTTCGACCTCCCGGTAGAACATGTTCCAGAGCAGCGGCGAGAGCAAGTGTTTCGCGTCGAACAGCGTCACGAAAACGCGCGCCAACTCGTCCATCTGGCTCGTCGTGACTACGTTAGCCAAAGCCATGGCTATGGGAAGCTCGCCCTTATCGCTTATCATTGTCACGAGTTGTACCAGCTGCTCGAACCTGTCCGCTAACACCGTCTCTGCCAACGTGTCGAACTCAGTTCCTTGTTGCAGGATCTTGGTGAGGACTTCCATGAAGGCGGCGCGAGTTTGCAGGTCTTTGTTGTACCCCAGATCTGAGACACGGGGTTTTGGTAAGGTGTTGTATCGTTGTGGTACTTACCGATTGAGTGCATCAATCCGCTGTCGATGTTCGCGGAAAGAAGGTTCGACATGGCTTGGATGGTGGCGTTGCGTAGAGTACTAAGTTTCCCGGCGTTGACGCGCTGTCTTTGGACGTCTTTTTCGACGTCCGCGGCGTCGGAGCAGTCGTTCAAGAGATTCATGAAGAGAGTGAAATACTTGAGGAAGAGTTGGCTTTTGGCTTCCATGAGGTCGCCCCGGTCGGACTCCTCCGGTTGTAGGGGCAACCCCCTCAGAAGCGCCGCTACGGCCTCCATACACGCCTGATCCAAATCTCTGGTGATCATAGTAACGTCGCCCGAACTCGGCGGCGCGATTTGATGGGATGTCCCCATCACCCAATCAGTCAAATACTCAACTAACTTATTCCTAAACTTCATTTCTTGCCTAAAAGCTAAATCATCACGTCTTTTCATCATTGCTTCAACCAGTTGACACAATTTCGTTTTTATATGTATTGCATGAACCGTCATGTCTAAATGACGTACGTATCTAACAATCGCAAGCATCATCCCTTCTATGCTCGTCACACCTAAATGCTCGCTCGGTTGGTCGTTTTTCGTACTATCTAGAATATTTTTCATTATAAAAATAATATGCTCAATAAATTGAGTGTTGACATCTGAAACTACAACTTGGCCTTGTTGATCGAAAAACTTATCAACAATGGTTTTGATTTGCTCGAAAAGAATAGGATATAAAGCTGACGACATTTCGTGACCCACCAGCTCCTTGACGTGCTTTTGGATCTGTGCGCCGAATTTCTCGTTGTTGCAGACCAACAAGGGTAGGAGCAGATCGACGAATCTGCAACACGTCGCAGTAGGAACGGAGGGTTCGCGCATGCGCGACTTACTGTGTGACGGGACAATACTGCCGCTGCTCCTGCCCGGACCCGGTCAGCACGCTCGACTTGCGGCCCTCCGACGTGTTGCTACCGATCGAACTAATCGTAGACGTAGAAAGACTGGAGTGTGACGATGCGGACAGAGTCGGTCTCGACGGCGACTTCCTCTGTAAACACACACCTCCCAAAGCACATAAAAACCCTGTCATGTTGGCCCACTCATTGATCTGCTCTTCTAGCTCGTGCTCCGAGTTCTGATGAGACGCCCTCCTCTTCCCCATGGACCGATGGAACGGCTCCATCTGCCCATCCTCCACCTTCGCCTTCGGGTAAGACGACAGGTTCTTCGACATCGAGTTCCAGTTCATGAAGGTTTCCTCCCACGCGGGCTGGACGCCGTTAACGCAATGCTCGATTTTGCGCAACAGCGCCATTATGCGCTTTTGTAAAGCGGCACGTCCTAAAGAAAAGCGATGTACGACGGTTCTAACAATTCATGACTTAACGATACTTACCGTTCGCGTGTTCTGGGAAACACATTCTAGATTCCCCGCTGGCTGTTATTGTTTAAGTATTACTTAACGGAAGCGAAGGGGAGGTACTTACCTGTGGTTAAGACAGTAGATGCTTGCGCTAGTTCTTGATAAACGTGGTAATTCGGAACGAGGTAAGTGACAGTGACTTCGTCGGACCCGCAACGAATCTCTGCCTCTTGACAAAGCAAAGCAAAACAACTCATGGCGACTAACGCCGCATCCATGTCGATGCTCCACAAATACATGAAAAATACGACCTGCGAAATACTTGAAGTCATAACCGGAAACGCACCTGCGGCTCCCACGTCAACTCCTATCGGTGATGAAGGGAGCCGTGGGTGGGTGTCAACTATGAACTAACCTCTAATTTAATGTGCGCTTGTTTGCAAATCGGTATTTGGCTACCGAGATTAGCGTACTCCTTATGTCTAGATAAAAACGCGTTTCTACAAATCAAAATTTCTCTCAACCACTTCAGAATATCCGTATAATTCATAATTTGGTGTTGAATAAGTTTTTGCGATATAGAAAACAGCACTTGAGAACTGAAGCAAAAGTTTTTACTTGTAGGTCATGTGTGTACCGGGACGCACCTAACATCCCAAAACGTATTAATTGGTGCTTCAGGATTCCACACTTCAATTTTTTCAGGATGATGTAAAACTAATAAGGCTTCCATTGCTTCTTGTGCGACGTCTGGCATGGTAGGTTGATGTACAAGAGATACCAAGCCATTAATCAATTCTAATGTAGAACTTTGTATTTCGTGACCAGCTTTACCTTGATTCTGCAAACGGAAATAAATTGATTGTTGGAGCGAAGTAATTGTACATACGTTTAACATTAACATGGGATCGGCATGAATCAAACGCACCATATACAACAATAAATTCCTATGTCCAGGCACTTCTTCGGCTCTTTCCTTAAACTTAGCTTGAGAATCTTTACCTTTAAGTGTTAACGATTGTATCATTCGTAACGGTGTGTGCGCGATGTATCCCTGAGCAACTTTATTGAGAGTATCAGTAAACATTGCTCTTAACTCGGATGATTTACTATAAACTAGATCTATTTTGGGCCACCAGTGTAACTTTGATTCAGTGACTATCCGATACAACGACCTAACTAAAACGAAATGGTACACCGAAGGAGAATTTAAATTGAGGCAAACTTTTAAAGCTTCATTGTTGTGCGGTTTGATACGAAAACAGGAGACAAAACAATCAATCATCAAATCCATATCTTGAGAGAGATAATTTTGTCCTCTGGAGAACAATTTTGTCGTATTAAAAAGTAGCGACTACAAAAAAACCATCAATTGAGAACCGAAAAAATCCTTACACGTTACTTTAAGATCGTTAATCACACTTTGAACCAACGTGAATGCGACGTTATTCGAGTCCTTGTTGTTAATGTAAGTCGAAGCCTTACACAACTTGACACAGGTAACGGCCGCGGCTTCAGTCAACTGCTTACTCGAATTCCCATGTGGTCCAATCCCGCGTTTTATTGCATCGATAAATTGCTTCTTTTTATTATGCCTGGGTGAACACGGGGCACCACTATCCGCGTTCACGATCTCTTCAAGGACTTTCTGTAAAAAAAAAAATACAAAATCGCAATAGTGTCAACTCAATCTGAGCCCCCAAGACGAACCTGCGCCACAATTATACAACGAAACACAAAAAACACGTGATCATGGTGACGTCAATGCGCAATCGACCGTTTCGTGAATCTCGCGCAACTAAAATGTCACGCACGTCGTTTTGGCGGCTCACCCTGTATATACTTACAGGAGCTAAAATTAGAAGCATAATTTGTAGCGACCAGACAGCGGCTCTGCCTTTCTTGTTGTCAGCAAAACTGTCTAAAATGTCAAACAGTTGTTCACAGCACTTTGACAATTCCTCGTTTGTGTTTTTCTGTAGTTCTGCGAATTCGTAAGGGTAATGATCCATCCAGTTCCAGATAGCTTTTTCGAGCGAATTAACAAAAACAAGATGCGCCGATTTTTTGAGTAATCGGAACTTTTGTATGGCCTCTGTAACGCAATTTTTTTAAATGAGACAAAGTTTGCAGGTGGATTGCGGTTAACACATACAATAATTGTATAAAAATCGGTAGTCAAAGTACCTGTTAGGAGTTTGGTAAGTCTATTAACATCGACATTTATGTGCTGAATTAGTTCGATATCACTGTAATCGGGATTTTCGTCTGGACACGATGCAAGCTCTTGTAATTTGGATGAAATTCGATTAAAGACAGCATTAAAGAAATTAACACTCAAAGCAAACAAAACTTTACTGGCTAACACTTTTATTGCGTGTGTGTTGGGATTATCGTTTGACATATCTAAAACAAACCAAGTGAATAATTCAACTAAAATTCAATCTTTACTACTGACCTAAAAATGCACAAATTTCCTTCAACAAAGATTTTAAATTTTGATTTTCTTCCATTGTAAGAGTAATCGAATCTTTCGGTTGTTGGCTAAAACATTTCTCTAAGGTTTCTAGAACTATAAGCAGACTGTCATAGTAGTTTTTCTCTAGTTCTGGACCATGTTGCCGTGGTGCCCCACATGTTCCAGTCTGATACTAAATAAAAAAAAATACATGCAGTTAACCATTGAGCCAACATTAACTTTGTTGAAATAAAAATCAGCCAACAATACACGTAATAACGAATATAACAACTCACCAGTTCATGTATTCTTTTTAAAACTTTAACAAAACCATCTAACACCAAAGCAAAACGATATTTTGAGATCTGAATAATGCAAGTCTTGTTCTGTTCCTCATTTATTCTTGAATGGGTGGTTTGAGGCCCAATTCGGCAAGGCAGCTACAATTAAAACCCCTCAATTACTACCATTTAAAACCCTTATCATCTTAAATTTAATTTCCATCCTGGTCCATCATGTAAATATTGATTAGAAGGTGGGAGGATATCTGTGTACGTTCCTCACCTACAAAACCGCGTTAACGCATACTAACCTGTTCCTCAAAACGCACAATCAAAGTATTAGCCCATTCTCCTGGCTTTTGTGTTGCCATTTTATTAAAAATACAAAATTTTACATTATTAGGACGACTTTAAAGTGTTGACATTTTTAGATTAGTTGTGCCATTTGACAGCAGTTACTTTATATGCGTGTTCTCTACCAACCACAGTACCAACCTAGGCGACCAAGAAAACTAAACCCACGCGCTAAATCGATCATGTTTCACCAGATGACGCCTTCGCTAATCTGAATTTGTAATACGTAATACGTCGATCTTATGCATATTCAAATGTAATCACGGCGACAGTTTCTATGTTTATTAACTTGTAACTTATAATTTAAAAATTGAAACCCGAGGCAACTCATACATCTTATTATCAAAGTTTACGACTTGTAATGTTTTTATGAATGTATTATTCAAATATTGTTTAGAGTTATAATTAAATTAACCGGATTTTTTACCGATAAATCAATCACTTAATATTATTCGAAAGTCGAATTGAGGTTATGTTTGTTTGACAAGTAACTCGTAATCTGTTGGATCCATCAGTTAAGGAATGTAATTTAAAATAATGTAATGTAAAACATTGGTGCTGTTTTAACTGTCAAGCCGTCAACACTGTCGATCTGTCAGTTTGATGAAAAATTGGCGTGAAATTTAAACTGATTTATTTTACTGGTCAACAACATCAACGTTAATAACAGGTTAATTTACCGGCGAGCAACTTGGGTATTGTTATTAACTCACAACACTAATTCCTAAAAAAAACAATGAATACGTATTTGCATAAATTATAATTTATTACACGGTAATACGTCAATAGGTTATATATACTTGGTACTATTAAATACAAGAATGAAAGTAAAATAAAATCAAATCTATAATACCATACATAATGTTTAAAAATAATAATAAAATATCAGTAGGCTATGGACAAGTCATTTTTTTTTCGAAGATAGAAATTTTTAATATGACGTCAATATTTTTAGTCCGTCCAGCGAATTTAAAGGTGAGATAAAGACGTTTCGCGAACAAATTACACACCACATTTTTTCTACGACTGCATTTTAATAGTAAAATTATTTAAAAACTGTCATTAAAATATGGTCTTTTGAGAATATAATTGACAAAAACAAGTCAGTCTTAAATTGATAGATTTTAGTTGCATGTTTTTTTCGACTCACGTCTTTCCTCTTTCTTTTTGATTTTAGTTCCTCTCGTCCTGTATTCTCAAAAATTTTAATAAATATACTTTTCTTTTGCTTCTGTGTCATGCGCAGTTGTATTCCCAAGGGATACAAAAACGCATCCCTCTAGCTTAAGCACCACAATTCCAAATCTTAACTTGGCCATAAAGTTATGACCCCTTCCGAAAAGTGTTTTTTTGTAGTAATGAGAATCGTGGCTTAAGATCTAAATGTTTTAGTGTAAAGTTATCGTCAATTTTAGTGTCGTGCATTTAAATTTTCAGTAAAAATCACAAACATGAAGAAGCTTCGAAAGTTTCTGCGGAAGGGTAAGTTCTGTGTTTTGAGTTTATTTTCAAAAATAAAACAATGTAGTCGATGTTGTTCGAAAAAACTTGTAAAATTGGTAAAAATTTTTCAAAGTCGTGTTTTTGGATTATAATTTCGAACCTAAAGTATCTAGTTTTCAAAATGTGACATATTGAAGTAGATTGTAAATCAGGACTGTGGAAGAATTCAACGTAATTTGCATACTTCTAGTGGACCGTGAAATATTTTAAAATAAATGTAAGTAACCTTCACAAATAATCGTGTTAATAATCACATGAACCAATTCACGACAGACGGCGCCAAATTTACGGAATTATAAGACACTTTTTTTATTTCGTCTAATAACGACCTCGCTGCAGAGATTTGCTTAAAAATAAATTAATGAGCGGAAATTATTTGAAATAAAAAAACGTAAATACCCAGCTGCTAATTATAGAATCAGTGGTATTAATAGCACTTTCAGCACCAGGGATTTTTTTGCCAATGATTACTTAGTTACTTAATTCGTTTTTAATTATACAGTAGTTGGTCTAGAAGTAACTGTCGCAACATCAAAGATAGTGACAGCATTGTGTAAATGACAGAGAAAGTTTATTAATGCACTTATGTATTTGCTGATACATTATCAGTGTTGTAACGCAAATCATGAGCTTGAAAAAAATAATAACACGAAATGGCAACCGTATTCGTTGCGAGCGTAGCGAGCTATATTGTATTTTTTCCATCAAATATTTAATTTAAGTAACTGTATTCATTTTGTTAACAATAATTAATGAAATTGTGGAACTACGAAATCCAATCTGCAACAACTTAAAGCCGTTTCAGTTAATTTACCTACGATGAATACAATAGATATTAAGTTGCATTCGCCCGAAATTATTCAATTTTGCCAAAATTATAGACGTTGCCCAACAATAGAACTTCGAATAGCAAATTAGTCAGGGAGAAAGTGGTAGATCTTGAGAGGGTGAAGCTCAAGAGGTTCAAAGGAACAATCATCTACTCCTATTTTCTGCAAATTAGGCTTATGTAGACCTTAATAAAGTTTTTTTAATAATAATAGGTCTTGGATATTACAATAGGAGTGTATAAAATATTGCAGACTTACCTAATCTTAAAACAAATACAACGATCATTCTATATATATATGCATTAGAAAATACATTTACAACTTGTTCTACAAGTGAAAACAGAGGTTATCTTTTTAAAACAACAAGCGTGCAACTGTTACCCCCACTTCACCTCCGGCTTCGTCTTCACAGATCGTTTAATTGGTTCCGAGATGAAAGGCGGGGCTTAATGAAAATATTTAAGTATATTTAAAAATATTTTCATACACTTTCCAAACATGTTACTGCTGAAAAAAGCAAGCACACTTAGATACACACATAGATACCTCACCAGCCCATTCTGTCACAATCTTGTGAACATTTTTTCATCGTAAAGCATGCGATCGAACAGATATATATCCGTTTAAGAAAATATAAAATAAATTAACACCTGTTTTAAATATGTTTGTTGACCAAACTGGCGTCAACACGCTCCGCCCATGTCCCCACCATCTCTTAACGAGTCGTTTTATTGATCGTTGACATGAAAGGCGGAGCTTAATTGTAAATAAGATATTTATGAAATTAGTCTTTGAAAAAAATGAGGGTATTTCTCCACCGCGCCTTCACCTTATTGACTCACTTTTTTCTTCGCGAAATTAAAAACAGAACTTCAATATTAATACAAGTTATTCGTGAACAAAAAATATATTTTATTACCTTAATATTAACATTTTACGAACAAGTTTAATGAAAACTGTCTGGTTTCGTTTTTGCTATTCTGGGTCACACCCGAATTATTTTGTAATAAATGTCACAAAATTTTAATTTACTATTACAGACCTAGTTGCGATTGGTAGACACTATCGGTTTCGTTACTTGGCAGGTTGTTCAAACTGCGTCAAAATATTTGCGATAATTGTGATAATCATAATAGTAAACATCACTTTTGTGTAAATTGCATTATCGTTGCACTTTTGTTTGTGTTTTCTGTTCTCACGAAGAATCTAAGATCACGGACGTTGTTTAAGTCGCATTAAAGTGAAACAATAAGGAGAAATGTTTAAATGTAAATGCTTGCAGGCATAGGTTGTAAGAATGCATTTAATTACTATTTCGCTAAGTTATTATGGTAATTAAGTCATAAAATACACGCATCGTTGTATGAATATTATTTGCGATTATACACACTACAGTATCGACTGTATACGACTTGATCATATTTACCGAAGCTCACTTCCTTACTAATTTCAAAATTTTGGACGTAACTGAGATAACCTTGTACAATATGTAATATTCATCTGACAAGTGAGTAAGTAACTGAAAGCTGTTTCCACGCACCCAAGCCCAATTTTACGAAACTAGAGCTGTAACAATTGCAACACATTTATTATAATACTACGTGATACTTTTCCTTTCTTTTAGACTAGATACATGTGTTTTAGCAACTACCTTAATAAATTGTATTACATGCGTAACATAAACATTATCCGAAACACCCATGCGTAAAGTACGACCTTGAAAAACCATATATGTATATAGCGAAATATGTTTTTCTTATGGTAGACAATGTTTTTCTCAGAAAAAAAATATACGTTAGTCACGGGATGCATGATTGCCTATTATGTGTCACAATAGTCGGATTATATAAGTGATGACGCTTCCAAACAGAATGTGCAATGTCAAGTTTAAACAAATTCGGTTTATTTGGGAAGACTATGTACCAAACGAAAGAGCAATACCATGAAGGTTGCCGATATCGTTCGTAAGTAGGTAGAACCTGCTAGTGACCCCAGCAGTACGCTACTATATGGAAAAAAATTTTTATAACACACTTTCACTATTGGTTTTTTAAAATTGAGGCGACTTAGTGAGATCAAGTTTTCCTCGATTAAATGCTAGAGTGAGTAATGGAAATTACCGGTTATGCTGCAGCCTTCACTTACGTACGCCATAATTTCACAATTTTTTCAAATCAAATGAATTTTCTAAAAATAAAACACACCTTTTGTTAATTTTGATTTTTATTTTACATTTTTCGAATAAATATAACAAAAATCTACATATTCACTTACTGTTTTGTATAATCAAGGAATTAATAGGTTTATAATAGGAATCACAGATTTTGTAGTGCTGGGGGTGGTGTACACATTTTCTGAAACATACACAGGTTACCGATGACGTCACAAAAAACACAATGAAGTACCTCAAATGCTATAATTCACCAATATAATCTGCACCAATTTTCCATATAACGTCATTGTAAGATGGACCGGTTTCTAGTGTTTGTAGTAACTCAAGAGAGCGACAAGGCTGGACTGTTTAATGTTCATGACAGTGTACCCCGGAGTACGAGGTTAGAAGAGTTTAAATCCAATTATGTCCCCCCTTCCATCGATGGATACCGCAAATACATAAATAAAAATAAAAACAAGTTGTCTTGAAAATCGTAATGACTTACGGCGCTTGAAATAAAAGGCAGTGGCGTACTTTTACTTACACACTTAAAAAATGTAGGAAGTGTTGGAGTTCAGCGGAGCATTTATGGGTACATTGTTTTTCTGAACATCGAAAGAAAAGTCAAGTTAGCATTATTAAATCCGAAGAAGTTAAAATTTGAACTTAAATAATTATTCAAGTGTTTAATAAGCTGCATTGCAGTTTTGTGACTTTAACGTTATAAAAAATAACGATGTAAAGTTGAATTATTGCGATGACGCAAATGTGACCTCTTAGTATGGGTTACCTTGGAATTTACCTCATTTAACCCACTACCAACAGATTTTGTAATAAAAGTGTTATCACGATTCCGTTCATAAAAAAGAAACGAAGAGAAAGACAACGATAACAAACATGTTTTCTTTGGTTTAAGTCAGATACTGAGTATCACTTTATTATATAATTCAACCATCAACTGAATCTATCACATTCAATGACCGTCTTACTCTCACTCCCATCATGCACGGAAGTTTGTAAAGTGTCTAAAAAGTGACTTGCAATTTTAACCACAACAAAACCAAACAATTTTTTTTTATATCCGCCGTGTCGCCAATGAGTTTGTGTTCTTGAAGCTTTTACACTGAATTTCTATCACATAAAATAGAAAATTTCCGTATCATTTAAAAAATATGGGACAGCCCATGGTCACATCCTAGACTTCCCGAGGCGTCATTTTCTTGCGGAGTTCGCAAAATTGTACAATTAATAATTTTACAGTCTTTCGGTCGGTTCGTGATAGATCAAAACGTTCCCTAATACAATCATGATAATGATGTACACTCAAAATCAATAGGGTGTGATTCTGGGTAGTACTGTGTATGGCGTAAGCGTCTTCACATGCAATCGCACAAGATTATACTTATGCAAGCCAAAACTGCATTGCATTATCAAAATTTAACAAGAGTAAGGAAAGTTAAGCGTTGCATTTGTTTGACGAGACAAGATGGAGATGTCAAGGTCGTGTCAAAGTAGTTTTGTGGTTTTACATATGGGAGTGGGCAAGATAAATCAATAAAAATGTCACAATCCTTGACAATGCTGGTTTTACGCAATTCTACAACTGCGTTGAAAGTAATTATGCATTAAAGTAGTAATGCGATTCATTTTAATACACTATTTAACTTATCACTAAATTAAGCCTTTACTGTACACGGATATTTCAACTCCGAAAGAGGCAATGGCCTGTAAAATAAAATCTGGGACGAAAAAAAAATTCAATAATTGCACTCCGCTGCATGTATTATTTGTGACCTTGTCCAAAGATGCTACAAACCGTTAATTACTTTGTACGTTTATCAATTCCTAAAAGTTAATTCAATCTATACTTAATGAATAATAATTATTGACAACGAAATAATTACAATAGAACGATAAGTTAATTAGATACAAATTAGTTTCAGATTATACACCAGTTTTGTTATTTAGTGTTTATATTTTAGTTGTATGAAGATGAAAAATTATTAACCTGTTATTTTCTAAAAAAAGTGCGCGTCGCGTTTTATGCGTAAATATTAGCACTTAGGTCATAACTTCAAAAAAAAATCGAATTATGCGTGTGATGTGTTAATGTAAATTTTTTAACATCCTTGAGTTAACGAAACTGCTTGGTTACGTAAAAGAAAATTAATTTAGAACGGTAAAACCCGAATGCAAATGTGTTCGTGTTTAATCGAAGCTAAATATAATTAATGTTGTGGCTCTATTTTTTGTAATAGATAAAAAGTATACGATAAGAAAAAAATAATGTTCTATTCAAAGTATGCCAATCGAGTCATAGTCACTCCTATTCCAATATTCAGTTAAACCAGTAAAAAACAATAAATTTACGATTGTTACGTTGTGATCGTAAATCGTCAGTTGCATCACCACATAGCATAGTAATGCAAAATCAACTTTTGTATTATTTCTTGTATACGAGTTATTCAATCTTAACGTAGAGATCAACGACCGTACGATTAATAAACGAAAATAAAACTTAAAAAATACGTAAACATATAAAACCAATTCTGGAAGTTGGATAGTTTCATTGAGAAATCTTCGTTAATTAGTGAATTTATAAGTACTAATTTACTCATATTACATCATTCTTCTGCATTCCCTAACTTTTCATATTTGTGCTAAATTTTTTTTATATATGTAAGTGACGTTCGAGTTTGAAATAGTGTTTGTAGCGCAAATGTTGACAGCAGACCATTTCGAGTCAATATTATGCAAAGCTTGTACAGATAACAGATACTTGGATTAAACGATTACTTCGAATTTCTATTTGCTCTCGCTTCTTGATTTTTCCGTTTTTTGTTAGCGGAACTTTCTTCGAAGATGAATTTAATAGTAATACCATACTTATAAAAATGTTTCCCTCTTTCTGTTTCTCGGTGGCTCTTTGTTCAAAAGTCGTCCTTGAATGTGACAAATAATACAAATTAGTTCAACCAAGCTATAATTACAATTTAAAATAATAATCAATTGTGACGGCTGCAGAAAAAAGTTATTGTTTTTAATAACAGATGCAGCAAGCAAGGTTAACTTGAAACAACTTGCTTCTCGAAAATAAGGTGTGTTAAAACATTAGACTCAAACTACAAACAAAGAATTTTTTTATGACGCAAATATTTTCAAGCTTGTTTTGGTGTATACAGATGTTAAATTAATTCAAAATTATGCTTGTTTAATTTTTCCAAACTGAATAGACAATAATATGTCTGTGAAATAATAATACCGGGACAAATCAACTATTAAAAATTGTTGTCGTAGGATTTCGTGTTGATCAAATTGTTGAGATGACGTCTGTAACTTTTTTAGAAAAACCCATAGACAATATAGACCCACCCAGGGGAATGTCCGGAATTCTCTGACGTCTAGCTCAAGTAAACACATCTTTATTCATGAGACGCGATGGCCAATGTAATCGGGGTCGTAGTTCTCGATAATTATGCAATTTTTCGAAATTGAAAATTTTCGTTCCCCATTGAGTCAATGTGCCGGTAATTCAATAGATTTCGCCTTTTTTCATTCACGCCGTTGCATGATTTTTGCATGTCGTAATTTTGATGTTTTAGTCTAGTGGGCACAGATGGTGTGTACACTGTAAATGACGCGCCCTATTTGAGCTTATCTTCAACACCAACGATTGCTTTTCCCACACGTCAAACAGATTTTATTATAACTTATTGTGTTGTTTTTGCGCAGGAGATTAGCTATTTTGTTTGATTTATACATATGTTTTTACTTTATTGTACCTTTTGCGTCAAATATATTTTTCTGTTACTGTAGATTTTATTTTACAGGTCATAGTTTTCTTATGCGACTTTCATAACGGTTTGCTCGATTCCGGTCTTGGTCTTAACGTCAATAATGTATTCGATGATGGTATCTGAAGATGTTTCAAGTATAACTGTATTTATTTGGTAAGGATAATAGGAAAAACCAGCATTTTCGCACGTACTGTACGATTACAATAATTATTCTACTTATATCCTGGCATATAAGATAAATGTGATGTATTTAACATTCCTAAAAGATTGGATTTTCCCAAATTTTTTCATGGCTGCTTAAGCTTGTCCTGACTCAGCTCATAAGCTGTTGTCTCTCCAAACAACGATGCCCACAGCACGGGTTTATCGTCAGGCGCTACCACTACAAATTCAGTCTGTTTTGCACAACTTCATTCTGAGGCAATTGATGACAGAAAACAAGTAGAAAATCGTATTTCTAAATAGGGACTAGAAAAATATTTCCTGTGTCTGGTATCCCTCAGGGGTAGAACTTGGCCCCACTTATGTTTTTCTGTTTGTCAATGACATTACTAATGTCGTGTCTTCTCATAACTTAATGTTTGCTGATGACTATAAGATTTGCAAAATCATAACTTCTATCAAAACAACCTAAATCTTTCAATCGTGTCCAAGGAATCGTCATATGGTCATCCAATCGGTCGTGAAAGATCAAAATCTCGACAATGTTTTGTATACGTAGACACTTATATTGACACTGATGTTAATTTGGTTGCCTATCTGTCCGCATAATAATTCCAAAAGGGTAATTTTAGACGACACTGAGGGGCTTGGAAGTTTTATAATTTTAATTTAGGTATTAGAAAACTTTGTTTATTTATTTCTTCGGTTGGTAATTGAGAACACATTATTACTGATTACTAACACAGGGACTTTGATTTAACAACGCGACACTGGCAAACTGGTACTCCAGAAATTTATTGAAATAATTTAATGTGATGCGCTTCACTTGTGCCAACATAATCAACTATGTCTATTACTATTACCTTACTGTAATATTGTACCTTAACATAAGTATCCAATTTTAAAATATGACTTAAGAACCACTGTAATACTGTATAGATAAAGTTTATTATATAGGTGTAGGTTATAACGTAGTCACTCCTATGTTTTTCCAGATTTACCTTCAGGTTTAAGGTATCTTCAAGCTCTATCAAGAAGAAAACTTACTTTTGCCTCTTTGCTTGCCGCTTTCTTCGCAACCTAAGAAATTTACCAGGTTGCGATGGAAGTACAAGAGAGGCTCCAGTACATTGCATCATTGAACCACCTGAAGACCATGAAAAGCTGCAGTGCCGTACCATGAACCACCACCACGAAGCCCCCTAGGTCACCAGTGCTCAGAGTTGTGGCGATATTTATAACCCTACAGCCAAAGGGTACTGGTAAACCTAGCCGGCATTTCCAGACATCCCTGAATATGGAGGTCTGAAGATTGAAGCCGCTTGGTTTACAGCATTAAGGAATTGTGCCGCCTCTCAAAGATGAAGCATACTGAACCCGGTCACCCTGGTCGAAAAACCAGCTGTGGAAACCAGTTCCAACTCAGTCGACCTCTTGGGTCTACAACTTTAAATAACTGTGTGATTGTTTGGCCAGCTATTTTTAGATTTAAAAAAAAAAAATGGGTACCCCTGACTGAGATATTTGCCTCGGGCTGATACTATTTAATCCGACTCAAACTAGCACCCAGGGGAAAGAATATACGCAATATTTTGACCACATTTTGACATTCGATGAAACGCTACTGTTAGTAGTTAGTAGTGTATCTACTTGGGGATGATAAAGGCGAAAAGACAAAAAAACAATAAAAACTGTTTTAATCGTCTGAAAGTTAAAACGCGCTAAAATTGTTACTGGGTAACCAATGCAACCACTATCACTTTTAACTTAAAATTTAGTTTTTCCACACTGCAGTTAACACACTAATTCTACATATCTACAAATTAAAATTAAAGATCTGATTCCAGACCGGCGTTTATAAAGTCTTTGACGTAGATGGCGCCTTTCAGAGGGAATAACCTAGAAATGAAAACTCAGTAAAATGATAATTTGAACGAAAATCAAGTACTACCTAACGTAGTTAGTTAAACTAAGCATGTAATTAGGTACTGTGACCAATTTCATATTTGTTTGCTGCGCTTTCATAATGGCTTTGGCAGCATACTCTGGTGTCAACAAACGCATGAACCTGTCAAATCTGACTCTTGGTCTTTTACACAAGCCTGTGTCCACCATGTAGGGGCAAACCGTGGTTAACTCAATACGATCCAGCTTTTCCAACCTAAGTTCTTCATGTAACGCTTCCATCATTCCACGAACGGCAAACTTGCTGCCGCAATAAGGTACTAAATTTTCAAGGCCGAAAAGACCGGCACAAGAAGACAAGGCGACGATGTGTCCACGGTTGTTTTTTTTCATAGCGGGGAGAAACGCTTGCATCGTCTTGAAAAAACAAAAGTAGAATACATGTGGTTCATAAAAGCAAAACTATACCCAGCAATGGGCTAAAACGTTAATGGAAAAAGTTCTTTCGATTTCTTCTTGTGTCTGGTCTAAAATTGGATGTGTGGGCATAATTCCGGCGTTGTTGATCAGGATGGTGACATCTCCGACTTCTTGTTGCACTTTTTTGGCGACTTCGAAAACGCTGTCTCTTTTTGACACATCGCAACTTAAATAATAATGATAATAAAATTTTGGATTTTTTGGGTTGGAATGTTACTAGTAAGCGTAGGCGTGTGGATATCCACGTTGATTTATTTCAGATATCGTTTCTTCATTGTTCTTTTTGTTCACATCCCAGCCCACTACCGTGGCACCTTTCGACGCGTACAAAAACGCCAGTTCTTTGCCCATGCCATGACCTGCACCAGTAATCTAAACAATAACAGATTTTAAACATATGTAAATATGTAATGACTAATGAAATCATACCAGAACGATCTCTCCTTTCACTGATTTTGGTGTAGGTGGTACAACGTAGCGGTATATAGCATCTCCAAGGCTGTACAGTAGATACAAAAAGAGGAGGCAGACGTCTCCTATAATTTGGGCTACTTCCAGGAATTGGCGACCTATACTTTTGTTCCTATTGTAGGGCCTGCAATGTATCTTTGGTTACACTGTGACTTAAGCGCAAACAAAAAAAATTCAATTCATACTCTGTTACACTGTACTATACAGACATGTTGAATATCAAAATAACGTGCATAGTAATGCTTTTTATACTTAAATATAGCAATTAAACTTGTTATTATGCATATCGGAAATGCGTAATCATACACGTCTTATCTATACAACGTACCAATTTAAATTTAGACTGATATTTGTGTATAGGTATTAAAATGTGTGTACGGTATTTAATTTATCAGCCGTCACACATTTGCTAACCCTTCAAATACGTGGATCGGTTTATCAACCATTGTATTGTTGTAAATCAAAAAACAATAATATTTTCCATGATTTTAAATCTTTGTAGCTGAAGGCCATCCTTTTTTTCTTTGAAATCAATTACTGAATAATTAAATACAGTTACTAGTTAATTGTCATGTATAATGGACGGAAAATCAAGCAAAAATTAACTAATGTTTGACTAAATTCATTCACACGAGCTATACCAGACACTATATTTATTTTGTTTTCCTTAGCTACCGAAACCTCAAATTTAATCAATCACCCTTTATTCCAACATTGAAAAAATATCGTCTTGAATCAAACCATTAATCCGTAAGGTCATCAAGGCATTTATAACAATTATCTTTTGTTACGAAATACTTGACAATAAACATCGCTTATCGTACAAGTGGGACTTGTTTCAAAAAACGAATAAATAATGTAGATACACAAATGGTAATAGCAACACGAAAATTACCTATATTTTTAACTGGTAAAATGACTTTTGATTGTTTTGTTAATGCATGGCTGCAAACAACCGGTAGTCGTCGTGTGGGAGCCTTGAAACTAAATTTGGCACAAATACGTAAATGGTGACCAAAATCACGAAAAACAAAAAAGATATGTTAGAACGAAAGAAGCAAAACCAGACCCTGAAATTACTTGCTCTGGTTATTTTACTTCAAACAGTTTTCAACTGCATTGTGAAGGTCAGCATGTATGGACGAACAATAACTTGAATTCTGCAGTTTTTAGACACCAACTTATCATAATTAAAACATAGTTTTTTGTGTCTGGGTGGATGTTCATCGCGCATTTATTTACGTAAGTAAGTGCGAAAATGTTGAGCGATAATCTGATTTACAATGGAATGGAAATGTTCTTGCACAATAGACCGCAGAAACGTTTCAGGTTTTTTTTAGATGAAATATTTATTATTTATTTATTTATAATTCATTTTCAAAAGGATATTTCGGGCTACGTTTTACACCACTGTTGCAACTTTAAACAAAGGTCTATTTCGGATTTATACGGTTTTAAAAAAAAAATTTTAACAAACAGCTACACTTAAGTTAAAAATAGAACACCTTAAGTATTACAGGAATTCGATGGCCTCACTCAGTTCAGTGTGGATATTTTATTTACTCACACGATTTATAAAAATGACGATGATTTAACTATTAGCAGAATTATTCTAAATGGGTCTAAAAAGTTAGGTAAATAAAATCCATGTACCTATTAAATCAATTATTCAAACTGTTCGTGTTGATAATTACGGCAGAACAACCAACTTTTTTTTTCTATTAAACTTTTGTCCCCTTTTCAAAATCGCAAGGTCTTTTAAGTATTCAATTTTTCCTAGTCTGCTAAAGCAATAAAATTGCAAATGTAAGTAAAAAGCGAACTGTTAAATTTTTAACAGTCGTCCACGACTACCAAAGCTTGAATTTAAATATATATAGGCTTTCAGTCTTTGCATAAATAAACTGTGTTGTTGTTTGTTCACACCACTGACGAAAATACGCTTTGTCTAAATTTATGCATACACACCAGTTATCACATTGTTGCTGGGAATGATTAGACAAAGTTCGGATATTATCTGTCTCTCAAAAATCGGACGGACAGACAGACAGACGGATGGACGGAAACGGAGAAAGTATGGAAGCAACCAATGTCCCGGTGGACTCGATTGCAATATTTCCTTAAGCTTTACGCTCGGGAAATAAAAACAAGGCTACGTTGAGGATTCAAATTATATATTTTACAATAACATTATGAAACCTTTTTTTTTCGATTAATCAGCAGTTCTAAATAATCCCTAAACACATGGATTTAGTTAATGTAAATTAAAAAAAAATAGAAAGTTGTTCTAAAACTCCACATACTAAAAATAGCAGTCGATTTCAAAGCTAACTCACTCATTTCGTTTTGGTCTAAACTTAACTACCGCTGCTCTAAAAATAAATTGGTGTAATTATCAATTGTAAAGCTATAATTGCTCCAGAGCAACCTCACCGCTATCACTAGACGAACGAACTTTACATTTAATCGTTGTTTAGTCACCACTATCTCAAACACAAGTAAATATACACTCTTGTGCTCAGTGCCGAAACTAGCTATAGGCCGAGTAGACCCTTGCCTAGGGGCGCCAACGACAAGGGGCGCCAAATTCGTCCAAAAATTATGTTGTATAGTTTTGGAAATTTCATTGTACCCTATAAAATTTTATTGGCAATAACCAAATGCACAGTAGTACAATAGCAAGAGATATTTACAACTTAAGTTGTCGCGTGCCGGTAATCCCCAGATGTTAGAAACCAGAATAATCCAGGTCCGGGACCATCGTTCCTTATGAACGGAAATGACCATTATTTTATGAGTACAACTACCTGCCAAATATTCTCAGACAAATTCGAATGAACTGGTGTGAGCCATAAATATTTCTTACCATTGTACTACTGTCCGTCTCGTTATCGTCAATAAAATTTTATAGGGTAGAATGAAATTTCCAAAACTATACCAAGAATAATGTCATATTAATCTTTTTTATTTTGAACGGAAGCTCAGAAACATGTAACCGGTGCGACAGGTTTTTTAATGTTGATTTTATTTTGAACTTATATAATATTTATAGATTTATACATATTATATACCTATATGTATGTATAATCTCGAATTTTTTTTTCCTTTTTTTTATATTTTATCATAGTATCTGTTTTGCATACCTATTAAAAAATATAAATAAAACTGTTCTGTAAAATTGCATTTTTATGTGTAGGGGAGGGGCGCCTAACACAAGGTTCGCCTATACCTAAATATTCTTTGGTTTCGGCACTGCTTGTGCTAAAAATATAGTTTTTATGACTCGGTAAATTTTTAAATGAATGCACCTTTTTGTTTATGTAGCTACTACAGATAACAAGTAAATATTATTACAATGCAATCTTCTATATTTGTCCTCGGATATCCAAAGCATCTTCGGGTATTAGCAGCGATCACGAAAATTTTACATTTAAATTTCAAATTCAACGATCACGCTGCTATTCCATCAATCACAAAAACAGCAATCGTATTTTATAAGTGGAACATTCTCTACATGCAAAACCGAACAGGTTTAGAATTTACCAACACTTTTGCCCAATCAGTTAGAAATTACTCCGGGGTGATTATACTTTCATTTCGCCCAGAAATATCAAAGAACGTTAATTACAACAGCCGCTGCACAGCGGAATTTCATTGTGAAGTAAATTTGACATCCATTTCGTATCGAGAAGTTGCGTAATAATTATGAACTAGTCCTCACCGTGTCAAGGTTTATCTACAAGGAAAGTGGTACCCGATCTTAGTAAAACCAGAAAAATGAAGTGAATCTATAAGCGCATTCAGTAGACTGGAAAAATGAAGAGGAATTCAAGGTCCCAGCAAATATCTTTGTTCGAATAAAGAAAACCGCCACCAGGTGTGTCCACGGACCACCGAATTTACTAAACTAGATTACCGCTCGAAAAAAATATTGTTCACAGTAGGACCTCGTTTATATTTTAATTTGAAAAAAAATAATAAAAACTATCGCGAGCGGCAAATTTAAAAAAACAAAAATTCGATATCGTGCAAATAATGTGAAAAACTTGTGTTAAAAACTTACGGTTGTTGTATTCCGTTGAGCGACATTTTCGACTTGTGCACCTCCACCATGTCTGGTACTTCAGCCGACCACGTTTAGCACTGTTGAGTAAAGCATCAACTGAAACTTGGTAACCTATACAGCGTTGCAACAGGCGGCGTGTGTATGGGTTTACAACAGCACATTTTATAAATATTCACGTTCATTTTAATTAACCCATAAAATTAACAACGGATGCTGTAAAAGTGCGAAATAGTGTATTAGTGTAGACAACAAAAAAGTTTAACAACATTGAGTCGTTTGGTAGTAAAATATGGGAAATGCGATACTGCTTATCATGCAATAAAACAAACAGTGCGGCGAAAAAATGAGCAATTGTGATGAACAGCCGCCCACGGTTTCATATCTTTTATGGTACTCTGTGCGTGCTCGCGATCGCCCAAAATTTATAAGGTTAATTAAACATTCATTGTAGCTCATAATCAATCTGAATTTATTTTAAACTCAAGCGCTTTATTGCACGTAAATTTAATTACTTCGTAACGCTTGTTATGTACACATCTCTTTTATTTACTTGTTTATAGAAAAGATAAAATATAAAAGCAGACATTATATTGTGATCTATTCTATTTTAAGCGCTCTTTGATTATCTTTTGATGATACATCCACGAACGGTTTCTCTCGTGTCTTTGTTAGACACTCTTTGTTTACTCCTAATGACCTTGCCAAAAACTATAAGAAAATATGCAAAAATCGATAATTAAATAAATGTCAATTTATACATGTATAAATAACGAAACAGCAGAAATACTTAATCGTGATTCAAACGAACCCTGATAAAAACCACGGTTCAGACGGGTCGCTATTAATCAACTTTTGTTTACTCTCGTTGCTTGGAAACGAAATTAGAAATTGTAGCATCCAAACGTAATTTAAATATCCGCTTCCAAAAACCGGCTACAAAAAAAAAGTCGCTTGAATATGAATATTTATTAATTGACGATTTATGCTTTTAGGGTTGACAGGAACGTATTTTTTGACCTCTCTGATGGCAAACATTTTCCAAAAGCTTCCAAAAGTAGCGGTTCTTCCACCACGGTTCCCTGGAAATCTTCTAAAGACACTTTCCCATCTTTGTCTTTGTCCATTTTTCGCATTACTATGTCCACTAAATCTTTCACGCTTTCGTCCGGATCTTCCTCTTGAGGGTGCTTGATAAGACAATTCCTGAAACGGAGGGGTCAGTAATATTACACTGAGTGTGTCCCTGTCAAGTTTTTAAAACAGAATAGTGACATCTAGTGTGCTACGATTTAAACTTATACAACAGCGCCCCTACTTGGATGAAACCAGTATTATTGTGATTGGCTGCATTCGAAAATTGGCGCGTCTTCGCAATGGGATAATTATCGTCATAGTATTGAAAGTAAAGCCAAAACCGACAAAAACATTCATTGATAGTAAAACCACTGTTTTTCATAAAATATACACGAGCTGATTATGTTCTACTTTCTCCTACGTTTTTTTTTTGCATCTATTGATGTTAATTGCGTTTCATGAATACATTTTTAAACAGTGTTTCACCTTATTAAAAATCGGTTGCTGGTTTTCTTAAAAAATCATACCGTTGTTAAATGCCATAATTATGCAGTTTTCCCATTAAAATAAACCCGTTTGTCGAAGTCGAAAAACATAAGTGGTGCCTCATTTACAACAATTTTTAAAATGTGGCACTAATTCAAGGTAACATAAGTAACTAAAAAAACAAAGCTTTTTGCTGCCATTTGTTTAATTCCTTCGAATTCGAACCAAAGGACGGTCAAGTTCAGAAATAAAACATTATGTATTCTGCTGCAAGCGTAATTATAAGAAATGAAGGTAGCTGGTAATTATGGACGTTTAATTTTATTTACCTTTTTGTAAACGACTGAGTAAATAGTTGACTTATTTATAAGTCAATAAATCATTTGTGCGAATACCGCGACGGTTTTCTCCACTTGTTTGCATATAAAATAATAATTAAAAATGTAGTACACCTGGTGCAACAAGGTTAGCCTCATCACTATATCAAAAACATACATACTTGAGAAGTTGGAACATTTCGTCTTTTGTGATGAACCCATCAGCATTCAGATCATAAACCGAGAAACAGAATTCGATTTGTCTTATCGTAGATCCTCTAAGAAACAGTGACAACCCATGCAACCAAGCTTCCAACGTAATCAAGCCATAATTCGCCTTATCCCACACACAAAAAATCCTATCCATCAACATATTTTCGGCAACAATATCAAAAGTATTGTGTAATATTTCCCTGAAAACGATCCTATCGATTCCCTGAAAAATATCGCATAATAAAACTCCATCACGACAACATATCGTACTTCTTGAATGTTTGTGGGTTTTCCGATAATAGAGGGAGTGTTCGCGTTCGACTTGATCTTCCCCTGGCTGGATTTCGTTTTATTCGTGGTAACTAATCTCCTAAAGATTTTATACAGTGCTTCGATTTCGCTTCTGAAAAGTTCGTTGCGTGAATGAAACTCTCGTATTCGATTAACTACCTTGTGAAGAGGGTGTCACGTTTGGCCGCCTCTAGGATTTTCATTGAACATCTGTAGGCGATGTCTTGCTCGGACATTTTCTTCCGACGGGGTTTCGCCGCTTTTGCGGCCGGTTGGGCGCTGCTTCTTTTACTGTTTCTAGTGCCCGCCAGAAAAAGCGACACGCTTTTCATCACCAGCACGCCTCCGCGCATGCTCAGATTAGACAAATCCGCGGCCATTTGGAAAGCTTTCAGCGCACTTTCTGACCCGGGAAGCTGAAGGGAAAACGACCTTAAATCTGTGGTCAAAAGGCTAGACTTTTGCTACACCGACCGACTAAAGCGTGAGTAAAATTACGCGTGGACGCAGAAAACGCCGTCTCGTGAAAGTAAGAATATATCGGACGCAGTAATACCCGAACGATGAAAGCAAACTTATTTTTATTATCATTAGTTAGTGTTTCAACACTAAATTGTCCTATAACATGGTTAAGCATTTTACTTAATGTTGTGATTTATTTGGTTTGGCGATGCGGCTTTTTATTCTGCGTTATACATTAGAACTATTTACAATTACCATAAATTAATACTAAAAACGTCATTCGAGTTAATTATTCATTCAGAATCGTTGAAGTACAGATAATTACTTAACAAATACCTATATGCATTTCCACTTATCTACTATTTCTGTGAAAATAGTCATAAAAACAGCAATTATAAAAAGTGATTCTTCTGTGTTATTTGTATAATTCATATAATTAACCTATTGTCAAGCAGCAAGTAATACAAATGGCGATTTTTATTTTTCGAATATAAGCCATTTTATAATGATGATTTTATTTAGTTGTGTGGATGATGAGCCAGTAATCAAGGTCTACTTATCCCCTTCAAAAAATATAATGACGTTATATCAAAATTTTATTAAAGAAAGAAATTTATGGTGTACGTGGTTTAATAACCTTCGGTATCCGTCAAGAATAACCTTGATGATGTCATACGTTCGACAGAGGCATTAACAAATTAACAAATACACACCTAGTCGTTATTTCATTAAGAAACTAGTTAATTTCTTGCTAGTGCTTCATATACCACATGCACATGGTACGTATGATACCATTTAAGCACAAACTCCTTTCACGCAAATGGGTAATCAACCTATATTTTCCCGTGTGAGTAAGTGCAAAAATGAACAGAAGCGTGCAATGTGCCTAAAATAGGGGTGTGCATTCCATCACAAAGTTAGATCGATTAATTATATTGCCTGCCTTCATTACGAGTTATGGCCTGCATCGATTGCTTTAAAGTATTGATTTGTGTTTAACAATGACAAGCCATTCTTTTATGTGACACTCTTTTATTCGTTTCGTTACCTATGTGATTTTTCTGTTCAGGGCTTAAATCGATCCCGAATATGATTGATTGAGCTTTTTTTCAATTGTAGAAGTAGACGTCACAACACGCAAAGCTCACACGCAACATATGTCTGGTAACTAGGCAAGTTTTCATAGCAAACGAAAGCAACTAACACATTACCTTGTCCAATCAGTGGTCGGTCAATATAGCACTATAGGTTTGAAGAATATAGCTTATTTGGGCGTTACCAAGCAACCAAGCGCGTCTTCAATACACAAAAGAAGCGGGGAAATAAATAGAAGTCAGTCATCAAGCGGAGTTTTCTAGTATTTTGTAGTGGAGAGCTTCATGGGGTAGAGCAAGGGACCAAAAGGGCATGGTTTGAGTGCGCAGAAATACAACTTTAGCTTATTTCTTTTCTTGTAACACAAAAGTTTGCTGATTGTCTTATTGGTTGTCTATTTTCAATAAAAAACTTTTCTATATTTATTTAACGTGTAGATAATACATTTACAAAGTTGGCTGTCTCGTTTTTTTTTTTTTATTTTAGACCTATGTTGTGTGTAGCAATTCCCAAACTTGAAAAGGGATGGATTTTCTACGAAGTAACAATGTAACGAATTTTCCGAGGGTAAATGCTGCAGCAGAAACTCAAGTAGCCGTTTGGGACCCTAAATTTTCACTTTAGTATCCGTTTAATCAAGACTGCAGCTCACAGCGACCTCTTTTGTATCTAATATCAAACGAACTGTATTGTGTGTTGCCTATCTCAAACTCGGTAAATTTATTAATGTCTTAAATATAGCACCATTGAAAACGTTGTTTCCACGAGCCTTGAACCATAATTTGTTTAACGTTCGAGAATGTTTGATTTTTTACAGGTGACATAATATTTTTAGCTGAAAACAATGTATCTCTCCCTCGTTTATTTACATTCCTTTGTGCCGCTGCTTTCAAAAGTGAAGCGCACACTGTAGTAGTGGTAGTTGTGCCGTCAGTTAGAAAACATGGGTCCAAAGTTACTTAGTCAAAACTTCCCTCATATTTACGATAAGCTAAAATGCGTGCACTGGTTTCCAAGAAGAATTGTAAATTTTTGCTGCACCATTTTGATTTTTCTTTCAAAAACCTACTATATTATTTTTCACCCTTTAAATAGAATTCATTTAGAAGGGGTAAACAGAATTCCCATTAGCGATTTACTATTATCACCTTAAGTTAAAAGCATCTGCTCAAAACAAATATAAATTTTCACATCCATCAGTGCAGCAGTTAGACGGAAACCGTGGACTACTTTTTATATTCTAGGAGGTATGAAATATCGAGAAAGCCGTTCGTCGGATGAATTCTATTTCAGTATTGAAATCAACTATAGGATCACGATTTAAAAAAGAACATATATCATATGAACACGTCCGTACTGTAGGTTGCATATTCACAAATAATTAGCTTAAAAATAATGACTATTTTTTCCTAGAACCCACTAAAAATGCTATTATTGGTGATAGTAATAAGAATAATGACTGATATTGATCTACGTCGGACTATCTCCTTCTCTATGTATTTTTGAAGGAAATATAAAATTGTTCTATAATATAGATCAGTCTCAGCTGACGTGACTTTGACATACGTGTAACGAGATTTTTAAAATCGCCTCTTTCACGCTTCACGAACGATTTTATGTTTAAAAATACACAAAAGCGTCTTTTTAGTCGATAAAGAGAAACGTTTTTCATTTCTGGATAGAAGTGGTGCGAATGACGTACACAAAATATAAGTTCGTTAAGTGATAAGTGCTCTATAGTCAAATACGATCAAATTACCTAATGAAACATAATCTTAGGGTGTACGTGCGTTTAATTTGTTTACTAATTAAAGACAAGCTTTTTTCATAGCCCCCACAAACTTGAAAATAAGGTAACGTTCGAAGCCGCCTACGCCGCTTTTTTTCCTCTCTTCAGAGCACTCGATTGAGCAAGAATCAAATTAACCGAGCTCTATTGTTTTATTTTTTATTTGAGCGGGAGCGGCACCTGACTGCTGACGAAATCCAGAGCTCCTTCCCGAGCACGCGCAATCCACTATTTGAGTTACGTTGTGCAGCACTGACGTACATAGTTGGTAGTTGTTGCGTGCATTTTAGTGAATTATTTTGTTTATTATCGATTCCTGTCAAAAGTGCGTGCACATTTTTCGTTTAACTTCCGGACGCGGTGTAAAAAATCGTAGTTTGTGATGAGCCGCAGCGGATCGGACGAATTTCATCTATTGATTGCTCAGTAAGTCTGTTTTTTTTCACTGTTTGTTTACTAATAGCCAAAGCAGGATTTTGCGCTCTGCAGCTTAATTTTGTAATTGCGTCCCTTACATTTTCTAAAATATTGATTGAAATTGGCAGATTCACGCAAAATTTACCGTTGGACGATAAACGGGAAGGAATTTTAATGGTATTCCGGCGGACCGAGAATCGCTAACATGACCCAAAAAGGCCTGTTTGCGTCAGCCATTGCAGTAAAAAATAACTCGTGGAGGTTGATGCATTTTATTTTGGGGGATAAACCGTTGCCCGTTCAATTTTGAGGGCTGATTGCGAGTAAACCGGTCCTGGCGGTTCGTGATAAATGCTATTCCAGAAACTTCCATGGTGATAACCCTACTTATTTACCCCGGAATGGTGGTTGTTTACTGCAGGGTTTGTAACTTCATTAAACATTAAAATCTAATAACATAGGCAAAACTACAGTCGGTTATCAGTTACCCTCGCGCTACACACCACATTTTTAATCTCACACTAAAAATTTAGCATTTAATTAGGCTATTAAAAACGAAAACAACACATTTCTGTTGTTTTACGCTATGCCGAGTGACAACTGTATTTTAAATGAGCCATGTGCACGCCGACGTACAATTTTCATTTTCGTAATCATAACACCATTTTTATCTTTATTATAAGCGTTATCACCTATTATATAATACACTTATTATTTTTATAACCGTTTTTATTCATATTTTAAGGTGTAACTGATAAGTGATAACAAGCCAATAGGTACTTTTAAATTCAAGTTTACGCCGTTGTTTCTGACCGATGCGCATATGGTTGCAGTTTGACCAATTTTTCGCCAGAACAAGGTTTTCGTAAGTAAACTAAAATCTGATACTTCTAAGCTAGTAAAATTTATTAATTTTTAAAATATGCAAAAATGTTGAAAATAAAAACATTATTGCATGCAAAACAGTTTAACATATTTATTTATGCGGAATTAATTAGTCGTTTGATTTAACAATTTGTTTTTTGTTGAAATCAGTCTATTATTATCAGGGCCGCCGCAACCGGTTGTGCAAATTCTTCACTACACTATTTTCAAAAACGAAAAACATAAATGTCGCAAATTTAAGTACGAATATGCTAAAACGGGGATTAATTTAAGCACCAGAGTACCGAAAATGTATGCGTTTTTTTAAATATTCTCTGGAATTCTTTAATATTAATAAATTTTTTACAACATATATCTTCTCAGACAGAAAAGTTGAAGAGATTTTTACCTTACGAACATAATCTTACACAATCTTATAGAATAAGAAAATCTGTCTTTTTCTGATATATTAGACAAACAAATGTACCGCTTTACAGGCTGCTTGGTACGGTACTAAATGTAAAAATCAATAGCTAATTTTGTGTCATCCTCTCCGGAAAGCCAATGACGTCATTTAGTTTTTTGCAACTAACGTTACTTTTTTTTTTGATGTGATGAACGAATGCAACAAAGGTTGTATAAATACCTCGCTATCCGCGATCCGCGGTGTCTTTTTATGCATAAATTAAAATACCGTAAAAGGCAATTTCGCTTCGCATACCTGAGCAGAAACCCGCTTTCTATTGGCAATTTGTTACGGATAAGTTATTTTGTCATTTTTTCATTTCCAAGCGGTGGATGAGGGAATAGCATTATTGAAATTTCGTCGAGTTTCTAATAATACTTTCGTTTAATGCTATAAGAAAATATTGATCCGGTTGAATATTTGGCGAAATAAAGAAGAGCATGTTAAAAGTACGAAACGTTAATTCACGAAACAGTCTTCCAGTCGATGAAAGAATTTCTGTTCTTAGTTCATTTGATGTTGCCGTAGTGACGAGTCAATCGGACTTGTCCACGTAATGAAGATATAATTTTATCCAGGAACAATATTCAATCAGCGACTTGTTTCCGAATATAACAAGACGAGGCAAGGCTTTCGACGAGCACAAAGGCTAAGTAATGATTTTAATATGAATGGAAAAATTGACGCAAAAACGCTATCAAGCTGGCTTTCTTGTGTAGCATGCGGACGTGCTATGCCTGCGGTATACAATTCAGGGTTTTGGTTTGCAAAAATATTGTTGCCAGTGAAACTAGACGCCATTATTTAGTAAAGTTTAGTCTTAAAGGCGGTATATTTTTTCGGGTAAAGTACACTAGAGACTTTGAAATACTTCGCATCGATAAGAGATTATTTAGATGCACTCTCACTAGCAGTCCATTAACGTTAATGCTAGCAAATTTGTTCAGCAAGTTTTAAATCAATATTGCCCGGGATAGAGCGTGAATGCGTTTATTAGTGTGTTAATAACGTTATTAGCGTAGAACATTTTTCTCAATCTTCGGAGAGTAACCGCAGTACTTACGTAATTTAGTTAATTCGATTAATTCTTAATTTGATGTTCTCCGGCGACCTGTCAGACCGTACAACACTAGCTCGTGATGGCTTCATTAAACTAAATGATATTTAGTGTGTTTGGAAAACAGAAAACAATTTATTTAACAAGTCGCTAATGAAAGTCGGCAAACATTCCATTATTTATTCACCACCTTCGTGCCTTGTTTTTATCTTTACATTGTTCCAGTACTAAAGTGACCGTATTTTCTAATTTAGGTAAGAAGATCAAAATGGCTGGAGAAAGCCAAGATCTGGACATCCAACAACAACTCCGGAACATAGACAACGTAATCAACCTGACCCGTGCCAACATCGATGCCCTCAATGCCAAGTTCGGGCACTTCCAACACCCACCTCCGATTTACCTAAAAGAGTATGACGACCTCACGTGCAAACTACACGAGTTGGAGATCCAGAAACGGCGCTTCGTCGAACAACTCAGCACGGAACGCGAAAGTTCGCCCAGTTCCGAAGAAGAACCAGAAGAACCCCGTCGAGTTCCCTTGGAAGTCCACCGACCCAGCTGCGACGTCGTCACCAAACCCAGATTCCTCCGAGCGCACCTCCCCAACCAACAGCGCACTAGCGTCCAAGTCCGCGAAGGACTCACCCTACGTGACGCCCTAGCCAAAGCCATGAAACTACGAAACCTGATTTGCGAAATGTGCTGCGTCTACCTCGCCGGGTCCAACACCGTCGTGAATTGGGACACCGATATAAGCACCCTCAACTGCGAAGAAATCACCGTGAAAATCCTCGACAAGTTCCCTATTTTGACCAGCATTTCGCACAACTTCGTCCGGAAGACTTACTTTTCTTTGGTGTTTTGCGAGTGCTGCCACAAGTTGTTGTTCCAGGGGTTCTACTGCGGGACTTGTGGGTACAAGTTCCACCAGAGGTGCGCCGCAAGGGTGCCCCCGTTGTGCCACCAGGTCCGCATGACGGACGCCTACTGCCTCGCCTTGCTAGCCCGGTCGCCTGATTTCAGCTCGGGGATGCTCCAGTCCGACCAGGGGCTCGGGCAGCGGCAGGCCCGGCGTCTGGGTACCCTGAGCCGGCAGGACCGCTCCAGTTCTGCGTCGAACGTGTGTCTCAACAGCGTCAAGGGCTCTGGGGACGACACTCCCAAATCGCTGTCCCTAACCCGGAGCAGCGACGGGGAGTGTCCTCCGCACTGCCGCAGCACCCAGGCGTCGCCGACGGGCCCGCTGCAGCCGCGAAGGCCGCGTTCGCGATCCGCGGACGAGAGCAAGCCCTTGCTCGCGTCGCGCGAGAGCATCGAGGACTGGGAGATCCCCGGCGACGAAATTCTGGTGGGGCACCGCGTGGGCTCCGGCTCCTTCGGGACGGTGTACAAGGCGCACTGGCACGGTCCCGTGGCCTTTAAGACCCTCAACGTCAAGTTCCCGACGCCGGAGCAACTGCAAGCCTTCAAGAACGAGGTGGCGGTACTACGCAAAACGCGCCACGTTAACGTTTTGCTTTTTATGGGATGCGTCGGCAAACCCCAGCTGGCGATTGTGACGCAGTGGTGCGAAGGCTCCAGCTTGTACAAACACCTGCATGTGTTGGAAAGCAAATTCGCCCTGTATACTTTGATCGAGATCGGCAGGCAGACGGCACAAGGCATGGATTACCTACACGTCAAAAATATTATTCATAGAGATTTAAAGTCGAACAATATTTTCTTACATGATGATCTTACGGTGAAGATTGGCGATTTTGGATTGGCGACGACGAAAACTCGCTGGTCTGGCTCGCGCCAGTTCCGACAACCCACGGGATCCATTTTATGGATGGCCCCGGAAATTATCCGCATGCAAGAAAATAATCCCTACAGCTATCAGTCGGACGTGTATGCCTTCGGCATAGTCATGTTCGAGATGTTAGCGCTGCAATTACCATATTCGCACGTAAATAACAAGGATCAGATTCTGTACATGGTGGGAAGAGGATATTTGAAGCCCGATTTAACTACGTTGCGATCTGATACACCCAAAACCCTAAAACGACTCACCGAAGACTGTATCAAATTCAATAGAGACGATAGGCCTCTGTTTAGACAAATTCACGCATCTCTAGAAGGCCTATTAAGACATTATCCTAAAATCAATAGGTCAGCTTCCGAACCGAACTTAAATACGCAATTTCAATCTGATGATTTTATTTACGCATGCGCAAGTCCCAAAACTCCGGTTACTTTTGGACCATCAGGCTTTGTTTATTCGGGAGTTGCAGGCAATATTTGAAAAAGGTTTTCGATTACTTGGTCTACGAGTAATTCAACAAAAGAGGTAAGGGTTTGTGTCCCTTCATGTTTGTAGAGTCGATAATTGTTTCTGGCGATTCCGGCGTAGAGATCCCAATCGGGTTGATATTGGTTCGAGGGACGGGTCGGACTGACGCAAATGCCGCGCGCGGAGCACGACTTCGAAATTGATGTCTGAAGTTTCACCATCCTCGCTTTTGCTCTTCCTTGCCGCAGCCAGTGTCGGACTGGACCGCAGGGATATCGGGAAATTTCCCCAGGGATCAATCCTGAAAGGAACCATCGCGTCTAATAAGACGGCAAAAGTTAGATTCCTGAAAAGGGGCCAAAAGTTCGCTGTGACCCGAATGAAGGGGTGAAAGTTAGATCCCATTGTTATTACAAGGACACTTGGCGATCCCAATGTGTTTCCCGAGGGAACGTATGTGTTCAGTCCTGCACTGGCCTCATTCTTTCTCGTTACGGAGTGTCCTAGCGGTCCGAGGACTACAATATACGATATTGCACACGGGTACTACTCTCGGATTACTATAATGAAGACGACTTGCATCCCAAACAAAATTAAAAACCACACGTCGCGCGGTCAGACTCACAATATAGCGTAATGATTTTTCCCAACTCTTGAATCGATCCGAGTTAAAACGGGTCGACACACTTGTTTCTCTAGACGTTTTTGTTTAAATATTGCAATAACGCGTAATTTTTTGGCAGATATCGACTGTTACGCATTCGGTACCAGGTGCTGATCCTACGAAGCCCAGAGCAGGGAGTGTTGGTTCAAACGGAGACAATCTCAAACAATTTAAGAACGACACTATCCAGCACAAGGAATGCTTTGCAAATAGGAAGAAGGATAGCAAACTTGTCAGTCGGGGACGGAATAAGTTACCGGCCTACGTTACAGAGCTGTGGGACATCGCACCTTTTCACATCGTTCGCTCAACAAAGTTGGATAAGCTCGTGATGCTTTCAAAGACGATAGTAAACCTGAAACCCTTTCGAACGGTGAAATTTACAGCGACGTGTTCTTTGGTCTGCGAATATTTTACAACGTGCGGTCCAAATTCCGACGGCACCTGTAAATTTCCATTGCTAAAAGACCAGGAATTTCTTTTAGTCGCCATGTATGCGCTTTTATTTCTCATTTTTTGTATAAAAGGGTGTGTCCTGTATCCTGATTCGCCCGATCCAAGCTACCCTCGAATCAAGACCTACAGGCCGCATTTATACCACGTCCTTAAAAATCGGAACGAAATTTATAATCGATCAGAAACCCTAGAAAACGCTAGAGAACCCTGCAAGAGCAATACGTCGGAGAAAATTTTAGCTTGCTTCGGTTTTCAGATGGAAGTTGGAAGTTTTCGAATAGTCGAGGTTGCAGACCACTTGAACACGTTACAGGAGAGATGTTACTTAAGGCCTGGTGGGGATGCAGTGGTCTGTACGAGCCATGGAAAACGGTCAAACGCAAGTATGCTTAAGTCAGTTTGAGCTTACGGGTGACCTTGAAAGCCACCCGCGAGCCGAAATGGTTATAATCAAGCCTATATTTTTTTGCAGGGAATACGATTGTAAAAATAATTTGCAATCATTTGAGAGCAATTTTTGTCATATAAATTAATGCCGCTTTTCGGCTGCGGCGACACTAGCGATAACTCGACCCGGTAAAGTCGAGCGAGCATATACCACGAATATAGCGCTTTCTTTGTTAACTGTCGTGTATTATGTAGAAAAACGCAAAGCTGTCAGATACAATTTGTAGAGATGATACAAGCAATGCAGTTAATGGTCCTACGTCAAAAGCGAATAACATCTTCAACATCAGTACATCACAATGGCTTTTGTTGTTTCCTTTGTAATTTGTGTCAATGGGTGGACTCGATTGTGTAGTAAATTCGTCGAGACAGTTTTGAATATGCAAAATTTTTAAGTATCTCAGCTTAGTTAAACATTCATTGTTCGGACTTCCACAGCTCTCACACAGTGGTAAGTCGGAAGGTGACTAATCTTAAGTTTTTAATCGTGTGTTGCGCGTAGATCTTCGAAACAGAATGGTTCTACGATATCCCGTAACACATTATCACAGCTGCAGCACCTGAACCGGATCTACCTGTGCCGTCACTGAATTTTAAAACCTGGCCTACTTGGGATTGAGGAGGTACTTGAAAATGAATTTGTTGAAGCTAGGTAGATCCAGCTGATATATTTGCATACTCAGAGCCCAGCTGGTGTGGTTGCTTTAACCAATTTACTTCAACCAGTAATAATTGGATTTTTTGGTAAGCCGAATTAGCATAGTTTGTCTTTTTGATTACCACTTTGTTTGAACATCGTTCAAGGACGTGTAGTAATTTCTGTGTTCTTTTTGTTTCAGAAATTTGCGAGTGCCTACAAAAGGGCGCTTTTCTTCACAAGACTTTTGAGCTGACCTTGTCCTATCAGCAGAAATTTAGAATATGCCTACGTGTCTATTTGTGATTGGCCACTGAACGAATAGGCGCAACTATTTTTATATATATAAATAAGTTGTGACCGGGGCTCGTACTAACAGACAAACAAATAAAATTTTATATTGTAATTTACTGTATCCTTACGCAAAGTTTTTGAGGTGAGAAGAGGCGCCATCTTGACGCTGTTAAAACGAGCTCTGATTGCAACTGCCATGTCAAATAAACAAGTCTTTCTTATAAGCGAATAATATATATATATTATATATCAAAGTTGATATTGCTTGGACTGTAAATTAATAATAAGTATAATGTTTCAGATGCGCGATCAAAAGATCGAAACAGATTACTAGTTTTTAAATAATATTCAGTGATATAGTACTAGACTTGTGTTCAATAAATGAATGAACATTAGCCATATTTAAAGCAATTTGTGCAAATTTTGCAGGTCATGTCAAATCATGAACTAAATAAATTGTAGTTTTACTTGTAATTTTTTATTGGATGTAATGTGATGTACTGCTAAACTATTGATTTTGAAAATTAAACTTTTAAACAATACATACATTTCTATAATTAAGATGTGTTCGAGAATTTTAAAACACGATTGTGGAAGGAGTTGAACACATCTTAATTTTTTATTAAAATATGACTGTGTTATCTGTTAAAACATTAAATGTTATTTTTGTATGTGGACTGTAAATGACAAATAAAATATTATCAAAGAGAACGAATTGGTTTTTTTTTAACAACTACGGGAACAATGGACACGTATCAGGTTAAAAAAACTTCAAGTGAGAACAGTTAACATTATATTGATCTAAATGGAGTGGCAACCGGTATAACAAATAAAACTTGAACGTCTTTTGATTCTAAGTTTTATATTTAGATAAATGAGTTATGAGGCTGAAATTGCTTATGATTTTGTACATTAGAACATCGAATGTTTAATAACACATATTCTACATACACGTGTGTTATATGTAAGTAGGTATATATCGTGTTAATTCTTAAATTCTACTAATTTTATAATTACGCGATTTCATGACAATCCATCATAACAATGTAGTTGTAAACAACTGTTATATAGTCTTATTTTTAACAACTTTGCTTTAAAACGTTGCGCGTTTAATGAGAACCACAAGATTACAATGGCAGCTATAGGCCAAAACGTCAACGCCTGAAATTTCAATCCAAATTTGAAACAATTTTAATAAACAAGCTAAAACTATTCGAATTTACAAGATTTGCAACTACAATGAATTTCCACGACTTAAAACTTTTGACAGCCACCGTTCATTAAACGCCAACTATGACCAGCATAGCTACACAAAATTGAACATTCCTTCAAGCTTCCAAATACATAACGTTGTCAAATAGGAACTTTTTCATTACCAGAACACCAAAAACGTTTTTCGTACTTCATGCAAGAGCTTGACATGGACATCATTACAGCACAATAAAACAATACTTGAAGATGACTTAGACCATTTGAATCGCTTTGGAAAGATTGAGTTTTCTAGTTGACAGTTATGTAACAGAAGCGGCGTGCTGTCTTAAATGTGCCGCTTCTATTATACGATGATGCACTAGAACGTTACGACAGAGAGAACAAATGAAGTTTCGATACGCAGTAGACAGAGACACCAATTATATCGTAACACGATGACGATATGGAAAGTTGGACTTCAAAAGCAATCCAGCATCACAGTTTTGTCTAAACATATTAGATAATTCGCGGGACTTAACAAAAGTGTGATGTGTTTTGTTACAAAACATGCGACTTAACATAATCATACTTTTTCAGTTTATAGTATAATTTCCAGGCAGCACCAACTTTATTTTTATTTTATACCGGCATATTCTTGATCGCAAATACCTACATTAACAGCATCTACTTTTAAAGTATCAACAAACACGATAAAAAAGTATATTTTTGCGAAAACTATAATTCACTAACTTTAACAATGTTACATAGAACGATCGCAACGTGACTGACAGGTTTCGCTTGAAACGAAACTGGATAAATGCGCAAAAAAATACAACCGTGGTTTTAGGGAAAAAGTAGGTATCGACTGTTTCATTGTAAGAGCGTTTCACTAAAAACAGAATTATTGGAATACCATAAATTAGTATAGCATGTAAAATAATACTACTTGAAATGAAAATGTTAAAAAGTAGGGTTGCCACCTCTACGGTTGTTGGATTCTACTGTAACCCGACTGACTGACGGTCTTTTAATTAAATTAAATTCACGATTCTTCAAACAGAGTCGAAATTGTCTAGTGACCAGAATTGGCAACCCCAATTAAAAACTACGTACTAATGAAAGGAGCTAAAATATTTTGCAATGACGTTTAAACAAATTAAAATATTCATTTAAAACTCAACTACTGTAAAGGCACTGTAGTAATACTATTTATTGTTACTACTGTTCCTTTGCCACTGGATTGGCTGAACGTTTGCGTCTTTTATTTAAAAGGGGGTTATTTGAATTTTCCAATGTTTTGATTTGTACTTGGTCATAATCAACCCTCATTGTAGCTAACGAACGTGTCATTTCTTCCTGAACCTCTGGCCACATCTCTTCACCTTCCTTCAACATTTTGTGAGTATGTAAAGGAGTTTGGGGGACAGCCGTGTATTGCTGGAAGTCACGTATTAGTAACAATGCGCATGCGCGGATTAAATCGACTATAGTAACACAAAAGTAGTGTTAATATAGTTCTGATCGTGTTGTCTCTTACTGCAATCCATCTATTGCTCATGACTTGATCAATCGTTAAACGTTTGGCAGGATCCACATTTAGCATACCATTAATGAGATCTTTTGCGTCTTGACTCACATTTTGCCATTCTGGATTAGGGAATGTATACTGACCCATACGTATCCTATTTTTCATTCCTGGCGAAATCGCTAAACCGTGGTTGCTGTAAAATGGAGGGAAACCACACAACCTGAGACAACACAGTTAAGAAACTTTGTTGATTAAGATATAGTACGCTTACAGAATATACATGATAACACCTAACGACCAAATATCACAGCTTTTGTCATATTTTTCGGGTCCTAAAACTTCTGGGGCTGAAGAATACAAAGTTAGATCGTACTCTATACATGTAAGTGTTTTACAAACCAACATAATACGGCGTATAGCACGGCGTTTGTAACGTATCTTTGACTAAAGTTTCTTTCGCAAACCCAAAGTCTGTTAGTTTAAGTACACCATAAGTACCCTTTTTAGAGTATAACAGATTTTCCGGTTTTAAGTCTCTGTGTGCAATGTTATTATCGTGTAAATACTTTACGGCAATACATATCTCGTGCATAATTTGTGCAGCTTCTAAAAAATTAATAATATATAAACACAAATTCGACACTATGTATACTTTCGTAGGGGTTAAAGTCGTGACAGTGTTGACGCTGTCGCTGTTCCGATATTCTCTGGTTGAGATAAAACGTCAAATGCACTTTTCTAGTAATTCCGGTAAGATTAGATATTAGATAAAATGTACTCATTTTGATGTCACTAGATTTCGTCAATTGTTAATTTGTTTGATTTTTGCGATATGTGAAAGTGTAAACATCTGACGAACGTAATAGGGGTATAAAATCTGGGTTTATTTGAAGTGTTTAGAAATGCCATTCAATTTTATACAAAACATCATCACCTATTAAAAAAAGGTGCACGTGACGTCATAGCTCAAAAATTTAATGACGTCACAAACTATACAACCAGAAAAGCACAAAATAAGGAAACTTATTTCTACAATTTATTTCATGTAGTTTTAAAACTGTATAACGTACCTCGTTCTGTAAATGCTCCATCAGGTTTATCTTGAATTCTTTGAAACAGCTCGCCACCCTCCATGCTGTAAACGAAAATCAGCTTTATGCAATACTGGTCAAAATTCTACGAACCATTCCATAACGACAAGCAGACAAGTGCTGTTATTGTACTTATTTTCATAAACATCGATAATATTGACTATATGACGACATCCACTTGCTCTCCAGTGTAAATCAACCTCCCTTCTAGCCTTAATGCTGTCAACGAGGATCTGAAAAAGTTTCCTCAATTACGTGATACCGCGCAACGGAAATTGTACCTTCAGGGCGTATTTTTCTTTCGTGGCTTTCGAAAAGCATTGTACCACTTTACCGTTGATCCCTAGGCCTAGAACGGTCTTTGTAATGTCGTAATCGTCGGTAATTGGGGCTTTTTTCGGTGTGCGAATATTGTGTTTTACATTGCTTCTGTCTTCTTTATTCATTGTATAAAAGCAGATTTCGTCCTTACAATTTATAAAACATGAAGGTTAACTGTGACAAAATATCTTAGCCCTACTATTGTTTACTAAGTAATTAAAATTTTTCGATGAAGCAGTGTGCAGGGATGACAAATGACAAGAGATGAGTGGCGGCACTGGCTGTCAGGGCGCGGCGCCAAATTTAAAAAAGAAGTAAAAACCTGCCGATTTCAAACAGTGGCGTAACGTAGAGGGATCGACTTTATTTTTTATCTATTAATACTCAAGTAATAGGATGTCTGTATGTTTGTCCGTAAAACCAGCTGTTCAAACTTTTATAAAAACAGTAATCATGGTTTAAGTGATTTTTTTACTTTTCTACACTTGGTGATATTTGAAAATTTGGTGTCGTAAGTTTCTTCTGTTGGTGTCAATTATAATTAGGATAGTTATAAAAATGACATTTACGTAGAGGTATAAGTAATTAAGTCAATAGAAAAAACAAAATAACGTAGCACCATTCATGAATTACCAAATATGGAAATGTAAAAAGAATGCGGTAATAGCAAATAGGCCACTAGGTACACACAGCTGTATAATTGATAGTCTAAACGTTATTTTGATATAAAATAATGGCTCGAATATAGTAATAGCACTATACTGAAAATGGGCGGATTAACTCTTCAGTACGTTATAAACGGGGGTTTCGGGGGTCCCAAAAATATAATAAAAAAATTCTTAAATCTGATTTTGGCAATAACATACCCTCTAAAAAAAGAGAGAGTGGGTGGGTGGGTGGGGCTAGTATGCTAAGATAAGACTGATTTTGGTAAATGACATATCCTCTAAGAGAGGGTGGGTGGGCGGGGCTAGTACCTGCTAAGATAAGACCGATTTTGACAAATAACATACCCTCTAAGAGAGAGTGGGTGGGTGGGGGGGGGGGGGCTAATACCTGCTGAGATAAAGGTGATTTTGGCAAATGACATTCTCTAAGAAAATAGAGGGCGGGCGGCTGGGGCTAGTACCTGCTAAGATAAGACCGATTTTGGCAAATGATATAGGCTCTAAGAGAGAGTGGGTGGGTGGGCGGGGCTAGTACCTGCTGAGATAAGAGTGATTTTGGCAAATGACGTATTCTCCAAGAAAATAAAGGGCGGGCGGCTGCGGCTAGACCCGTAAAGATAAGAGTAATTTTAGCAAATGACGTATCCTCTAAGAAATTTAATTAAATTATTATACGAAAAGACACTAGAGGCTCCAAAACACTTTCAAATTCTTTCCAAACAAGAATACCTAGAAGCTTAAGATTGTTTTAAACTAAAAAAAAACTAGCCCCACCCACCCGCCCTCTCTTTTCTTAGAGGCTATCTCGTTTGCCAAAATCACTTTTATCTTAGCAGGTACTAGCCCCGCCCACCCGCCCTTTGTTTTCTTGGAAGGTATGTCATTTGCCAAAATCACTCCTATCTCAGCAGGTTCTGACCCCGCTCACTCTGTTAAGACTGATTTTGGCAAGTAACATATTCTCTAAGAAAATAGAGGGCGGGCGACTGGGGCTAGTATCTGCTAAAATACGAGCGATTTTGGCAAATGACATACCCTCTAAAAAAAGAGAGGGCGTGTGGATGGGGCTAGTACCTGCTAAAATACGACCGATTTTGGCAAATGACATTCCCTCTAAGAAGAGAGGGAGGGTGGGCGGGTTAGTACCTGCTAAGATAAGACCGATTTTGGCAAATGACATACCATCTAACAGAGAATGGGTGGGTGGGCGGGGCTAGTACCTGATAAGATAAAAGCGATTTTGGCAAATGACATATTCTCTAAGAAAATAGAGGGCGGGCGGGTGGGGCTAGTTCCTGCTGAGATAAGACTGATTTTAGCAAATGACGTATCCTTCAAGAAATTTAATTAAATCATTATAAGAAAAGGCACTAGAGATTCTAAAGCACTTTCAAATTCTTCCCAAACAGGAACACCCAGAACCTGAAGATTGTTTTAAATTAAAAAAAAAAACTAGCCTCACCCACCCGCCCTATCTTTTCTTAGGGGTTATCTCATTTGCCAAAATCACTTTTATTTTAGCAGGTACTAGCCCCGCCCACCCGCCCTTTGTTTTTTTAGAAGGTATGTCATTTGCCAAAATCACTCCTATCTCAGCAGGTTCTGACCCCGCCCACTCTGTTAAGACTGATTTTGGCAAATAACATATTCTCTAAGAAAATAGAGGGCGGGCGACTGGGGCTAGTATCTGCTAAAATACGAGCGATTTTGGCGAATGACATTCCCTCTAAGAAGAGAGGGAGGGTAGGCGGGGTTAGTACCTGCTAAGATAAGACCGATTTTGGCAAATGACATACCATCTAACAGAGAGTGGGTGGGTGGGCGGGGCTAGTACCTGATAAGATAAAAATGATTTTGGCAAATGACATCTTCTAAAAAAATAGAGGGCGGGCGGGTGGGGCTAGTACCTGCTGAGATAAGACTGATTTTAGCAAATGACGTGTCCCTCAAGAAATTTAATTAAATCAATATAAGAAAAGGCACTAGAGATTCTAAAGCACTTTCAATTTCTTCCCAAACAGGAACACCTAGAACCTGAAGATTGTTTTAAATTAAAAAAAAAAACTAGCCCCACCCGCCCTATCTTTTCTTAGGGGTTATCTCGTTTGCCAAAATCACTTTTATCTTAGCAGGTACTAGCCCCGCCCACCCGCCCTTTGTTTTCTTGGTAGGTATGTCATTTGCCAAAATCACTCCTATCTCAGCAGGTTCTGACCCCGCCCACTCTGTTAAGACTGATTTTGGCAAATAACATATTCTCTAAGAAAATAGAGGGCGGGCGACTGGGGCTAGTATCTGCTAAAATACGAGCGATTTTGGCAAATGACATACCCTCTAAAAAAAGAGAGGGCGTGTGGATGGGGCTAGTACCTGCTAAAATACGACCGATTTTGGCAAATGACATACCCTCTAAAAATAGAGGGTGGGTGGGCGGGGCTGGTACCTGCTAAGATAAGACCGATTTTGGCAAATGACATACGCTCTAAGAGAGAATGGGTGGGTGGGCGGGGCTAATACCTGCTGGGATAAGAGTGATTTTGGCAAATGACATATTCTCTAAGAAAATTGAGGGCGGGCGGTTGGGGCTTGTACCTGCTAAAATATGACCGATTTTGGCAAATGATATACCCTCTAAGAGAGAGTGGGTGTGTGGGAGGGGCTAATACCTGCTGAGATAAGAGTGATTTTGCCAAATGAGATATCCTCTAAGAAAAGAGAGGGCGGGTGGGCGGAGCTATAGTACCTGTTAAGATAAAAGTCATTGGCAAATGACGTATTCTCCAAGAAAATAAAGGGCGGGCGGCTGCGGCTAGACCCGTAAAGATAAGACTAATTTTAGCAAATGACGTATCCTCTAAGAAATTTAATTAAGTTATTATAAGAAAAGACACTAGAGGCTCCAAAGCACTTTCAAATTCTTTCTAAACAGGAGTACCTAGAACCTCAAGATTGTTTTAAATTAAAAAAAAACTAGCCCCGCCCACCCGCCCTGTCTTTTCTTAGAAGGTATGTCATTTGCCAAAATCACTCCCATCTTAGCAGGTTTTGGCCCCGCCCACCCTGTTAACACTGATTTTGGCAAATGACATGTTCTCTAAGTCTAAGTGATAGTGAATGTGTTGTTTAGTTGTTAAATGTAGCAAAAGAACCTATTTTAAAATCAATATAACTCCACTACAATGTGAGACGGATTTTTTTTACCATTTTTCTCAGACTCACCAGTTGATTGTTAAGATAGTAATGAAAAGTTAATCCCCCATTTTGCAGACACCCGGTGTATATATAGATTTGTTCTTGTATAATTTCAGTACTATAACACAACGATACTATAACTTCTGTAATTGATTATTGTTCTTTTGTTGAAGTACCTCTATAGCACTAAGTAATATCTATTTTTAATATGTAGCATTTTTATAGTTTTTCTTGAAATTTAATTCATAATTATTGTTTTAAAAATTGGTTCACATAATAATCTCACTGTTTCAGATAATCAAACCATAAAAATACGCATGCGCACTATGCAGTAATAAAGTTCAAACGTTTTTACGTAAGATGGAGTGTTTTAATATTGATTTATTGACAGATCACAATAGTATTTTTTATTGATTACATTTTAATGCTAAACATAAATAAAGGATACATTACAATATATGACTTATCACACAATTTATATACAACCAAACTTGTTTAATTTCATTTTCAACATATAAATATTGACATTATTGTTCAAATTATGATTATAAAAGTAACAGGGAAGAAGTAACTACAACCTATTATTCAGTCCTCTACTTTATAAGTAATTTAAAACATAAAATAAATATTATGTAGACAATATGGGCACTAATTTGTTTGCAAGCAAAACGATAAAACTAAACATATTTAAAATATTCCCCAAATACCAAAAGAGGTGAAATTAGTGGGTTAAGGATAGAAAGACGAAAATCCCTTGACGTTACAATGGTTTGCAATCCCACATAATTTAATGCTACAGATTTCTACAATCTAATTATTATCATATCAGCATTTAGAATTCTTATGCTGTTCCAATTCCAATGGCGATGCCAGCGACAAAGGAAACTAAGAAAATGTGCACGTCCTTAAGATGACATTCATTCTCCCCAATAAATGTAGAGTACCAAGATTTTGCTTTCTGTTCGTTCTTTCTAAAAATATTCTCTGCTTTATCAACTTGCTTATCCACATATCTTTCCACCTGTTAAAACGCCAGTCTTAATAAATCAATATTAACATGTCAAAATGATGTCTTCAATTTCAAACAAAAACTAACACTGAGTAAATCTTGAAAATAAAATTAGAACTGAGTTGTTTTTGTCTTAATGTGATGCACAACCAATTAAAAAGCCTCCAATAAAGCCACTCGTAAAAGAAGTATGGGTTTGTGCAAATTTGATAACCTAAAAGGGCACAAACAATAATCGCTCATTCCGCTAGTAACAGCATGCATTCGTATGATTGTAATAGGAACCTGTGTACCTTATCCTTCCAATCGGGTCCGTGTCCTGTGATTTTTTCCTCAACGCGGTCGCCCACTTTATCCAGGTTTTTCTGGACTTTATCCCAATTGATTTTAATGTAGCCTTTCTCGCTAGCTATTTCGAGTAAAATTATTCCTCCACCTAGAGCCAAAGCGGCGGTTTTGCCTACTCTCATGGCCAGGAAACCAGTCACCCTTGAAGGTTATTTTAGCAAAAAAAATATAGTAGGATAGTACTCACCATCCTGTACTAGTCCCCAAAGCTATTTGCTTTGTAGCTGAAATTTTACTAACGTCCCCGAAAAACCGCTCCAGGAACGACTTCGCCTTATCTTCTATATCGTCCATCGTCGCGATGTCTTTGTTATTTTGATTTTTCGTAGATTTCTTCGAAGCCATCTAAAACCCCTTTTTTTTACTTCAGCTAAATTTTTTACTTTGTAAACTTACAGAGCTCGTATCCGAAAAGAACTATTTACACAATGACAGAAGGTTACAAAAATTTATTACAAGAAATTACACCACGTCTAAATTTAGATTTCCCTCTTTTTTAACACTACGTCATAAATATTAAGGGCACATCGTATTTTTTTATTTAGTTTCACGAAAGTGGTAATAATTTTGAAAACAATCGACAATTCTGTGCACACTTCCTATCACAAGACAAAATACAACAACAATAAAACACACGCACGCCCAGAACAAAGACACGCGGAATGGCGACGTGTCCGAAAAGAAACGTCGCAGTGGATTGTGTCCGAAAGTCGCTGTCCGAAAATTTGAATAATCTTTGTCAGAAAGAGCGACTTCGGTACAATGTTGGGGTTAATTGTTTGTAAAGAAAACGTAAAAGTAAATGAAATTTTTATTCATTCGTTATGATTACTATATAATAAAAAAGTACTGAAATACAAGTACGTAATATAGTAGCAGATTGTCACGACGAATTGGCGTTAAACGTTGAGCGTACTAAACACAAAATAAAATAGAAATAAATGTCAATTAGTACGACTGAATGTTTGACACCAATTGTTTGATAATCTGTACCAACAAAATATAATTTAATCGCTAATTTGGGTGCATTTTCCTTCTCCCTTTTCTAAGTCGACGATCTACTTTTTCTTCAGACACGACAATGTTCAAAACACTTCACTTTAAACTCTTACCTGTTCGTTATATAAAGAGGACTCTCAATATGGCATGTAAATACAAATATTAAAATTTATTAAATTCTACAAAAACAGAGCGTTTATAAAAATTATTAAGATTAACGACATAAATCACAAAAATATATGAATGAGTACTTAAGATGTGACTAAGTTTTGAAAATATAACTACGAATATGAAGTACAAAATTTTGATGATCTTAGACCTAGAAACGGAACTGAGATCTTTGCTACAAATAATATCAAATAATTTGTATAGTACAATAAATAACGTATCAGGTTGAAGCTAAGTCTAATAGATGGCGATGGCATTATTATATATAGCTATATTACACATCTTGTTAGTACCTACTTATTTACAGGATATTAATGTTTATTTACATTTCTGATAAACTTTATATAAAATTGACACAAACACTACTTATAGAGTTTTTGACGCAACGACAACACTACTAAACAAGTACATTGAATTAATACCACATAAGGACAAAAATAAATAGACTCTGAACGCAACTATAGTAAAAACTAACAAAACTGGACATCTATTAAAAAATTCGTCTCCAGATCTCGCGCAATACAAATGAGAAGTCCGTTTTATTCACTGTCTGAGTCGTGAATTTCTTCTTTATGCACTTCCCCATTTTCTTCGTTGCGTTCTTCTCCATCGTCTTCTTCTTCGTCGTCGTCGCCATCCGAATCAGACGAACATTCAGAACTCTCGTCCTTGAAACAAACACCCACAATAAGAAAATTAGTACACGACATGCAAAAAACCTCGACTTACATCATCTGATTGTACTTGTTGTTGACGCGACTTCGAGAACGCTTCAAGTTCCTCTTTTGTCAAGCTTTTTAAGAACTTTTCAAACTCAACAATGTATATATGTTTTTTCTTCACTAGTTCGTCTTCGTATTTACGTTTGTCTTCTGCGCTTAGCGTTTTCCACGCCTGCGCAGGATCGCCGTCTCCTGTGTACAACGTTGCGAAGTATTTACATGCAGATCTGAAAAAAACACACTAGTTGGATTTAAAAATATGACTTAAGTCTTACATTGGTGGTTGTTCAGGTTCAGTGAATTTGGGTTTAGGCGGTTCTGGTACTGGCTTTGGAACGGGTTTGCGTTTCCGTGTTTTTCGACTTCTGCCGCTCGACGTTCGACCTCTACCTTTTTTTCTTCTGGCTTGCTGGAGAATTTTTCTTTTTTCGTCTTCGGGAAGATTATCAACGTAGTTTTGATATTCTTGCTTGTATTGTTCCATTAGCTGGAATAAAGACGGTTGAAATATGTTTAAGTTAATCAGTCGGGGGGTTTACATGAACCACTTGATCTCTGTATGTGTTTTGTTCTTCATCTGTACAAGTCTTCCATTTACCGGCGATATAATTCATTCTGTCTTTTGGATGCACTGATTTTATTTCGTCACTTTGGAGCATTACCCTTGAGTAGAGAGCATATGCCGAGTTTGGAGGTTTCATAGGTTTACCGGAAGCTCGTTCTTTTGATACTTTCTCGCGCTTGGTGAGGATAGACTTGACTTTAAATGGCTTAAAATCTGGGTGCTTAGCCTTGTAAGCTTTCACTTCCTCCTGTTGAAGAAATCGCAATATAGTTAAGAAATAGTTCACCCAATAACTTCCCCCGTAAGCGCAACAGTTCTAAACGGACTAATTAAGCTAAAAAACGCATAATAAAAACATTAGGATCATCTGCAACACGTCCACGGTGACAATGACGTAGTTAAGACTAGTTAAGGTATTGTTGCGCATCGTGCACGCGCACACGCAGCTTAAGACACATACCTGGTACCTAATCAGATCTTGTTCTGCCAAGTTTATCCACAGCACTTTCTTTTTGTCTGGCATTTGTTTGTATTGTTGTTTGCACTTTTCTCTGAAGGCAGTTTTGTCTCCGCCTGACTCCATGTTTTTTAGTTCAGCTGCCAAATACAGCCCGAATGGTGTTTGAAACTTCTTGGGTGGTCTGTCACCGGTTAGGGCTTTGGGGGGTCTCCCCGGTTTTCTGTCCCCTTTTGACTTGTCTTTCGTGGTTCTCGGTTTTTCCACTTTTGGTGTCTTTTCTACCTTGACGACTTTTTCTTTTTCCACTTTAGGCGGGACTTTTTCAACTTTTGGCGGGATTTTTTCAGGTAACGGGTGCTTTTCGACTTTGATCGGTTTTTCTTTTTCTACTTTGTTATTTAAATGGAATTTGGGTGGTGGAACGTATTCTGGGTGTTTTTCGCTATAAAAACACAGTTATTTTAGTGTGACAAACAAAAATGACAAAGTTACAAAAATAGTTTCTTTTTCTCCAAGTATTCTTCTCTATTTGAAGCGGCCATTTTTTCATACTGTTCCCGCTTTTCTGGCGGGAGATTTTTGTATATTTGACCGACAATTTTCGTGAGATCGCTCTAAAATTTAATTTGTAGGTAGAAACTACATAATATGGGTGGGTAATATTACCCCATCGAGACCTGGATTTTCACTGATAATTTCGTCCTTTTTCTTCAAATAGAACAACAAATAGGACGACAACGGGCGCCTGGGCATATCCGGGTGTTTTTTCTGTCAACCAGCAAAAACATAAATATGTAACTACAAAACTACGTCTTACCGGTCTGGGCAGTTTATGGTTTGTTCGTGGCGTACTAATCCAATCTCTGGCATCATTCAGCACTTCCCTCAGTAATCTAAATCTTCGTATCCTCTTCTGCACCAAAAGCCACGTTTTCTTGCACACATCGGCAGTGTAATGTTTGAATGCTACCTGCAAGATCACCAGTTATCAAAAATTGAGAAACAATTCCAACTAACATTGTCCCAGTTTAATTTTTCCACGCGAGATCTGTAAGCCAGGACGTCTCTATCGGGAATCCCGTTTTCCATCCGGTCGATTAATTCAGCAATGTCTTCATCCGGCCATGTGATGTCTTCTTTTTTTTTCTCTGTTAAAAAAAGCGCGAACATTATAAAACGAGGATTTAGGAAAAGACGCACCTGGACTGTCGCTCTTACTGCTTTTTTGGACCCCGCTGTCCCCATTTAGCAGCACTTGTTTATTTTCCTCGTTCTCGCTTTTGACTTTTTTCTTTCTCACTTTGACTTTCTTTCCGTCGTTTTCGTTTGTCTTTTTCACTTTTTTGGGGACTTCGTCGCCGCCGTCGGTTTTCTTTTTTCGTTTGGGGGCCTTGGTCACGGGAGTTGATATAACACTGGTGTTTTCAATGGGTTTGTCGCCAACGCTTGGCTCGACGATCATGCTGTCGTCCTTTTTCATGCTGTTCTTCTCCGCAAACACTTCTAATTCTTGTTTTGACTTTTTTGTTCGTTTTGAGCCCATGACCAAGAGGCTGAAAACTAATTAGGTGACATGTTAGGTTAGGGAAAGGAAACTTGAAGAATTTCACTTAGTTGGTGTCAAACAGCCAACAAAGTCGCTCCGTGTGGACAAAAATTTAAACATTTGTATCGCTTGTTACTTCACTGTCAACAACAATATTTAAATTTTGTTGTTTAAACTATGTGAATACAGTGACATTTACCTCCACTACATCAAAGAAATAACCACTCATTGTTGCTAATGGTAGAGTTTTTACTAACCTCTTGAGGTCTAAAAGTTTCTTTTTCTCGAATGTTTAACGAATTTCGATTAATTTTTCATTTAATTTTCAGCTTTCCAATACACCCCGCGGCGTCCACATTTGTTTGTACATCTTTACGATTGCCAACTGTCCAAATGACGGTTTGCGTCGCGATATTACAAAATTAAAATCCCTAAAACGGAAGCCTACGTGACTTTTTTCAAGTTTCGCTTTCCCATAATCCCTTACTCCGCCCCTCCGCCTTTTTTTGTTTTTTCGCAAAATATTTGATAACACTTGTTGTCTAATTAAAACATGACCAAAAAGACGTAATTGACAGACAAACTGCAAACTAAATATTTTTTTATATCACACGCTTACGATTAACTGGTTGCCTAACAATCGTTAATGTTGTTTATGCAACCAATAATGCACCAAGTGTCAACAATGTTTAGTTAAACTAGAAACGATAGTATTTTAACAGCGGCCCAAATTGAGAAGTAAATCAGTGTATAAGGCCGATTTTTTAAAGTAATATATAAAGGCGAACTTCCACGATCTGAACCTTCAGTTGCAGATAAATATAAATGCCAACTCTAACTGTGGAACTGCGGGTCGTTCGTCCACGCATGCGCGTTAGCAAATAAATTGGCGACTTATGTTGGACAATAATTTATTAATGATTATGTGTTAACAATTTTAAGTACTAATTTACAATCAGTAAAAATCATACTTCACAGCCATAATATAATGGTAATATTTAGCAAAGTGCATGCAATAAAACAAAACAAGTGATTGAAACACGTCATATTTAGCGTCTGAATACAGCAACTATATGGGCAAATCGATGTTAAGATTAAAACAGAGTAATAAATAAAAACAAGGTTTAATTAATAACTAAGTTATTGCATAAACTATTTGGTAAAATACTATTTGTAAACGCAACGGTACCCATATAAATAAATATTGCGTCTTAATTGCAACCTATAAACGATCGAATAATCTAGAATTAATAATACTGACTTCTTATCAATACACAATTCTAATAAAAATACTGCACACAACTTAGAAAACCACACATTAGGAAAAAAGCAGCGTCATGATTTTCAGTGTCGAGGTTAGCAATACATCTGATACTGAGAAGTAGCGCTTTGTACGAAGTGTACAAACAATACAGTGCACGATGTTAAAGCTCATAGTAAATAACTCGATGACTAGACTTAATTCACAACAACTTTATATGATCGAGAGGAAATTACAGTTAAAAAAAATTAAACTTGATGTCCGCTAATAGAATGGATTGGCTGCAAATAGAATTAAATTGTAGTATTAATAAGAATACTTAGAAAATGACTACATAACAACGAAATAAACAATAAAGCTACAAAAATAAACAGAAAATCCAACTTGAAAATCATACAGTTTCACATCGCTAAAAACTTACTCTATGAGAACTTGCCCTTAGATCACTATTAGTAAAATCATTTTCTTCTATACAAAGATCAGAATCTGAATCTCTATTTGGCTTGTTCTGTCCTTCCTAGAAAAGACAGAAACAATACTTGTGGAGCACACTGACTACAAAAAGCTACGAAAAGCTACAACTTTATACCTGAGTCATCTGCTCAGTTGTAGTAAGTAATCTTGCAATAGGATTACAGCAAACGGGTAAAGTTTCAAGAAGAGTCGGTCGTGAATGCGTAAGTAAAGGCTTCATGTAACGTGTATCAAAAGATCCCCAAATTCTTGCTAAGAAGGCTTTTTCGTTCAACCGTGTCAAGTCCGGCTCTGATATCTCATTCCAGTCGCCCCTTGGTGTGGTATTTCCCTACAGAACACTCATGTAAGAATACACACATGACATCACAACACTGCTGCAAGTGCAATGATGTTAAGTAAAACTTACACAGAAATAAACTAACATCATCACATGTTAGATAAGAAAAAATACCTACCCCTGACATATTCTCCATGGAATTGTAAACCTAATAATTAATAATGGGTTAAAACTGGGGATTGTAATGCAAGTGAAAAGTGCAAAACAGAGAAACGATAAATATGACACTTACGTTGTGTCCTTGATGAGATAGAGCCTCCGTTTCTTCATCGATACCGACCCTAAAATAACACACCGTTAGAAACAAAGTGCGATATCATCACCACTCGTGTAAATTGTGTCCACTTACGGAATTTGGAACCACTGCAACAAATTCATAGTTGCACCCCCTTGAATAATTACAGTAATTATCACAATTAAAGAAGTCGTAGTTAACATGGCTTGCCGTGCTTCAGACATCGTATTCCTTATTGCCAACGCAAAAGACATAGCTCCTCGAAGACCTACAATTCCAGCGTGATTAATTTTCAAGCTTAAGTCACTCATTCTTACCCGCGAAGAAGAGCATGTGTTGGAAATTGGCGGGAATTTTGGGTTTTCGACCCAAATTGAGTAAGAAAGAGAGGGGGTAAATGTTAGCAGCTCTACCAATAGCGGCACACGTCTGTGACTCATTAAGGAAACGTCACGATTATATAGTGATATATTTCAATGCGACAAAAGGATACAAATCCGGTCAAAATGAAAAGTGGATCAAAATGATGCTTCGGGAAAGTAAACATTGAGACTCCTATATATGAGAAGATAAAATTTTCAGCGAGAAAGTTTAATAATTCAAACATCTGCTTGGTACGAACTCTAGTATCATCAGAAAGGTTATTATAAGTGTAATGAGCTTGGCAAATGCCACAGAACAAAACAGCGACCACTCCTAAAAATGATACATTGAAATATCGCTCATTGTAGGGTTTTCTTATATTTTCACTACTCACCTGTAAGTTCCGACGCTTCCGCTATCAAAAATGTACTGTAAGACATTAGCACGAAAAGAGCAGACTCTAGAAGAGGGAAATCACGCACCCTTGTAAATTTGGTCATGTAAGTTATGTTAAGGAAATTTATGTATAAACATAAAAATAAAAAAAAAATCGATTTTTATTTTTAAAGGATATCAAAGCCGTCACACACCCCATCACTGCCCCAATAAGCAACGATAGCATAAATATTCCAAAGAAATCTCCAACGGCTCTGAAAAATGCTTTAGTTTCGAACCCACCAGAACGCGATTGGTACCGTTCTTCATAGTTTTGAATCGAACTGAAACAGACAAATAGTCATCCATTTGTATCCGATTGTCGAAAACGACGGTCAAGCTTGTTGGTTATTGTTTACTTTGTTTGCACAGCTGCACAAGATATTGTTTTTTCTACGCAGAAACGATTTTTGTTTGAGTGCCAACGAATTAAATGCACAATGCAACATTAACCGAGAACGATTAGTTTTAGTATCCTTATTATCGAGAAAAACGGTCAGCAACCATTGAAATTTAATGACAATACATTATTACTTTACATATAAATTTCATAGCCGACGAGACAACTTTTTTCGATCATAGGGTACCACTATTGTAAAATCAAAAATTGTTAAATGTTTATACAGGTGTTTCATTTTCTATAGTAGCAGCTCAAAAAAAAAAAAAAAAATATGTAAATTTGATTGTAACTGCTCTACAAACAAAATAATGAACAATAATGATATTGCGCAAGCGCAACAGACTCTTAAGACAACTAAGTATGTGTTTTTGTACAGTGTTAACATTAAACCCAAGTAAATATATACACAATGACAGGCTTTTTTTGTTGACCACAATGGAAGAGACACCTATATACAGACAGTAACAAAATACAATACATGTTATTGACACATGATATGAATAAAAAACAAAAAAATTAGCTTGATAACTAAGATAAAACAAACAATAACAGAGAGTAAAACAAAGAGTATTTCGAGATAACAGCGTAATTATCACGATTTCTTGTAGGTATTTGAAAAAAAAATCAAATCTTTGTTATAGTGACAAGAACACGAGGAGCAAAGATATAGTGGGCAGTAATTAAACAGAGACAAGAAAATGGAATTTTTTGACTTAAAATAAATAAAAAATGCAAAAATTTAATTTTCTTTCAATAATGTATTACCAACATGCGTTTTGACAGTTTGTTTAAAAATTTGGGGTTTTTTGGTTTTTCGTTTTGACAAAGTCTGCATCTGTCTTCAAACGCAGGCAAAATTTTCAAAATTGTCTACAATGAAGAGCCCCGTGATTATGTAGTGACCCATTAGTAACATTCTTGTTGCTGTACAGTTAGAGGGTGACTTGTGTTGATTTGATGGGTTTGAAAAGTGCGGTAACATTTAATTTTAGTGAGTTGGTGCGAATTTAGTAAAAATTGCTTACCCACTTAGGACGATGGCAACAGCATCATTCAGGACGCTCTCGCCAAAAACTAAGGCATACAGATTAACATCTACATGTAGATCATTAAAAATAGCGAGGATTGTCAGTGGGTCAGTAGAAGAAATGAGGGCTCCAAAGTAGAGAGTATCCAGAAATGTGATACTGCTGGCTAATTTTGCAGGCATCAGTTGAACAAAGCCATACATCAGTGCTCCTACAATAAAGGACGATATGGTCGTACCAATTATTGCAAATGTTAGTATTGCGCCCAAATTACGAAAGAAATATTTCTGAAAATGTCATTCAATTAGTTGTTACACCAATACCAAGCCGGACAAGCAACCAATCGAGCAAGTGATTTACCCTTTTCAGAGAGTATCCCGCGTGGAAAATAATAGGGGGAAGAATAATGTTGAAGAAAATCTCCGGGTCGAACGTGGCCTTCAAATCTATCTCGTTCTCGACCGGGTCGGCGATTTCGCCCCTGAACGTGTACTGGAAAGTCTTGTTGGTTTTCACATAGGGTCCCTTGACGGGGAAGTGCAACGACACGGTGTCGGGGGGCAAGCTGGAGTTGTATTTAGGGTCGTTTGCGAAAACCTGCATGTTGAGTACATGGGAAGGGCTCCCAGAGTAGCGAATGATAGCCCCCACGATCAATCCTAGAACGTGATTGCGTGACGCCGCTAGGGACACGTTTCCGACTAATAACCTTACCATAGATAACAGCCAGTCCAGTCTCATGAAGGAAACTAACTCTACGATGTTTGAATAACCATATGGTAAGTACCGTTAAAATTAGAAGAAAAGTATAGGAAAGTAAATTCAGGCTATCTATGCGGTGTGTGGATTGAGCCTTTGCATCCAGTTGTATATCAGATGCGGCCCCATCACAGTGTAGCACAGCGTAACACAGCAAAAACGACACGAGCACAACCACACTTTTAGACATTGTGTACACACGATTTAGATTCGGGTAAATAAATATCAAAACTATTCTACTACTTATAATCGCGTATCAACCTTTTTAAATCTATTTGTCATAATGGTAATATTATGATAATGTTGGCAGCGCAACACGAATGATCTGGAACTTGTTTATTTTGGTAGTCCCAAAGCTGTATCTAAAGTAATTTTACGTCATGCGGTTGGCAATACTGCTGACCTAATTCATTAACCCATTAGCGAGGGGCGTGGGGAAGGGCAACATCGCCAAAGAAAATCAAGTAGTGAAAGCAAACTCTACACGTAGAACGCAAAAGTAGGACGTAAACGTAACACGTAAGCATTTCGACAAATTTGATTCTACTATATCTCATATCCGATAAAAAAATCGAACATGTTTCTTGGGTAGTGTCTAGTATTTTGTAACCTGAAAACAGTGGCGAAAACTGCGCTCCAAAATTTCCAGAAGTAACTGAGAATCGATTTTTAAAAATACGTAATGAAAACTTTCACCAAAATGCGAAAAAAATTATGATAAATCTTTAGAAAACCGTTCTTTGTAATATAGCGGTAGTTGTGCACAGGTTAGATTTGAAATTTCGTAACAATAAGTCTGTATAATAGGTATATTACATTCTGGAAATGTCTTGAAAATCTTATGCAACAAACTTTCTTTCTATGTTTCGAAAATTAACAATTATAACTTAACTATTCAATACACAAACTGATACATAGTAGCATAGGTTTTATTATTAACTAGTACCAACGTAATGTCACTGAAAACTAACTTAATATCAGCTGAAGGGCGGGTGGGCGGGGCTAGTACTTGCTTAGATAACACTGACTTTTGAAAATGATATCCCTTTAATTAAAATAGAGGGCGGGTGGGTGGGGCAAGTACTTGTTAAGTTAAGATAAAACTGATTTTGGAAAATAAACTTCTAAACACAAAAACCTGGACATTTGAATATTTACAACTTTACGCGAATGTTTAATGTTATAACCTTTTTATTTTTTCTGTTTCCACATATTTTAGAATAAAGTTATGTTTTCTGTTAATGAATATATCAATATTTTGTTTTTTAGAATATTGTTTACAAAAGTTCGACCAAACGCACAAAAATAAAAAAGATAATCACAAAAATCAAGTGTTCGGGTTTTTTTTGTCTGGCAGTGTAGTTTAGCCTTTAAGAAAATAGCGGGCGGGTGGGCGGGGCTTGTACTTATTAAGATAAGACTGATTTTGGCAAATGAGATACCTTCTAAGAAAATAGAAGGGTATATCATTTGTCACAATCAGTCTTATCTTAGTAAGTGTTAGCCCCGCCCACCCACCCTCTATTTTCTTGGACGATATATCATTTGCCAAAATCAGTCTTATCTTAGTAAGTATTATCCCCGCCCACGCACCCTCTATTTTCTTGGAGGATATATGATTTGCCAAAATCAGTCTTATTTTTGCACGTACTAGCCCCACCCCCCTTCTTTCCTTTACTTAAAGGGTATGTTATTTGGTAATATTAGCCTTATCTTGGCGAGGACTAGCCCCGCCCACCCGCCCTTTATTTTTTTTGAGCATTAGTACTTGTTAAGATGAGGCTGATTTTGGCAAATCACATACCCTCAAAGAAAGTAAAGGGCTAAGATAAGACTGATTTTGTCAAATGACATACCCTCTAAGAAAAGAGAGGGCGAGTGGGCGGGGCTAGTATTTGGTGAGATAAGACTGCTTTTAGCAAATGACACACCTTCTAAGAAAATAAGGGAGGGTGGGCGGGGTGAGTAATTGATAAGATAAGGCTGATTTTGGCAAATGGCATAACCTCTAAGAAAATAAAGGGTGGGTGGGCGGGGCTAGTACTTGTTAAGATAAAGCTGATTTTGGCAAATAATATACCCTTTAAGAAAATAGAGGGCGGGTGGGCAGGGTTAGTACTTGCTTAGATAACACTGATTTTTGAAAATTATATCCCTTTAATAAAAATAGAGGGCGGGTGGGTGGGGTAAGTACTTGTTAAGATAAAACTGATTTTGGAAAATACACTTCTAAACACAAAAACCTGGACATTTGAATATTTACAACTTTACGCGAATGTTTAATGTTATAACGTTTTCATTTTTTCTGTTTCCACATATTTTAGAATAACGTTATGTTTTCTGTTAATGAATATATTAATATTTTGTTTTTTAGAATATTTTTTACAAAAGTTCGACCAAACGCACAAAAATAAAAAAGATAATCATAAAAATCAAGTGTTTGGGTTTTTTTGTCTGGCAGTGTAGTATACCCTTTAAGAAAATAGGGGGCGGGTGACGGGGATTGTACTTATTAAGATGAGACTGATTTTGGCAAATGAGATACCTTTTAAGAAAATAGAAGGGTATATCATTTGTCAAAATCAGTCTTATCTTAGTAAGTATTAGCCCCGCCCACCCACCCTCTATTTTCTTAGAGGATATACCATTTGCCAAAGTCAGTCCTTCATTTTCTTAAAGGGTATGTTATTTGGCAATATTAGCCGCATCTTGGCAAGCACTAGCCCCGTCCACCCCCCCTTTATTTTTTTAGAGGACTAGTACTTGTTAAGATAAGGCTGATTTTGGCAAATACACTGCCAGACAAAAAACGCCGATATTTGAACATTTACAACTTGACTCGAATGTTTAATGTTATAACGTTTTTAATTTTTTTTCTATTTCCACATATTTTAGAATTAAGTTGTTTTTTGTTAATCAAGATAATAATGTTTTGTTTTTTGGAATATTTTTTGCAATAATTCGACCAATCGCAGGTAATCACAAAAATTCAAGTGCCCAGGATTTTTTGTCTGGCAGTATAATACACCCTTTAAGAAAATAGAGGGTGGTGCTTATACTTATTAAGATAAAACTGATTTTGACAAATGAGATACCTTCTAAGAAAATAGAAGGGTATATCATTTGCCAAAATCGGTCTTATCTTAGTAAGTATTAGCCCCGCCCACCCACCCTCTATTTTCTTGGAGGATATATCATTTGCCAAAATCAGTCTTATTTTTGCACGTACTAGCCCCACCCCCCCTTCTCTTCATTTTCTTAAAGGGTATGTTATTTGGTAATATTAGCCTTATCTTGGCAAGCACTAGCCCCGCCCACCCCCCCTTTATTTTTTTAGAGGACTAGTACTTGTTAAGATAAGGCTGATTTTGGCAAATACACTGCCAGACAAAAAGTGCCGATATTTGAATATTTACAACTTGACTGGAATGTTTAATGTTATAACCTTTTTAATTTTTTTTCTATTTCTACAAGAACTAAGTTATGTTTTCTATTAATCAATATAATAATGTTTTGTTTTATGGAATCTTTTTTACAATAATTCGACCAATCGCAGGTAATCACAAAAATTCAAGTGTCCGGGATTTTTTGTCTGGCAGTATAATATACCCTTTAAGAAAATAGAGGGTGGGTGGGTGGGGCTTGTACTTGTTAAGATAAGACTGATTTTGGCAAAGAATATACCCTCTAAGAGAATAGAAGGGTATATCATTTGCCAAAATCAGTTTTATCTTAGTAAGTATTAGCCCCGCCCACCCGCCCATCGTTTTCTGAGAGAGTAGGTCATTTGCCAAAATCAGTCTTATTTTCACACGTACTAGCCCCACCCGCCCGTCCTTCATTTTCTTAATGGGTATGTTATTTGGCAATATCAGCCTTACCTTGGCAAGCACTAGCCCCGGCCACCCCCCCTTTATTTTTTTAGAGAACTAGTACTTGTTAAGATAAGACTGATTTTGTCAAATGACATACCCTCTAAGAAAAGAGAGGGCGAGTGGGCGGTGCTAGTATTTGGTAAGATAAGACTGCTTTTAGCAAATGACATACCCTCTAAGAAATAAGGGAGGGTGGGCGGGGCGAATATTTGATAAGATAAGACTGATTTTGGCAAACGATATAACCTATAAGAAAATAAAGGGTGGGTGGGCGGGGCTAGTACTTGTTAAGATCAAGCTGATTGTGGAAAATAATATACCCTTTAAGAAAATAGAGGGCGGGTGGGCGGGGCTTGTACTTGCTAAGATAAGACTGATTTTGGCAAATGATACACCCTCTAAGAAAACAGAGGGGAGTGGGCGGGGCTAGTACTTCCTAAGATACGACTGATTTTGACAAATGACTTACCGTCTAAGAAAATAAAGGGCGGGTAGTTTGGGCTAGTACTTCTTAAGATAAAGCTGATTTTGGTAAATACACTGCCAGACAATAAAAACCCGGACATTTGAATATCCCTAACTTTACGGGAATGTTTAATGTTATAACGTTTTTTATTTTTTTTCTGTTTCCTCATATTTTAGAATAAAGTTATATTTTTTGTTAATGAATATATTAATGTTTTGTTGTTTGGAATGTTTTTCACAAAAGTTCGACCAATCGCAGGTAATCACAAAAATTCAAGTGTCCGGATTTTTTTGTCTGGCAGTGTAATATACCCTTTAAGAACATAGAGTAGGGTGGGCGGGGCTAGTACGTACTAAAATAAGAGTTAATAAATAAATAAATAAATAAATAAATAAATAAATAAATATATAAATAAATAAATCATAATTAATGAGAAAGGACGTTACTAATGACGTGTACACATTAATTCGTTGCTTCGATTTTTTTAGGAAATTGATGAACAACGTCTCAGGGGTAGCGTCCGTATATAATAATTCTGTAATACACGCTTTGCTTTCGTTACCGTTGTGTACTTTGGCTAACTATTGCCTTCAAACAGTGTAGTGTTTGAATAAAAAAAAATATATAAATTTGTTATAGCTTGCCATAAAAAGGCGATAAAACGGCAGGGTTTTTCCAGGAGTTTATTTTAGAGCAAAATTTCCACTGTTTCTTTATAGAATTTTTGTTGTTTGTTATCGCTAAATTTAACTTTCTGAATCCAAATATTAGGATCAGCTTTATATTAAAAAATGCGGGGAAACAACTTTATATATAGGTAATTTTGTTTTATGTTTTAATATTCCATTAACTCGCTCGTTTCTGTACCAAACAAGGCTATTAAATTATACTTCAAAAAAAAAACGTAATCAAAGTCCCCTCTGAATCAACTATTTAATAGTTCTTGATGGAAAATTGTAAATTTGTCAAATTTTGTGATGGAACACCACGTGTGCTATTTTTCTAGAAAAAATCTGTGTTTAATTAAATTTTTATTATTAAATTCAAATATAACAAATTAGTCTCACATGTTCTTAATTCTGTATGTTCAATATGCTTTATCAGTGATGATATACCTAGGGAAATTTCCCTAAATCTAGGGAATTTCATGCTTGTTCAAGGAAAAAGGGATTTTTTATTAAAAACTAGAGTAATCTAGGGAACTTCAAAAGGTTAATGATATTTGTTCAAATGTTAAGTCAATAGTTTCGTTATAAGTGCAACTTAAATATTTAAGTTTATAGATCTATGATTGTTTCAATTGTGTCGCCCTCTGGGAGCGTTTAAATTTGAATTAAACAAATTGGTACCTCAATTGGCGGTACCGTTTCTATCGACGCAAATTATTTTAAAATTACTTAATTAAAAATGGGTCTTTTCTCCAATTAAACGCGTCAACTCGAGATTATAAATAGAGCCCGAGGCAACTTTTGCGTCATTCTGAATAATAATTTTATTATCACTGCTATTGTTATTGTTGTCTGCAGTTAACCTTTTTTTCTTTTGTTATAGGTATGTAGTACTACTTATTTATATTCATTTTTAATTTTTTATGTTTTTTTGTATTAAATATACATAAACTAGTATGTTCTTTTTTTACTAAACTGAACTCAGACAACACACCATATATTTGATATAAATGTTTTGTGCTAACTGCTCTAAATATTTAAATACAGCGCCATCTGCCAAATATGACACCATTTAGGGAAATCTAGGGAAATTTTGACTCAGAATCTAGGGAAATATATTTTTTTTATATACCATCACTGTGCTTTATTAATATGGAATCTTCAGCGTTATATTATTATAAGGTTATATTTATGCTGATTATAAAAGATCGTAGATCAAACTGGCTTTGCAATTTCGTGATTTTGGCGCCTCGTTGTGGTAATTGATGACCAAGGTCGATTGATGATGATTACCACACTAGTGAATCATTATAAACTAACCTTGTACTTGTCACTTATTACAAATGTTTATCATAATGTAACGTTCTTAAACTTTTTTGGCGTGTTTTTGACCCGATGGGTAGACTACCAACAACTCATTTAATATGCGTAATCATCAGTTGTGTTTACGTTTACGTGGCGTACACAAAGGTGTCGCTTCTAGTATCTTCTGTGGATCTCCGCCGCTACAATGTTTCTCCACTGGCTCTACTTTGCTTCAATTTGACGTTCAAGAACATTTTAAACAAACCAAAATTTGGGACACTTGTGTCTATGAATCTGCATATAGTCAATAAAACAACCGAAGTACGAAGTCCAAAGTTCAGAAGAAAGTGCCTTAAATACATAAGCCTGAATTGTTTCTGTTTTGACGTATGAACCCCAAGTGTAGACCGTGTACTCTCGTAGTAGTGTGATTTCCGTGGTGTGTAATTATTTTAGTATTAAATATGTTCCGAATTGCCAAGTGTTGTGTTCAAAATGAGAGCAAACTTTACAACGCAGCCCTCAGGAGGTATTTTTGTGTTAAAAAAATTTTGAAATTTTTATTGAGGTTTGTGAATTCACAGGTTTATTAGTACTACCTCTGTCCAATGTAAGACTGTACAAAACGCTGATAAATCATCACCAACTCAGGCCGAAAATCACTCTTTTGTAATGCACTTATTTCGGGGGCAAATTGAAAGTCGCCAGGTTTTTCCTTATCCGAATGTTTTAACAGACGAACAGCGGGAGACTCTCAATATGCTTGTAGACCCAACTAGGAAGTTTTTCGAGGTGATTTAACACCCTCAGTTTTGTGATTTATATTAACATTTGTGGTACAGGAAGTGAACGATGCCGGAAAAAACGACCAAATTGAAAAAGTTGAAGAAAAATCCCTAGCCGCCTTGTGGGAGCTAGGGGCTTTCGGCTTACAAGTGCCTCAAGACTATGGCGGTTTAGGCCTAACTAACACACAGTACGCCAAATTAACAGAAATTGTGGGAGCGAATGATTTGGGGGTTGCGGTGATGTTAGGCGCCCATCAGTCCATTGGTTTCAAGGGAATTTTGCTAGTTGGGAGCCCTGAACAAAAGGCCAAATATTTCCCAAGGGTCACGTCAGGCGAATTTGCCGCCTTTTGCCTGACAGAACCTTCCTCAGGATCCGACGCGAGCTCCATAAGGTAAAAAATCGACACGTCAATTTGACATGTGTTTGAATCTTCAACGCCACCTTGTTTATTTCAAGAACGTCACAACGTAAAAATGTGACTCGTGCGGTGATTTATCTATCCATCAATGACGCACTTGTGGTGTACAAAGGTATACTTGAGTGCGTTTTTGATATTAATAAAGGCGGACTTTGCTCAACGTACTTTTTGAAATTGAAAAAATGGATAAGATGCGTTTGCTTGAACTTTGAATCACAGTCACGTCAATACGGTGTCATAGTTGCGCTAGTGGGGTGTAGGTGGCGCTGTACGGAACAAAAAATTCAGTTCATTGGCTAGGTATTGACGATTTCGTAATCTATGTTTATTCATTGAAAGAGTTGTTTCAACATAAAATTTAAAATTTTCCATAAAATATGTAAAGTTTCGGAATCCAATGACCTTGAGAGATACGCTTGTCGCATTTCTGTTTCCCAAGGCTAAGCCTCTAGAATGGGAAAAAGTATGTCCCCGTTGTCGTCTGTCCATTGGCGATTTTATTCATCATCTAAACCCCTGCACAGATTACTTATCCTTTTATAATGTTATTGGGTCTAAATAACTTTCGAGGGGAGAGTACTGTAGCGGCACTACTATATATAAAGCCCTCTTATATTAAGATTCTAGTTCTTAGCACATGTATAACTACTACCTATTTTGTAACACTCAAAATTTAGATGTCGTGCTGTGCAGTCCCCCGACGGCAAACACTACATCCTCAACGGCTCAAAAATCTGGATAAGCAACGGCGGCATCGCCGAAATCATGACCGTCTTCGCCCAGACCCCCGTGACTGACGCCAAAACTGGCAAAACCGTCGATAAAGTGACAGCTTTCATCGTCGAACGATCATTTGGTGGGGTCACCAACGGCGCCCCCGAGAAAAAACTAGGGATTAAAGCGTCAAACACCGCGGAAGTGTTCTTCGAAGATGTCAAAATTCCGGTGGAGAATGTCTTAGGAGGGGTAGGAAACGGCTTCAAGGTGGCTATGAACATCTTGAATAACGGACGGTTCGGTATGGCGGCGGCCATGTCGGGAACCATGCGCGGCTGTATTAAAAAAGCAGTCGAATTCGCCACACAACGAAAGCAATTCGGCCACACAATCGACTCCTATGGGACCACCCAGGAAAAATTCGCGCGGATGGCGATGCTCCAGTACGTTACGGAGTCCGTCGCGTTCATGATTTCGGCGAATATGGACGCTGGGTCGAAGAATTATCACCTGGAGGCGGCCATTTCGAAGGTACGGTGTGAGGTTCGAGTATTGTCGGGCACCATTTTTTTTTTTTTTTTTTGTAGTGTTTTGCATCGGAGGCCGCTTGGTACGTGTGTGATGAAGCTATCCAAATAATGGGTGGTATGGGGTACATGAGGGAAACCGGTCTGGAACGTGTTTTGCGAGATATTAGGATATTCCGAATTTTTGAGGGCACAAATGACATTTTGCGTCTCTTCGTCGCTTTGACTGGTACGTACCCGTGGGTGAGATTTTCTGGATTGAGGTAGAATTTCAGGTATCCAGTACGCCGGGGCGCACCTAAAAGAATTACAAAACGCGTTTAAGAATCCCACTGCTAACTTAGGTTTGATTTTTGGGGAAGCGTCAAAGCGGGTTGTGCGTAAGGTGGGGTTAGCGTCACCTCCGGCCATGGATCACTTGGTGCACAAGGATTTGGCCCCGTTGTCTAACGTAGTGGCTAAAGTTAGTAAAACTGGAGAGGTGTGAACCTAGCTAAATTTTTTTTTTTTTAGAAAATCGACGCGTTTGGACAAGCTGTCGAAATGGTTTTAATAAAATACGGAAAGAGTATAGTTAATGAGCAATTCATTTTGAATAGGTTGGCCAACGCTGTTATAGATATTTATACGAGTACGGCGGCTCTATCAAGGGCTACTGCGTCGCTTAACAACGGTCTTCCAACTGCCAATCACGAGAAACTAATGACGGAGGCTTGGATTTTGGAAGTACGTATAGGGTTTTGGGGGTGACTTTTTGTAATGTATTTGTTTTAGGCCAGTGATAGAATCGATAATAATTTAAAAGCTATTGCCAGTGGTAAAAGCTTAGACAATTTTACGAAGTTGACTAGTATTGCAAAGACTGTTTGCGAGGCAAATGGAGTCGCACAACTCAATCCCTTAAATTTATAAACTATTTATTTTTATACAAACATTGTCCACAATATTTTTATGTTAAGATTGTTAAAGATTTTGTAATAAAACTTTACACTATTACTTATTCTTGGGGTGTTATAATTAGTCGTCGCTCGGGGAACATAACCTCAATAAATTCGAGTTGTTATCGCGGGAGCTATACAGTCTGTTCCAAAGCAGTAGTAAATCTTGGACCTTGAGGATCGTAGGGGTAATAAAACTCGGTATAGATAACAATACTTTTACTCCATAGTAATAGAGCAAAAACAAAAATAGAAAAACTACCATAAATTTAAGTTGTACTTAATGTGATATCACAATGAAACATTCTACGAAAAAAAAACCTGTAACTATACTGTGACAAATAAAAATCACATCGACGTCGCAATGCGGTAGTAAAATTTTTACTTTGTCAAAATTTACACTCCATGGCCATTTCACAACTGTGCGCATTGTGACTTCGTGTGTTTTATGTTACAAATTTACACATATCTTCACATTTAATGAATATGTAATTATTACCAACAATAATAGTTAAAACTCTAACAAAAAATAGAAACCATGTACACACTTAACAAGAAGATATAAGTTTGATATGTATTTTATGATTTTACATTAATGAATGAATTATACTACAAACCTAACCGAAAGTTGTAGGTTTGTAATAAAATTCGTATTACTTTCTCTACATTTACGTACACTGAAAATTTCAGTTAATTTCGTTACAATAGGAATAATAGAGAGAAAACACAATATCACAATTCGAACATATTCTCTTGGATCAGTCGTTTAATAAATTCCAAAATTATTGTTTAGTCGGTTGCAAAAAAAGAGAATATGTCAGAGAAGAGTACTTTCGGATTGTCATTTCAAACAAAATGTGTGTTTCAATACCGAAAAACATTGTGGTTGGTCCTAACAGTTTCTTTTCTACGTTAAGAAAGCACAGTCATCAACAGCACCTAATTAATAAATTAGGTAAAGTTATCTTAAATACATTATATTTAACAGTTAGAGTAACCGGAACAGAATTTTTCTACAAAGCAAAACTTCGGCCAAACGGGTTCAAATAATTTTTCTGAAACATAACTCCCATTCGTTTACATCGACGGCTGCGCGCGCACGCCCGCCCCTATTGGCTGTCGGTTTTACGGGGCAATGTTCAAAAGTTCGAAACTGTTTACACAAATTTAATTCGAAGCTACTTGAAAACTATTGCAGATACGCGCGCTAAATAAATAGCCTGGGTATAAATTTTTTTATACAGGATGTTTGAAAAAATGGCACACAACTCAAAATAAGTGAGTTTGTGGCGGTTTTTAGAATCGCGTATGTGCTTTTTGGTAAAACACATGTTGTAAAATTAATTTGGAAAAGTCGCACAAGTGTAAACACCTAACATACATGAAGTTTGCCGTATCGGATATTTTAGTAAAAGAGTGATAAAGAGAGACCTAAAAAGGGCGCGTTACTACAAATCTGTTAGAGACTACTTTAATTCTGTATTCCAGTTCTATACACACACCTGTTATGTTAAATAAGCTCAACGGATCCACCATTTTGGATTACATCTACAGCTCTCATATTAATATTGAAGAAGAAATATACAGCAAATATTAATATTTAGTAAAGACTGGAACGCCCTCTGCATTCAGATTTGGCGCATTAATGACAAGCGACTGTAATTTTACAATTACCAGCAATATAATTACCTCTAAAACGAACTTAAGCTCCACCATAAAAGTTAATCTTGTGACTACTGGAAAGTTAACAAATATGCGGTATTCGTAGTATGATTTCTTCTCATTAATTTATATATTTTTTTATAATTTTGGTTATTATATAGTAATATAATTTTGGCAAGAGGACAACGTTCTTTTTTATGTTTATATCAATTACAGCTAAATTTTTATTGACTTTTTTATTCGGAATAAAAATCAAGTCCAAAAATTTCACCATGTAACAAAAGAGTGGAATCAGGTATATTTTTAGGTTGTACTGTTTATATCATCTTTACTTAATCTATATTTCTTACCGAAATAGGAAGAATAATTATTTTATTATAGCAAAGCTACGCTGTCAGATGCCGGTTCTGCGGTAGCTGCAGTACAAGAACTCCTCGATGGCGTATTAGGTCCCACACTTTGCATCGGAATGGTTTCACTGGGATCTGCGCCTTCAAATATAAAAAATATGTGTCATACATATATTCATATCACATTTCTATTTGCTTATACAGTGTTGTTAAGGGAATATGTTTGTCACGTTGTATATTAGTTCAAGTACAGACTGAGAATATTGTTAAAAAAATATTTATATTTAAATTCGATATTCACTTGAACATTGTTATCGGCTTCCTGAGTTCTAAAGCGCATTTAATTGTTAAACCGCAGGTTATCATGACTTCCCGGTGAAAATGTATTTTTCGTGGACTCGAGTCTTATCGAGTTTATCGTGGAACTATAATATATATATTCACACAAAATAATAATTTGGAAAGACTTGGATCCAGCGTGTCGTAATCGTGCAAGCTTAGTGAAGTTCCACAGCGTTCCATTCGGGGACCATTTCTTTGTCGTGCGTTCATGACGTCGTAAAATGAAATTTAAAATGGCAGATTTTTTGCGGTCGCCACTCAGCAGACACGTTTTTATTGAGAAAATGAAGTTAAAAAGTTGACGCTTGAAGAGTGGAAATAGATATGTACTAGAAAGAGTAAGCATCTAATAAATAAAACATTTTCTCAACTTCCGAGCAAATGCTTCTCGGGAATTTAAATATTGTTATCAACAAGTACCATCATAAATAAAAACTTCTCTGTCGTTAAATATTTCAAAGCCGCTAGCTGGCAAACACGATCCCGGCAAAACGCTAAATGTAATTTAGCGATCGTTGACATGAAAGCTTGTTTGAATTTCCTGCGCCCCGGTGCATAATCAAGTGTCGAATCTGGTTGCTTGTGCGGCTAATAGAGTACTTTCGCTTTGTACGAATTGGAGTAATTCGGCGAGAAAGTATTGTCGTCGAACGAAAGAACGATCGAAATATGTCGGGCGTAACAGGATGGATTTAGCAAGCTTACAGTTCGACCAACCTTTATGAGTTGAAGAAGCCGTGTAAGTAGAGGCTGGTCCTGAGTTATACTTTTTGTAAGCCGCGCTGTTCATTGTCAGTTTTCGCACATTTTTGTCGGGATGAAGAACTATGATGTAGACTTTGGGCGAGTACAGGCAGACGAGAGCTACGGTTGCATTCATTGAAGTGGCTACACAGAGTGTCGTAATCTGGGTCTGAAACACATATACCTTATCTTGGAATTTCGTATCTTTAACGACGTGATATAACTGCAAATTGTTCAGAGTTCACTGAAATAAAAGTTAGTTATGAAAACATGTAATATAGTAACTTTGTTATCTAAGTAAGTAACTGAACGGAATTGTTTTCCATCATCTTCATTATTACGTGATTTTTGCTACGTCTAAACGAAGACGAGGGGAACCGCTGCGTGTAATTTAGATTTGCATTTAACGAATTTAAATTTAAGACGACTCGTTTTTTGTTCATGACGTTACTCTGCTCGTTATTAAGTGGTTTTAGTAGAAAAATGTATGGCAGCTACTAATTATAAAATACTTTGAATAATTCCCGAAAACGGGGATCATTTGGGGTGATATAAAAGGCAAAAAGAACATCCTGAGCATCGTAATATTTATGTGAAATGGCGTAATAAAAATATTGAGACTGATAAAAATATGGTATATTTGTCGTAAGAATCCTCTTATCTTTGAAGTTATGACGTTAACGTTATATTGAATTTTATTTAATAAAGAAATGTTTTCCTCTTTTAAAATACGCATTGCAGGTGGCACACGCAAAACTGAGATTCTTATTTTCCGAATCTTGTGAGGAATTTGTATTAAATGCGTCCTCAAATAAATGCAATCTCGTCAAATCAACGTAAACCGCTGAATCATCTAGTTGGGAAAATTGTAACTAAGAGACTCTAATTAACGTTAATTACTTCTTGGTGGTTTAATAATTTAATAATGCATTCTATTATCTATAATCCCCGAGCGTGTAAACAACTCTATAGGACTTTATAGTGTTTAAAATTAATAATGAACACACTGTAATTGTGAAATGGACGTCTCTCATCTGGATTAAATCTGAGGTGTTCGTCAACGTGTCGCGGTAAACGTTATATATGAAAATTTAACGTATCTGTTTACGTCGAACACGGTTGTCAAGATAACAACTTATTTTCCATGCTTGAGTTCATTGGACTCTTAAAAACACAGAGAAATTGTTTTTTATTAAATTAAATTTTAAATTCACGGGCCGCCACTGGGTATAAGTAAGGACATACAAGCATGTGAATCTCCTCGACGTCGCAAAAAAACTCTTCAACATCAAGACAAGAGATATATAAGTATGTTAATGTGAATTATAGCAGCGCATAATAATTTAAAAACTGCTTAGGTTACTACTAATTAGATTTCAATTTGAATTTTAAATTCGCCTGCGCGTAAAAATCGTTAAACGAAAAATTCATGTGAAAAATGATACTTAATACTTATAATGATTCTCGGTGAAATTTATGCCAAGTCATGCTCGAAATTATTGCGTCGAATTAATATCGAATTTCTGTTTGCCACCTTATGGCGGCATATTAAATTCAGTAATCCCTAAAATTCGAAGAAATCCTTTTGCAAATAAAATTTATTTGCTTTTTATCGACTGGCCCGCCTAAAATAATTTATTTAATATCGCTGATTTTGTTCTAAAAGCTTTTAAAAATATTTTAAAGCCGAAAACACAGTTAATATTTGCGTTGTAGCCCCAGCAATGATCAACGATTTCAAATATTTATATATCATACAAATTGTTGACATGAGCATTTTGAGAGCGATTTGTTTCAATAAATGTGCCAAAATAACGTTTGTGTTCAATGAAAATATACGGGTATTTATAAAAAATCAACTATAGAAATTTCAGTGTTTATATCCGTTCGATTGCGCCAATTTTGAGTCGACATTCGAAACGCGCAATATTTCTCCACACAAGATTAATCCGGCCTTTGTTTCACCAAGTTAAAGCCGGGAATCATTTTTATGCTTTCATTTTATGTTTAGAAGTACGCCTAATGAATGAAACCGTTTATTGACTTACAATTAATCACAATGACGGAACGATAATACAACCTTAAATGATACAACACAATTGACTATTTTAATTGGTTCAAATAGTCTGCCCCACTCGAGACGTCCTCGTCATTCGATTTTCCGAGATTCTCACTGGGAACATCCAAAGGTGCTGTATCATTTTTCACGGGAGATAACCGCATTTCTGATCGAATGCCCTGTGATTAATAACGGCGGCTAAGACGTTTTGGACCGACCGTTTTAGTTTTCATACACTGACAAAGAGTTATTGTGTTGCTATAAACTTTCTGGCATACCTCTAAAATCAAATTAATCGTGAGGATGTTCGATGGTGCAACTCGAACTGACAGACTTTCCTTCCCAAAGATAATCCGCTTCTATTTCATCAGAGAATTGATAAAAGTCATTACACGTTTCGAATAACACGGACGCCGTCGCCGGCTTGTCACATGTCACGCAAGCGCTGCATAATCAAATAAGCGAGGAAACGCGCATATAAAACAAGTATTTCGGTTTGTGGCTAGCGCTCGAGTTAAAACTAGTGAGTAGAATTATTATTAATTATTATCATATACGGAAATATAGGCTAGTTGAGTTAAATTTTTGTATACTGGTCACGGCACCAACGTAATGATAATTAATACTTACCTCGTAGGAGTTTCCAGTTCCAAAATAGATGGGGATGAAAGCCAGCCATATGATACACGTTGTATACATAGTAAATCCAATAAACTTCGATTCATTGAAATTCTCAGGGATTTTTCTAGTTTTTACTGCGTAGACCGTGCAGATCGTGATCAGGACCATATTGTAGAGTTGGGAGAATAAAAACGACATGTCCTGAATCTTGCATTTGAGAATGACCTGTAAAAGAATGTAATTCTGGACAAAGAAGAGCAAATTGTGTCCGTATAAAAGTCGAAAATAATCTCGGTATCTCATGGTCCCGGGTTGCACGTGGTTTTAGTGTAATGTTATGATGAATGTAGGTGAAACGTGATTAATGCGCATTAACGTTGAAGACTGAAGGGGTGTAGGAGGTGTCCAGGAGTATGTAATTCGTAACGAATTTGAGTGGTGTCGCTTGGGGGTTTAAAGAAGTGGATTCGAAACATTTTTGAGCCTCGTACGTAACGACCACTACATGTTGCAAACCCGTAAAAGGGGTTAACAGGCTTTAAGAGTGAAATATCCAGGCCGAATCCACTCACCTGATTTCTGTGCGGGTAATGGAATCTTGTGCCGGGGGGTTCGACGATCATCCACACGAGAGTGAGTAGAATCTGCACCGCTATAAGTGTACAAGTTATGATTACTTGCGATTTGGGGCTAATATAGCTAGGCCTTTGAGCAGATTTGGAGGCAGAATCAAATATTCTGGAGATTCTGTTAGTTTTTGTAAGCAGGGCTCCGTATATTATGGAAAATCCGACTCCGACCCCGAACCGCTGCGTGATGCAGGTCTCCGTTGTTGGCCTGGCGAGTAAGGCAAAAGTGTTCAAATAGCACAATAGTATGCCAAATAGTAACATGTAGCTCAACTCTCTGCCGGATGCGCGCACTAGAGGGGTGTCGTTATGTTTTATGAAAAGAGCCATTATTGTTAGAGTTACTAAAATCCCCAAACACGAAAAGGCAGCCGGGACGAGCGCATACGGGGAATCCCAACGCATGTATTGCAATTCCAAAGCATAGCAAGACAATTTGTCCTTGTAGGGCCAGTATCCAGGACCGCAGTCCTTGCACGTGAACTCGTTGAATACGTATTCGTATTCTTCGCATTTGTCGCAGATCCAGCAGCAAGTGTCTCCCTGAAACAAGACGTCATGCACTAACTTATGATCGAATCGTGATAAAGGTGCTATAGTTCGGAGCCCGAAAATCTTGGTCATTCCAGGAGGCGTTCCTAGAATTAGAAGTAATTGTGATTTATGTATGGATTTGTCGCTTATTCCGAAGAAAAACGTTCGAGAGTATCGATAGAGCCGGATAGAAATAGAGGTCCACACTTGTGTAGTTTTGCCATTTCGCGTTTCATTAAACCGAACTAAAATCGATCGAAAGTGTCGGCGATTAGTCGGCTAAATATTTTTAGGGAAGGCGGCAGGCGAGCTTTTATTGTTTGCGTTGGATGTTTGCGCGTATGAAAATTACATGGTCCGTGATTGGGTCCAGGAAATGATTTATAGCAGCGGAATCATTTTGAGAAATTGCATTGAGCGATTTAACAGTCAGATAACAAATATCGGACCAAAGGAATAAGTGAAATCCTCTCAAATTTCGTTTCATACAATCTCAGCGAAGCATGCATTGAAAATTTTCCGTTCAAAATAAACTTTTACCAATTCCAATTACATTTAAGGCATATGCAAATCGGAAAGTGAAGAGATTCCGTTCGATTGAACGGTCCTCAAGCAGAAATAGACGGAGAAGATGAATAATAGACACCTTCCCCATTTCACTACCGCACGTTTGACAAACTTCTCTTAGGTTAATACAGTTCCTAAAGTTCCCTCGAAAAAATTACTGTTTCCTTAAACGACATTTGCCGACTGAAATGAAAAACACGTGGTTTTTTCCGTCACACTTAGCATACTTCCGGAACGCGGAGAGATATGGATCTTTCACAATGACCTGCAACGCCTGTTGGAAATTGCTCACTAAATCATTCAATCGATAATACCGTATTATATTAAATCGTTCCCATCTAAGTAATTCCCCAGTCAGCGGTTCCCGCCATCAAAACATTTTTAAATCAAATTTCTTCAAAGTGTCCGGAATTTATTAATACACCAAATTCGACTTACCTGCTGCTTTTTTATCATCCCGGGCTCACACGGGAGCGAACAGGCCGACGCTGGCGGAACTGTTTGCTTGTTGTTCCAAACTAGGTGCTCCAAATTTAATTCCAGAGAGTTAAACCACTTTCCAACTACCTGTAAAAGGACATCTGTTACCGTATTTGTTACCTTCAATTCAATCAACCAAACCTAAACTAACTTAACTAATGCTACAGTTGTTCTGTCACCGTGTCCTATCACTAGAACATGCCTATGAATTTAACCCAATTCATTAAAATCCTTTTTCGCCCAAATCTCACCTCCGAACGAAATTAACCCGTCAACAGCGCATCAAAATTCAATTACGCAGATAAAATTTCAACATATTCAAAAAATAGGGGCGGCATTAATAACACGCACACAAATGTAAACCCCTTGATTAAAATAATAGAACAAAGTTCGCCATCCTGGTCACGGCACCAACTGTGACGAACGCGAATTTAAATACGCAAAGAAATCAAGAATCACGTACTATATTACTGTATAACCAAGCCGACAAACTTATTCTCTTAAATAAAACAATTTTCTGGGCTCACTGTCAATTATCACCAATTCCTTAAAGTATCCCACGAAAATTGCTATCCTGGTCACGGCACCAACTCTGACGACACCACATCATCTCATACCAACTCAAACAAAAAAAATATTTTTTATAGTTAAATTGACAGAAAACTGGTATCCTGGTCACGGCACCAACTGTGAATTTATTGGAGATTTTTAAAAACGAAATTTTCGTAAACGGGCGCTAGTTTGTGTGAGTTATAAAAGCTAATCACAATTTCGCCGGTTTCGTTACTAAATGTAATGGGCCGGTCGGAATCGGTTATTGAAATTTGGTTGTGTTTATAAAATTTTAAAAGCATCGAAATTCCACCGTGGCCATTAATGGTATTAGTAGCAGTGCTTATGAATGTACACTAGGTGATTTAAAATAATAAATCCTGGTCACCGCACCAAACGAAACTTCTGAATCCATTTCAGCGTACAAAATTTAAAAAGCTTTAAAAGCGAAATGCGGCGGCCACATGACAGTAGTTATAAAACAGTTATCCACTTAAAATTACGCTGTAATATGGTTTATGTTAACAGGCGAATGCTAAATTCCGAATGACTCTGCACGTTGCTAGTTTTGCACAAAAATTAATTTAAAGTAATTAACAAACTTTAAAGCAAATTAATTAATTACGTAAATAGAACGCACAGGGTCGAATCTATACTTGTTGCGGCAAACGTCAATCATTTATTTAGCTCTCAAAGGGCAAATTGGATGGTAAAGATGTTGGGAAAGGTTAATTAAGAACTTTTGTCGTGTTACTTAATAATCTTTGCGGAAATCAACCGGCGCCACATTATACCTACATTAAAACCACATAATTTCGTTAGGGGGAATAGGCACTTGAAGTAACTTCAGTCGTATTAGATAGTTGCTTTATTAAAGTACTTGGTTTGTAATGGTTTTCAATAATTTCCGGACTTGAAAATTGCTTCTTTATCCGACTTATTTATTTATTCAACGTTAAGATTTAACTTTTCGCTAAGAAAATTGAAAATTAACTTCTGGTGAGTTAAGCCCGCTAAAATTGTGTTCCATTTATGTCCCTAGTGCATTGAATGCATAATGTTCTTTCACAACGTTTCTCATTTCCCTCGAAATAACAAATACATTTATTTGCTAACACAGGGAAATGTAGTTATATCAAGTATTTTTTTTTTTTAAATCGATACCTTTTTGGTAATTGTTTCACTTGTCCATATTCTGAAACAACTCTTTTTGATTGAAAAATTAAGCATTTTGACATTTACACGCCCCCCACCCCCATGCACGTAAAGTACAGCCTCATCTCCTTTCGGAATTTGAGACCGTTTGGGTAGTGGAGTGTCCAGGTGAGATGTCAAGCTCGAATTTGATGCTCGACTGTTTTTCTAATCTTACGTCGCATTGAAATTTAGCTAACCGCTAGAATATTCGTGGTAGACCCTAGTTTTGATGAAATTTTATAGATCACCTCGAAGAATTTTGTATAAAATTGAATTATGAAGTACGAAGTGTCAATGGCGTTTCATAATTGACAATAACAAACGAAAATGGAAGTACTGGTCACGGCACCAACTCTAGGGAAACTACACAAACTTAGAATGTCCTACGTAAATTGCTGTCCTAGTCGCGGCACCAATTGGTCCAGTCGAACAACAAAGCTCCATCTTTTTAATTAGTGATCAATACTCGAAGACGTACTAATCGTAATTAAATGTATTATAACAGAGGATACATTGTTATATTATACACGGTCTATCTTTTGTCTTTTACTTACCCTGTAATGATATCCGGTCGAATTGACTAGCCTTTGATAGTTAAGGATATCGTAACGAGCGAGCCCATCACCTCGATGATCGAACTTCACTGGACTTCCAGCTAGGTCTGGGGGGGAAAGAGGAAATCACGTTAAAATCTAATAAACCATTTCAACAGGGGATTTAGGCTGCTGCCGACACCAACACAAATTTTGCACTTCAGACAAAACTTTTCATATACCCACATCGCAAAAAACTTCTCGGATCCCAGTTTTACCGCTGTGAGAGTAATATTTCACACTATTAAATCTAAGGTTATTTGTAAACCGACATCCGGCGATGTGACGTTTTGTTTTTTGAAATAATTTGTGTGACATGTGTAGTTTTGGCGGGAAATTCGGTTAGGCTGCGAAGTTTTATTTATGGTAGAGCACACAATACCGCTATCATTTTTGAAGTTTTGAACTAATTCAATTAGAAATGGATAGGAGCAGGTACTGGAGTGTGGAGGAACGCTTTAAAACTTCCCGAATAATTTCCCGTAAGTCGCATTGTGTGTGTGCGCGTGTTTGTGTGTGTAGGTTGAATCACTGACGGCATTTGCATAAACTTTATAGAAAATAAACAGCGTTATATCACAATATTTATGTTTACGGACTAATCGGGATGTTGTGGCCGAGAGGGGATGTAAACTATGCGAAAAATCCGAAAGTGTGTTCTTCGTTCGACTCCTCCGTCAAAAATTATAACAGAATTCAATTTAGGGTGCGATCGCGTTGTCGTTATTCTCATATTGAAAATATTTCGTTCGTTCGATTTTTTCCAATACTTTTCGCAGTAATTTATGTTTCGGTGGATACGGCAATTTACAATAAATATATGCATTTGCGAATCTCTCCATCCGGATAGAATAAGAATGAACGCACTGATCCAATCGATTTAGGTAGCGTAATAATGTATATAACTGCACGTACTTTCCCGTCGACGGTTTGCACGTTTAACTTTCTCTTTAAATCGTCGCTATGGTTTACTGCCGAAAGGATTTACGTCGGTTTACAATGTGTGGATCAAACATCAAACTCGCGCCGAGCATTCTTTTATGAGACACTGAGTAAACCGAATAAAACAAAAATGTTAAAAAGAATACACCGAAATTTCGTGGTAGACGAAAGCGTTTGTTAGAAGCGCAAAGTACAAAGGAAATAGTAACTTTTTTCGAAGCGTATCCTGGTCACGGCACCAAATTTATCCTGGTCACGGCACCAAATTTTGTTTGTGGCGAATGCCTCAATCGGGCGCCAAAATTCAATTGTGCTTTCAATTTCAAAAACAGCGACATGTGGTGGATGTGTGAGTTAAGGCCACGTATGCACCTTTAACGAACGATCCCGGCGTTAAAGAAAGAATTTATATTAATGCGCAACGTTGACAACTGTGCCACAAGAGATGAATGTTTTATCAACAGCACGTCGTGCTTGGGGATGTCCGAAACATAACGACTTTTATTTTTTAGCATATTTAAGTGTCTCAAATTCGGGAAGATTCTATAAAAAGCGGTGTTTGATTTCCTGTTCCGGTGTAGCTTTCACGGGGAGATTCGATACTCACCGGTAAAAGAGACGTTAAGTAGATATTTTTTGTAGAAGTCGCCACCATCGTATTGGGTCATTGCTGGGCAGACTCCGGATTTCCTGTAGTCTTTACACACGTCGCGATAAAGATTATGAAGTGCCAGAGCGAAAGCGTACACAGCATCTACCACGAACTGAACTTTGCTTTCTTGTTCGTACCTGTGGTCAAGAAAAACTTCGTAACAAAAAAAAATACGTATGTCGACACTTTTAATTAAACTAGTCATTATTCTGCAACTTATCACGCCGTTAAAAATATTGCTGGCTCATAAATCACGCGAAAATAAGAAATGATTTAGTGAAGCAGGTTGTGTTTTTGCTGAATCAGAACGAAATTGTTTGCACTTCTACTACTTTGTAAAAACATATTTATTACGTTTTTGTATGGATCATGTTTTAAATATACACATGTGTCAAATGACGCGGAAGGGTAAGATAAGAACGTACGAGAAAAATCTCGCATCAAATTTTATCCCGATCAGAATAAATTGGACAAATAGAATTTAAATTTATGTCTATCAGTACATATTTGTGCCGTTTCTTTGTAACAAAGAGCAAATGTCTGGTCAGTTCTTTATCATAAGTTATTGTTTGTTTTTGTTGTTTCCGATTGTTCTATGTACGTGTGTGTACTAACCTGCAACAGAATTCTTTTGTAATCATGGTTTCGCAAATATTTCATATTAAACTAAATTAAATTCAATTCCGTTTGATCTTGTATATAGCGTTACGCAACCCGCTTAAAGATAATTCATTTTTCTTTTGTCAATATGTTTAATACTGAAATATTTTTCAATATCCTGAGTCAAATAAAAAATTTAATATATTGGAGATATAGCAAGTAATGTTAGATTACCTCAGTTTATGGAAGTTTTAGCAAAACGGCTTCTTTTTATATGTTCGTATATCTAAGATTATCAGTATCAAGGTAGCATATTAAATTTCCTTGGGTGAAAGCGAAAAATAAAAATTTTCATGCGTGGTTGCGTATTGACAAACTAAACCAACTGCTCTTGTTATAAAAATAAATTTAATGGGAACACATGATATGAAAGTGTCATAAACACAGAAATGGTCTTCACTATGTGGTTTTACCTTGAAATTGATTTTCTCAAATTTAATAACATTGAAGTTATGATATTCACATTTTTATTGTACTACACTCTAAGGAAATACAAGGTGAACATGACTATGTAATCGAATATTTAAGCACTTTGAGAAAAACCACGTAGCGAAGATAATAATAAAGAGAAAGTGAAAAAAGTACATATAATAAAATGAACACTTTTTGTTACGCAAGATTGTATTTTTTCTTTTCAATTAATTTACTCGTTCCTTCAACTATCAAAATTTGTGAATTATCCTGGTCACGGCACCAATTCTGTGACATGAGGAACGTTAAACCACTTGCGTGTTTGTGCGGCTGCGCGGCGCTACTTGTGTGAATCCCCGGTTCGCTCACGCTATATTTCAATAAAAGCATATTTTTAAGTTTGTCAGCGACACTCAACAAATTACCATCGTTTAGAAAAATTCCCGTATTGACTGCTCACGCAAAGTTACGGAAACTCCACCGATTATTCAAAGACCTCTAAAACTCACCCAACTTTCTGCGAGAGTCGAAGTTCGGGCTTGCAAACATTGAAGTTGGTGTGTGTGACTAGCGGGACATTTTTTTCAAGTATGCAATCAAAAGTGTCTTCCCAATATTGCTCAAACCAGGGATTACGAAGGTTAGTTTCGGGAGTAAGTGACATCATGTATTCATCAAAGCCAGGAATGTTGTCAGATTGTAACTCAACTGTAATCGCTCCTTCCGCTACGTCTTCTAAACCTTCTACCAACTTCTGTTGTTTACCCCATCCATCGCTTGCAACCCAGTAGAATGTATGACTGGCATTCAGACGCTTCGCAGCCTGCAGAATCCTCCTATGATAACGACAGTTTGCTAACTAATAAATCTCACTCAATATCCGGTGTACCACGTACTCAGCTAACTACAGAAGAGTACACACGTACAACACTCAATCGTTACCGCCTGTAACTTATAGCAATCGGATCGAAGCCTATCATTACGAAGCCCTCTTAGACGCAACTAGTCTCGGTAGGTGTAAATCTTTTGTAGACGCTTAAATTTCGTTCAACGATCCGAGATGTAATCGCTAAAGTAATGGAATAAATTTTTACTGTCTAACCGTTTCTCCACACCTACGTTACAACTTTTAATTAAAAAAGTATTCTACATTTCTTAGAAACCTTAGTCGTGCTTTAGTGCCACAAGCAACAAGCACATATTGGCGAAAAAAAACTGAATAGTTTTCTTATTAAAACGTTATTATGTTGCGAATGAGAATGAGTTTTAAGTTTATTTTCATCTTATGGTCTAGCGACAGAACACCAAAGTTTATTTGTAGTTTTTGTCACTAGGCGGTGGTTGGCACCCCTGTCTAATAGAGCGGTAGGGTTTTTGTAGCTATATATCTCATTTTACAACAACGTGTAACTTACTAGATCTAATTACTTTAACTAGACAAGGAAAATCGGTTTTTGTATACTGGTCACGGCACCAATTTGGTGCATACTAATAATAAGACGCACTTACCTCGCATCTTCCGCTCTAGTAAACAACACAACCCCTTTCGCGTTGACTTTTTTCTTTAGTTTCATGATGATGGCGTCAAAGGTGTGGTCATCAGCTGTGCTTGGAACTTTCTCGGCTGTCGCTATACAAACATTTCGTTCTTGTGCTTCTCGGTGAAATACCTCAATTCCATACTCTCCGTACGACCCCTCCGAGTATATGGTAGAAACGTAGCTCCAGTTTACACTTTTAACAATGTCCACTAACGCACTAGATTGAAAAGTGTCCGGAGGAACTGTTCTAGCGAAATATTCGAATCTAGTCTTGTCACTTAACGCTTTTGCTGTCGATGCTGGTGATATTTGAGGAATGTGAAAGAGACCTAGACCAACGAGAAACAGTTTAAGTGTGCGCCAAAGGAAACTCTTTCGGTGTTAGGTAGCGTGTAATAAAGACATAGAAGGAGACAAATGTAACGAAAAGAGAGACATAAGAGAGGCAAGGTAAAGAAATGTAGTCGCGTTTCGAGGAGTCGGAGATGGATCGTGGCAGTTGGTGCCGTGACCAGGATGCGCATAGGAAATCGCTTAAGGGTACAAAGTTTGAACATTGTTTTGTAATAAGGCGTGTTTGTAAATGTATATGGACGTTTTGAAAAATAATGACTTTGTAATACTGGTCGCGGCACCAACTGTAACGATTTATTGAAATTGTGATGTTGATTGGTGGATGACAGTCGGCATATCCCTGAAGGCACTTTTATATTCGACGTTGTAGCTTCCAGACTGACAATAGAATGGAGTACGAAAAACCAGCACAAATTACTGAAACTTGCGTCTCACCGAACAACATGTTTTCGACGTTACTTTGGAATTGAAATAGTTTTATTTGGTCGGTTGAGAGACTAATTGTAGCGCGAAATTGCTCCGCTTCGGGCAATAACACGTCGAAAGGTGCCTTTTGAGCGCATAACTAGGTGAATGTTCGTAAATACCTAATAAGTTAGCTACTTGTAGAGAAACGGAGCTATAGGAGCCGCCCACCACTCCGAAGACTGGTCCCGAGTAGTTATTTCTCGGTCTGGGAATGGAGTGATCGACGCATTCTAAAGAGGAAGTGTCAATGTTGTTGACTGAAGCCCTGACGAACTGAAGGCTCTGATTGAGCGCGTAAGTATCCCTCGAGCAAGTATCTAAGATGTGGACACCGAGAGTGATGTTAGGGAGAATGCGAGGATTGCTGTTGATGCGGTCGATTGCGAACATCATCGCTTCGAGTCTTTGAACGCCCCGATGGTAGATCTGTTGGCCGCACGCCGTCCTGTCCCCTTTCTTGTGCACGGGAAACAGCCCGCCCAGGATGATGTCGCCGGGAACACTTACGGGACCTAAGTCCTGCGTCTCGCCCTCTGCGGAATACAGCAGGAGCGCAAGCAGCAGTTGGAGCACGATCATCCCCTGCTAAATGCCTCCAATCCTCATTCATTCGCAGATCTGCAACAAACGGATTCGTTAGAGACTCTCTTATACGCCAGCAATTTTAATCGCAAATGGCGCCAACCGCACATGGTCATATCAGCCGACACCCCACCAGCGCACTGGAAGGAAATGAATCTTTTAAAACATTAGCAGCATATTTATAAAAGACAAAAGGACAGGTCTGGAGCGGACTTGATAATGAATATGTACTTCGGGTTGTTACGGCTACGTTACGGTGCGATGGGCAACATTTGTAAATTGTCGTCGCAGACGCGCCAACTCTATTGTCGGAGTCTCGATATTGCACTCTTGATGACGTCACCCACTGTTTGTGCTTTTGTTATTAGTCGCAAATCCGCTACCGCTCTTTTGTTTTGAACGCAGATTCAACCAAAAGTTTGCATATAGATTATAATTGATTAGTAATTGCAGGTTATATTGTCTCGATGGCACCAAATTTAACTTACTTAAGTGTGTGCAAATTACACTATAATAGAACGCTTACTCTAGTTTCTATTTAATAGTGCGTCGTTTAAAATTCTTGATAAGTAATTACAAGTTTGAGTTGGGTAGGATTAGTCCAACGTGAGAACGCAGCGTTTCGCCCCGCACAACTTTTAATAAGTGCGTGTTGTGAGCTGAAAGGAAAAATTTGTCGGTTCGAGTCAATACCATTAGCTTGTTATGAGCTTAAGAATTCTCGAGATTACCATAAACTCCACAATTTTTCAAATCCTGAAAGCTGCGTATTGAAAAAATTAAGAATTCCGCGAAAATCCTTATTCATCGTGTTCTACGTCAACTTAATCACAAGACTGGTCTTAATTTCATTTGACATTTCATCTGCTCCACTACGGACTTTCTCGGAAATTGAGAATGAATTGATCATTAAACGACATTTCCATTTTGTGTCTAATATAGAGAAGTAGCCAACGAATCAATAAAACAAACACAAGATGGACCACACGAACAAAACAAGTTGTAAACACACTCGAACTGAAGGGGACCATAAATACCGGACATATGTAATTGGATTATGAGAGACACAAATCTCAATTCGTGTACATAAAGTGTCGAAAACATTCAAGGTGAACTGGCTATAAATAACCTAAATTATCCCAATTTATAGCTTAAACTTAACTAGGACCAGTTTATAGAGGCCACAACAAAGGTTTTTTGTATTCCTGTATTAACAACGAAGTAATTTTAGGGGCTGAAAATTCGCAAACAGTAAACAGCTTGATAATTAACATTTTATAAGTGGTTGCTAGAAAGTGTGTTTACTCTCAAGGTCGAACTTATCCATACCTCAACGACGTAATTGCGTGGTCGGAAAACTCTAAGCCGGTGAACAATAAACAACTGAATAATTAATATTTAAAATTTGGCTAGTAGAAAGGGTGACGCTGAGTAGAAAAGGTGGCTATTTCCAAGGTCAAATTTATTTATCGCTTGCGATACATTTTTACGACCTGCCCGTTCGAATTTTTGTGTACTGTTCGAATTTATCTCGTCCGGGAAGCGGTAAAGTTTGATAATATCATCGCCTATCTGAAAATCCAGTTCCCATGTTTATTTATTAAGATGGAACAGATTGAAAATATGAGTAGGGTCAATTTTCAGGAAGCAAGTAAAATTATGCCCGAGTAGAGTAAAAAATCAGGTGCTTCCCTTTTCCGATGGGTTTACTTAACGGTCGCTACTGGAAACTTAATAGAACACGACGCTGCTCCCTAACACTCAATCCGTATACGGAAATCGTAGAAAGTCGATTAAATGTTAAAGGTGAGCGACTTATCTGAAACTCAGACGACTCTCCGCAGACACCATCTGGTTTAAAACGCGCGTCTTTGTGTTTTTGAGCGTCTTTTAATAGTTTGTCCGCGGCAGCAATAGTCCGATGTTTCCTCGATTTGTACTCCGAACAAGATCTCGGCATTTAGCATGGAAGCCACGAACGAGGATAATTGCAAATGACGCCGTCTCCAAGAGCTGCAATTTTATATAAACAAATTATTCGCTCAACTTAGCCTTAGACGACGCACCATTTATCAAGCCAAAATCTATTCAGCGAATACTAACTCTCGCTGATGGGACTTCAAACCTTATGATATATGGAGCGGTTTTTCTCCAGACAAATTCTAACAAACGGTGAGTAAGATGGCAACTTCATCGGAGGGATTTTTACTTTAACAAAGAGCTTCTAAACTCGCAATAAAAGAACTGAGATAAACAATCGTTTTAGAATAAAGGGAATACTCGCGGAGATACAGGTTTTAGCGACACTCGATTTCTTTTTAATCCTTCTTTCAAAGGTGGAACTGAGTATACTTTGACCACCACCTTTGACACAAACAACCGTTTTATGTTTCAGTGCTGTGAGCGACGGCTACAGTGACCTACGAACCGAATATAAACGAACAACATTTACCTTAAATCAAAATACACGAACAATTTTAATAGTAGGTGATTTAAATGCTAGATTAAGAGACAAAAAATAATGACATCTAGAGTTGACACAGAAAAGTATGACGTCCAGAGAAACAGCTGATTTGAAAGCGTGTTGAGTTTTTTAGATACTGGTCACGGCACCAACTCACATATTGCGCTGATTATTTCCTAACCGACACTTTACCTGCGGCTTCTTTATCATTTCTAATTGACTTCTAGAGTCTACCGGTAGAGAATGAAGTAGTGGAGGAGCCGCAGGTATGGTATAGACTAGGAAGTAATACTTGTGTTAGTGTACAAAATCTGACCAATTGATTAAGTAGCGTGTTATAACTTTATTAAATTTGCAATTTTCTAGACAAGAGTCTTATACTTGTAGTGTCACTGTTTATACAGCTACTCTATCTTTTAATAATCCGCCACAGGCATAGTAACTTAGTAATTAATATTTCAGCAGATGCTTTTACTTTAAAATATTTAAGAATATTCCCTATAGACCATCTGTATTTTGTAACGTGCTACGGCAGATTGAAGACGCTCTCAAATCGACAAGTTTAAATAAAAGCAGGTAACAGCTTTTACGTAATGTAATTTTGCTACACTTGTGCTACATTCGCCATCTCGGAAAAAATATTATACGAACGCACAGATTTTCGTTCTTTGAGGACCAAACTACGTTAACTAGAAGCAATAAAATATGAATTTTAGATTAGAGTTTTTAACGTGGGTGTCTGTTTTTAATGAGTTGACGCGGAAATTTTGTTCTACCTTCAGTTAAATCATCACAGTTATATGTGATAATGTACACTTTATTTCCATAATGAATCTGACCGAAGCGAAATACCGTAAATTTCGCTTCCTGTGGCTTGGGAGCTTTTAATAACTGCGCAAAAGTTGAAAATGACACAGAAGGAATCCTACAGGCAAATCAGTGCTGTGTACTGTAGGGTTTTATTTTTCATAGAAACGTGAGTTATGAACATGTAGGTAAGTTCACTACAATGTATACTCATTAGTGGCAGGCTGTAACACATTGTGGTTATAGTATGAGGGTCCCCCACCTTAATCGTATTAGCTTTGTTTGAAAAATGCGGGTATGCGGTTCTGTGTCTCAAATGAAAAATTATATCAAGATCGGCTACACTTTAATAATATTAATAATAATAATATGTAAATTTAGTTTTGTTTGATGCCAGAATCCGTATTTACAAACAGCGTAAAGCTAAAATGTTTACTTCATTACTGCATGTTTGCTACTAATCTTTTGTTCAAGCGGTAACCTCTACCGCGTCAACATTAATTATCTAGGTATATAAGTAAATTCTGTCATATACAGAGATCAATATCGGTACGAATTAATTAATCTTGCTTTAAAATAAACTGAAATCGATAAGAGTAAATCCCATTTAGCGTAAATTCGGTAAAAAATAAACAACGATGCGCTTTATTACTAAGTGAAAATGTAGACAAGCTTCGGATTTCCAATTATGTTTACATTCGTGTCGAATCAGTGAGGAGTCTTTTGTTTATTCTTCCTTGCTCGTTCATCAGTATTTCCTATAAAAATTTCACGATCCCAATAAATATAATTATGTACGCTCACCAGATTATGGCCGGATTTGTAAAATGATGAAATTTATCTTCGCCATTAATAAAAATGTTTGTTCGCAGAAAGTGTCTTTTAAATGCTATTTTTAGCGGAAACATAATAATCTCACGCAAGATGGTGAAAATAGACATCGTAGTAGTGAGTAATTTTTGACTGCGGCTGCATACCTTTTTAAAAATGTATTATTTCGATTGAAAATTGTATGTGGGGAAACCAGAATGCTTTTCCGGCGAATATCTTGACTTCGCAAGCTGTGTTACATCGGTCCTTCGACATGTGGCCGCGCAATCGAGCGAATATTCACACTTTCAGGAATAAACACTTTGCGCTGGAGTGACGAAATGGGAATTTTTTAGGTGTGTTAGGGTAACTGTGAGTGGAACGCGACTTTACCATTTGTGCGGAGTAATAATAATAATATTCACCTGGAATCAATATTAGGTCGTTTTATTTCAAAAGTGTTGTGTTGTTTTTGTTGGCGCTGAACTCCGACAATTGCAGCGCCCTGTAGTTTGACATTTGTCGTGTAGTGTGATCACCGTGTTGTTATTTAGCGAGTGACGTGTTCTTCGCTTTTATCCAATGCTTGAACTCGACCTCTTGAGAGTTGAAGAAAAAGCGAAGTTTTGTGTTCTTTCGTTCTTTATTTTATTTGAAGCGCTAAAGTATACATAAGGTATAAAAGTGGTTCCATTAACGATTACAGGGCGGTAGGTTAGTGGGAGTCATTACGGTATTTTCCTCTTAGTTTACATATCGCTGGCAGTAGAAATTCATATTGATTCTGCAGAAGGTTGATTATCTCAAAGCGCAAACAACATCCCCATTTGCCTCTTTTATTAATTACACCAAAAACATGAAAGTAAAACATAACACAAACCAAATGTTTAGATTAACGTACATTTTCTCGAGATACATTTACGTCTATGTGGAAGTAAAATGAGTGTAAAGAGAG